ACTTTTTACTTTTATTAGCTTATACCTTTAGTTTCTTTAAAGTATTATTAAGCTAAAAGTACTTAATTAAAATTAGCTTAATATTTAGGTTAATTAATAAAAAGACTTTTTTACTACTATTCTTATACTTAGAATACTTTCTATTATTTAGCTTAGTTTTATAACTACTAGTAAACTAATAATTATTATTAAATTAGTAGTTATAACTAGCACTAGACTTCTAAAATATATAATTAGCGTACTAATTTAAGAACTCCTTAAGAAGAGATATATACTTAAAATAAGGAGCTATAACCTAGATATCTCCCTTTAGATCTAGACTAACTTACTTCTAGAAGCTATAAGCATAGTAACTATATAGCATAACGTTATAAACACTATACGCCTAAATTAAAAGTAAGTTAACTATAAGAGTATAACTAAGGAGCTTTTAGAATAGCACTTTAAAGTAACTAGCGTAGGCCTTACTTATAAAAACGTAATATAAAAAGATAGGAGAGCTACTTATAAGACTAGGATTTATTAAGATTTTATATAAGATAGCCTAATTTATATATAACCCCTAAAAGTTAATTATTACTTAACTAATAGTTTTATTACTAAATAGAGTAATAATTTAAAGCTTATAATATAGCTCCCTAGCTAAGCTTAGTAGCTTACACTAGATAGTATATTTTAAATACTAAGAGAAACCTATATTTAGTAATAGCTTTAAAAAGGGGAAGGACTAATTAACCTATAACTATATAATTTAAAGCGACTTACTAGAAATAGTATAAGATATTTTAGCTCTTAAGGAACTTCTTACTAGGTATAAAGCTTAACTACTACTAAGGATAGATCTATATAAGTAGGGTATAATTAACCTTATAATTATTAATAGCGTTTAGGTTAGATATATTAACTATTAATAATAATAGATCTAAAAAGCTAAGATAGTAAGGTAAAAGTTTAAGTTAATTAATAAATATAGTTATTAATAAAAAGGTTTAAAAGTAAGTTAATAAGAAAAAACTTTCCTTTTTATCCTTAGGAAGGTTAATTTACTAAAAAAGAAGGTATAGTAAACTAATCTAGGTAGGTAAAAAAAAGAACTAACTAACTAATTTATAATTAGCCTAAAGGAATAATTTACTACCTTACTTACTAATAATAAGTAAATTACTTCTTTTTTTTTTAATTTTACTTTATTTACTAGGTTATTCTTTTTTAGCTTTAATTAAGGCCTCTTTTACCTATTACTATATTAACCTACCTTTTTTCTTTTTAATTAATCTTTTTTTTTTTACCTTTTTAATAATAATAATAATTATTTAAGTAATAATCTAGCTATTCTCTATAAAAGCTACCTTTTTTTTTATATACTATTAAACCTAATCTTTTTTTCTTTATTATAATTACTACTTAAAATTATATACTACGCTATATACTTACTAAACCTAAGACTAATTACTTTTTTTTTTTACTACTAAACGCTACTATAATATCTTCTATTAGCCTAATCTTTTTTTCTTTATAAAACTATAGTAGTATAGCTACCTAGATCTAGCACCCTTATACTATATATAACTTTAAGAATAACTTATATAACTATATAGGATACTAGTAATTAAATAAACTAATTAGATTTAAGACTATACTACTAGCTATAACTAAAAAAGCTTAAAACTTCTAATTTATTAATCTTAGTGTAAATAACTACTTTAGCCACTAGACTTAGGCGTACCTATAAGTTATACTTATTTAAGATAGTTTTATATACTTTATTCTAACTAAACTTAATATATATTTTCTTAACTAGCTCCTTTAGGAGGATATAAATTAGTTCTTATAATAGTAACTAGTAGCCTTTATAATTTAGGATAGCTAGTAAGAATAATAAGGCTAGAGCTACTAAAAAGTAAGAGCTATCCTCTTTAATTACTATAACCTATAGGGTTAACTACTTTAAAGAGATTAAATAAGAAGAGATAAGATTACTATAGCGTTAGAGGTTATAACTTAGGACTTATTACTAGTCTATAATATTATAATAGTTCTAATTAGCTAGAAATATTTTACTAATTTAAATATTACTTTAGTCTTAGTTCTTTAGTTACTTACTACTTATAAAGTAATTAAGACTTTTATATACCTAGTCCTTTTTTTACTATTTATTAATTATTCTAAATACTTTATAAAAATAATTATTAACTAATAAGATAGTATAGTCTATTAGTATAACCTTTTTTAAGAGGTAGGCTAATTTAAGGTAATCTTTATTAATAATATCCTAGCGCTCTAAAGATTTTACTAAGATATAAAGGCCTTACTATATATTAAGAATCTAATTAACGCTAGTGCTTATATTATTAATATAGCCTAATAGCCTAACTTATAAAAGTGTAGTCTTTATATTTTAGAATAGTTTTAAATAGCAGTTTAGTATAGTAAATTATACCTAACTAAGAACCTTATCTTCTAAAGTAATAAAATAAAAAGTATACTAAGTAATTAAATACATATATACTAGATTTAGTAGATTAGCTATAAGTTTTACTATAAAGGTAACTAAGTTAATAATACTATATATAATACTTTAGAAATATATCTTAAGGACGTCTATAGTTAATATAAAAATATTTATATAAAGGTATTAGTAAGCACTAAATTAGACTATATAATTATTAAGAAGCTATATTTAAGGCTAGGCTTTATAGTGTTAATTAAATAAAGTATACTAACTAATCCTTAGATCTTTAGCTTATATTATTATTAATTAGTTACTAGCTAAAGATAGCGCTTACTATTTAAACTATTACTAGGCTTTATACCTTAAAACCTATTTAATTAGTCTGCCTTAGTAATAAACACTATTAAAAAAAGGTCTAATTCTAAGCACACTCCTATAAGCCTTATGCCTCTTAGTTAAATATTACTAGTTACCTTATAACTAATTCCCTAGACGCTTAACGTAACGCTATAATTAGAAAGACTTATACGTTTACTTATAAACCTATATTTACTTTCTACCTTATTTAGGCTAACTTTATTATTAGTTACTAGAACTAGGCCTCTAGCTTAGGTTTTACTTAAGATTAAAGACGTTATAAAAAAAACCTTTTAAATTAGGCTTAACTACTTTATAAACCCTTATTAATTAAGTAATATAAAGGCTTATAGCTAAAGGAGATAACTTCTTAAGATCTAAACTTATAGTTAAGATAAGTAAATTATAAGTTAATACTTAGTAAGTTAAAGCTTAATTAGTAAAAAGCTAGTAAGTTACTTTAATAAAAGGTTATAAATTACTATTATTAACTACTATACTATAAAAATAAGCTTTTTAAAAAACTAGTAATTAATAAGTATATATAAGAGGAATAAGTTAATTAATATAATAACCTAATTAATAAGTTAGCTTATATAACCCCTATATATATACCTTAGGTACTACTATTATTAAGCTAGGATTAAGAGGGCTAAGATTAGGAGGATATAAGGCTTTAATAGGATTATATAAAAAAGGTATATAAGCAAGAGGTAAAGGCTAAGAAGAAGAATAAGAAGAAGGGCTAACGCTAATTTACTATAAAGGTAGTTATATAAGGGCTAATCTTAAGAATAATTTCTCCTTAAGAGGACTTATAAAAAAGAAATTAAGAAATAATTAAAGTAAGGTAAGGTAATTAGCCTAAAGTAAGGTAGTATATAGACTAATTAGAAGATTTTAATCCTAATTAAGTATAAAAATATAAGTTAGTATTAATAGGTTTAAAGATAGATATATATAATTTATCTTTTATACTTATACCTACCTTCTAATTAAACTAAAGCTTTTTTATAATTTACCTTTAATTATAATAATATAAGATAATTAGAAGTAATTACTTACCTAATTAAGGTATAATTATACTTAATCCTATAGTTTAACACTTATAATTAATATTAATTCTAGATAGATTAATATAATTTATATACTAATTAGTAAGGAATCTTATGTTACTTTTAGTAGTTATAGTGTTCTATATAGTTACTACACCGCAAGAGTCCCTTATACCCTACGCGCTTTTACTATATACTATATATAGCTAACTATAAGGCTATTCTTATCCCCTTTAGGCTAGTTATTTATAGCTATATAGAGGTTTTATTAAATTAATACTATTAATAAAAGGAGGCCTATTATAATAAGTAGCCTAATTACCTTACTTAGTATATAATATAAGTAGAGGAGGCTATTACTTAGCTAGGGGGTTATACACTTAACGCCTAGCAGTAAGGCTATTAAATTAGCTATAACAGTTAATTTATACCTTTTAATATTATAGTAAGCAACCTAGCTAAAAGAAGAAATATAAACCTTACTGTTAATAAAAGGATAAAGAGAAGTAATATAAAGGAAGGAAAAAACAACTAGTAACGTAACAGGTAGGTAAGGTGCTTATATATAGGCATAGATATAGCTATATCTATGCTAGCCCCCCTAGTATGCCCCCTATACTGCCCTATTTAGTTTAATACTAACTTTAGGATAAATAGGTGGCCGCCAGGGCAAAAGCCCCTAAGGTACACATGCGCACAGATGACGCCCCGCAGATGTGTCTGCCTAGTAACCGCAACCAAGCCATGGACCGACGTGACCCATGTGCGCAAGTTGGTGTACCATACAACACTGTACAAATAACATCACGGATGTTGGGTTTTGTGTACGAGAACGAAACGAGCTGAGTAGATGCAATACCACACATTATTCTAGCGATCATGTCGTCATCTAAGTTGGAAGCCCGAGCGGTATCGGAGTCTCCACCAAGTGACGCTTCGAAACCCCTCGCGGGTGAGCTCGCGCCGCGAGCTGCGGAGACTTGGCGGAGCGTCGAAGTTTCTTTGGGTTTCATTATTATTAATCAGTGACATGACAAACCCCGACGTCCATAAGTATCCATACCGGCCATCCTTCTTTTGTGGGATTCGCAGCAAACAAGAATAATCAAGGGGAAAGCCAAAATAATATCACCAGCATGGCACGAATTTTCATCACAGGATCTTCCGACGGACTGGGTGCCGTTGCCGCCCGCACGCTTCTCAAGAAAGGCCACCAGGTCGTCATTCACGCTCGCAACGCCCAGCGGGCCGAAGAGGCCAAGTTGGCCGTTCCGGACGCCGAGACCGTCCTGGTCGGTGACCTGTCCAAAGTCGACGAGGTGAAGAGACTGGCCGCAGACGCCAACAAGCTGGGAACGTTTGATGTCATCATTCACAATGCCGGTTTCTACCGCGGTCCGTACCAAAAGACGGACTTGGGCCTGCCTACCTTGTACGCGGTCAACGTATTTGCGCCGTATCTTTTGACTGCCTTGATCAACAGGCCGAAGACACTCATCTACATCTCTTCCGGCCTGCACAAGAGCGGCGACTCCAGCTTCACCGACCCGACCTGGCGCGAGCGCGGAGAACAAGGGTGGAACGACGATCAGGCGTACTGCGACTCGAAACTGCACATCACCACCTTTGCAAACGCGATTGCTCGTCTCTGGCCGGATGTGAAGAGCAACTCGGTTGATCCCGGCTGGGTGCCGACGAAGATGGGCGGACAGAGTGCGACGGGCAAAGCGGAGGACGGGGTCGCAAGTTACGTTCTGTTGGCGGAGGGAACCGGCGCGGGTGATGTCACTGGGAAGTACTTCAAGCCTCCTGGGCAGGAAGACGACTCAGTACCGTTCACGAGTGATGAGAAGAGGCAAGACGAGTTATTGAAGCTTCTAGAGCAGGAGACTGGCGTCATGCTACCTGTAGCATAGCTGAGCTGCATAGCAGTAGCATATCGACGAGTTGGTTCGTGGTAAACATCTTGCGGGGCCAGATGCGTTATAAGTATTATGCTGGATAGTAGGCAATAAACACTACGGACCTGTCAGCTCGGTCAGCATACGCTACAGCTACCTATGCATCGAGAACGGTTTTTAGTTAAATCCGTTGCTGCACAGAGCTTTCTTAGCAATATCAGCCAACATATCCATGCAGATGAGGTTTCTACAGCCACCCTCCGACGGGTAAACCCGTCACTCCTGGCGGCCACACACATCTGGGCACCGGTGGCGCAGGCCATCACGGATCGCTTTGAGTGAAGAAGTGCCTACCCCTTCCTGGTGGTCTCCCGTAATTAAACAAGTTCCATGATACAATCTTGTGCACGGATCAGTCACTAATGCTGCCATTCAAGGAAGACAGGCACTAAGTCCTGTATAGAGTTATACGTATAATATTATCCATGTATTACCGGGTGAACTGGGCTAGACCGCTTATGGTAGATTCAGCAAACACCTAAGCCATCAGTAACCGCGATGGCGCTTACGGCCCGCCGTGGGCGTTTCAATATTGTCTTTATTGCAGAAACTGTTAGTGAGCACATCCGGCCCCGGGCTAGTAGGGGTTAAACAGGGGCTGGTCAAAAACAAGCAATAATTCATGCCCGATAGCGCTCTGGCTAGTGCCTATGGAAAGCAGACACAGTCGTGTTTCTTCTAGCAAAACCATCGTCTCAGTGACTAACAGGACGCGCGAAGACTAGGAGTATTATGTGGCTGAGAAGCCTCATCAGCGCCCGTCCCGCTTGCCAGTGCCCTCTTGTTTTTTTTTTGAAAGGATGTGATGTCACAGGGTACAGTGCGTGGTCCAGCATCTCGCTTTCTCATTAATTGTCATCCGGAGTTCGTCTCAATTTTTGCCTCGATGGCAGATAATGACATACGGGGGAGCCCATCCTGCAGAACACGGACATATATAGAGGCGGTGGCACTTCGGCGCGTTCTAGAGCTTCGACAGACTTTCGACGGATCTTCCGAAGCCTCTTCGTCAACATGGTAAAGGCCGAAGGGGTAGGTAGTGGTATCTACGCGGGCTGAGTACGTCCCGGCAGCTGACTGTTTACCTTTGCGTGCTCTATACAATGTGCTCACGAGCCCGCCATTTACATGCATGGGTTTGGCGAAGTCCCGACCTTTCCTAGTATGGTTGCTGGCGTCTTCCGGGAGGCCCCCGTCCCTTGTCGGACCTAGGTAGCATTATCTTGACTCGAGAGAAACCCCGCTCGTGATCAACAAGTTCTCACGCGGGGACACAGCATCCACAGGACTTGCAATATACTAATATAAAACTGCCTTCTTGCCAAATATTGGCCACCTCTGGCTGTTTTTCCTGTCCCTGAATTTTCCTATATCAACGCCCATGCGATTGCCCACCATGGAGGGTTCGCACGAAAAGACACAGGTTGACCCCGAGCGCAGTCCATCCGTCGAACACCATGTAGGCGAGGAGCCATGGCACGGCATGTCTGTCGGTCGCTACCTTACGACGCGTCTCACGACCTTGAAGCCACCAATGTTAAGCGCACCGAACCCGTTCAAGCTCGTCGTGATGATCAACAGGCGTCAATGGGCCTTTTTCTTCATTGCGTTTGCTGCCTGGGTATGTATGACATCTAGCCTCTGGCCTGCCTTACGGGCATTGAACGCATCGGGTCACTGACGAGATCTTGTTGCAGACATGGGACGCCTTCGACTTTTTCACCGTCTCGCTCACCATCACCGACCTCTCGGAGACCTTTGACAAGTCCAAGGCCGACATCACCTGGGGTATCACGCTGGTCCTAATGTTTCGATCCGTCGGCTCAATCATCTTCGGCATCGCAGCTGATCTATACGGTCGGAGATGGCCATTTATCGTCAATAATCTCCTCTTCATCATCCTCGAACTGGTAAGAAACAACTCTTACTTTTCTTTCCTCCCCCTCTGCCTTTGATGGGCTCCCACCGGCACGTCTGTGCCGAGCATGGTCACATCAGACAAGCTTTTGGATTCCCACCATCTCCCGTCTTGGCTGCACGCATGGAGAATCCCTGTAGCTCCCCACACTCCCCTTCTCTCCATACTTTGGTACCTAGTCTACTCCGTGTTCAGGTCGGCAATCTATTCGGCGGTATTAGTAGCGTCCGCGACTGGTGGTGACATCAACACATACTCTTTATTCCTTCCCCTATCGTTTCTTGTCGCGATGGAAGGCTAACAGGCGGTGAAACCTTTCAGGGCACCGGCTTCTGCCAGACTTATGACCAGTTCCTCGCGTGCCGCGCCCTCTTTGGTATCGCCATGGGCGGTCTATACGGCAACGCAGCAGCCACGGCTCTCGAGGATCTCCCAAGCGAGACTCGCGGGATGATGTCCGGTGTCCTGCAGCAAGGTGTAAGTCCTCCTAAGATAGGGCCGGCGCACACCCGGACTCCCCTTGGTGCGCAAGTTGGCATGTCAGAAGAGCTAACCGCCTGCCGATCAGTACGCCTTCGGATACCTCTTAGCAGCCGCCTTTGCCCGGGGGTTGGTCAACACTACCCCGCATGGCTGGCGCCCCCTCTTCTGGTTCGGGGCCTGCCCACCAGTACTGTTTATCATCTTCCGTCTGATGCTACCCGAGACCGACACCTTCATAGAGCACAAGCGCATACGTGAGGCGGCCGGTCAGCAAGCAGCGGCCGCTGGCGGAAGCGTAACCTCGACCTTCCTGAAGGAGGGCAAGGTCGCCATTCGCAAGCATTGGCTGCTATTGACGTACCTTGTCCTTCTCATGGCAGGCTTCAACTTCATGTCGCACGGCAGTCAGGACCTCTACCCCACCATGCTGACGAACCAATTTGGTTTCAACGCGGACCAGGTCACTATCACCCAAGTGGTTGCCAACCTCGGCGCTATGCTGGGTGGCACCACCGTCGGCTACTGCAGTCAGATTTTCGGCCGGCGGTTCAGCATCCTGATTTGCTGCGTCATCGGCGGCGCGCTGCTATACCCCTACACCTTCGTTACGACCGAGGCTGTCATGGCTGCGGCCTTCTTTGAGCAGTTCTGCGTGCAGGGCGCGTGGGGTGTCATCCCGATTCATCTGATGGAGCTTAGTCCCGGCGCTTTCCGCACATTCGTCGTCGGTACGTCATACCAGCTCGGTAACTTGGTCTCCTCCGCCAGCTCGACCATCGAAGCGCGTCTCGGCGAGAGGTTCCCGCTAGCGTCCGAGGGGATCGTGAAGCGCTACGACTACGGCAAGGTCATCTGCATCTTTATGGGATGCGTCTTTGCATACGTCGTCCTCCTCACATTTATCGGTCCCGAGCATCTGCGCCGTAGCTTTGACGTAGCCGATGATTCGGATATTCGTGAGATTGTTGGAGATGACACGATTGAAAATGCACTACACACGCGCGGCGTCGGGACTGGATACTCGGTGCATAGTGACGAGGAGAGGGGGCATCAGGAAAAGACAGCTACGCATCGAGAGTAATCATAACTTTCCCGATAATGGACTGGGACAATGGCTTGATTGTCCGAGTTATAGCACATAGCAGGGCATATACCAATAGGATTAAGAAAGGCAGGCTTAATCCTATGAAAGCAGAGATGTAAAGAAAGGATTATATACATAGATAAATGATGTAATTAATAAGCGAAACGTCACGTGGGCATATCATAATCTACATGATAGGTGCTGTATGAAGCTGTCGCGACACTTTATTTTCCATTTAAAAGAACCATAAATGATTCAAGTAGTGTAAGGTTTCAAATCTCTCTAAGAAGAGTAGACCTGAGTCCAAAGATTATAGCATAGTAAGTATTGAAGTGATTGGTGAATACTACTTTACTTCGAGTTCTTCAAGGAAGGCAAGGAGACTCAATATGATGTAAGTAGGTAGGCAAAGGTCTAGTGCTTCCATGAGGTAATGCTACTGACTTGATCAGATATATTTCCGAGCCTGGTTGAGCCGAAAGACATCTCCGAAAAGAATCTTCAATTATAGTGAAAGATGCTATCAGCGACGTTATTAGAGGGGGTAAGACTTCTTTAGCTCATACTTTTCACACCCGATGGCATTTGGATTTACATGCCGTCAGGTTAATCTGTATGGCAAAGCATAGACGATTACACCTCATCATATCTAATCAATAAAACCCCTCGGTCCCACTCCCTCATCGCCTACATAGCGGAGCATATGGCGTGGTTATAACTCCCACGCTATTTCTTGCAATCAACTACAAGTATTAATCGATCTTTTTTGGGATATCCCTCACCCCTTCTTTCACGAATGGCAACTTGACCATATCATCGACACCAACATGCCGGAGTCAAAGATAATCCCAGCCCCAACATCGGCGGTCGCAAAGCCAACCGCCACATTCACGGGCGACGTCTACATGGAGCTCATCAATCGCGACGAGCACGCCGCCATTGCCACGGTCACCTTCACTCCATGCGCCCGAACCCATTGGCACACCCATGCTGGTGGGCAAATGATCAGGGTTCTGTGCGGCACTGGATGGGTATGCGATAAGGGCGGCGAAGCCCGCAGAATCAAGGCTGGTGATACGGTTTGGGCGCCTCCGGGCACAACACACTGGCACGGTGCTGATGACGGAAGTATCATGTCGCATTTTGTCGTTGGCATTGGCGAGACTAAACGGCATGATGCTGTCACGGATGAGGAATACAACAAGCGGTCGACAGAGTAGGATAGATGGAATGTAAGTGGCCAGGCTTTGTTTATTCGATGCCTGCAGTTTCATGGTTCTTGCATATCTAACTGGACTGATAGAATGAGGTTAATTGTGTCGTCGCATACGTATGCTCAAAAATAGTGCAGCTCAAGGTGGCCTCAAGACAAGAAATTTCCCTTGATTCACTCATCCTCGTCTCTTATGCTTTCTTCTGATTTGATTTCGAGGAATTCGGGAAGCATTACATCTGTCGGTGGCGGTAGCAAATGGACACGAGGCGCCTTGAAATCGAGTTTGGTCCAAAAAGCTACCCTTCTTCTCTCCTTTACATAAACTCGCGAGTCAAGATAATGAACCCGCATAGCGTTGTTCAAGATCATCACTAAACATGCTTTACGAGGAACCTAAAGTTATTCTTGCTCAAGCATGTCCTTGCGGTTCATGTGAAATTCATTCATGATAGTTTCCTCGGCAGCCTCCATGTCAATGCCCTCAACCTTCTTGTTCAACCTCTTCCGGCTCTCGACAAGCTCTCTGGCTATATCCTTCCAGGCAAACTGCTTGTCCTTGAGACCCAGGCTGTTTGCCCCGTGTACTTCCCCAGCAACAGTGACAGGCAGTAACTTTCCCACCTCCTTTCTCACAGTACCACCGACTATGACGGTCTCTACGTCGCGTTCACTGGAGTGGAAAACCACTGCGGCGACAGGGTCCTCTTCGGCGGCGGGGACCATTGAGGGGCTGCTGGTATCAAAGATCACAAGGTCTGCCTTGGCGCCAACGCGAATCTGTCCAACCTTGCCCGCCATGCCGATTGCTTTAGCGCCGCCAATAGTTGCCAGGTTGAAGGCCTGCTCCGCCAACGGGCCGACGTGACGACTCCACTTGCCCTGTCTGCGGAGGGTCTCCTGGCGCTCGGTGCGGGCGTATTGTAGGCCGAGACGCATCTGGCTCGGCATGAAGCTGTTGCCATAAGAGTGGCAGTCCACACCCAAACTGGAATGCGCCTCAAACTCTGGAAGAAGCCCGACCGGGGGCCAACCTAACTGGAGCTCGGTGTTGGGAGTCGAGGAGATGTAGACATCATGTTCAGCGATCAGCTCCGCGTCACCATCATTGGGGAAGTTTGCGTGCGAAATTAGGATATCGGGGCCGAGAAGGCCGTGGCTATTGAGAAGCTGTACCACAGACGGCCCATTACCGAAAAGCAGGCCTGCTGCAGAGTGAGAAGTAATGACCTTGGCCTTCGCAGCCCGCAGCTCCGAGTACAGCTTCTTCATCTCGTCAGCCGACTGATAAATATTGTCCACGACAAAGCCAAGTTGAATCCTCCCATCTCCGTATGGGCCCTTTGCGGCAAGGGACTTCCATGATTCAAGACCGCTCGAGGAAGCGTAGTCATCATGCACTGTAAGCGGACTCCAGCTGGAGATCGCTCTAGGAACGCAATAGCAGTACACGGCTCGAATCCCAGAAGCAGTAAGAGCTTCTATCATTGTTGGTGCTGTGCAGTGTCAGTACTTCATATGGTCTTAAAAGAACGGGATGCACTAACGAAATTCGGGGCCAATATTCAGACTGGAGTGATCAACGACCGTGGTGGTACCACCGTCGATGGCTTCAAGTGCGCCACCTAGCTCTCCCCAAAAGGCGTCCTTGAGGGAGTAAAAGCTACCGCTAAAGTTGCCGCGCGGAAAGTATTCAAGCAGGGTGTGGTTAACGTGACGACCCTTGAGGGCGGTCTGCCAGACGTGGTGGTGTGTGCTGATGAAACCAGGCGACACGATTTTCTCTTCGCAATCGAAAATTTTGACGTCATTGGTGTCGGCCTCGATATTGTTGTTGATCTGAGTGATCTGATCTCCTTCAATCATCAAGTCCGACCGTGTAGGGGTTACTTTCCCGTCATCTCCGTGGACGAGAAGCACTCCATTCTTGAGCAGGATCTTGTTCATTGATGAGGCCATGCTGTTCATTTCAGGATAGAATTTCCGTAGCAAATGATTTGTCAAGTAGCATCGCTGATGGCAATGTCTATTTTATAGCCTGATTCCATCAGCTGGGTATTCAACACATCTGCCTGGCCTGAAAAGACGAGAGTAGAAGTTAGAGTCCCGGACATATCGGTGCCCAGTCTTTGGCGAGGCGGAATTAGCCTCGGACATACCGGCATCAAACCTTTGGCGGCCAACAGCGATCCTTTTTGCTGATGGTGACGTAATTTGAAGTCGGTCCTTTAACAGTAAGAATAGTTGCAGTGACGGTGGATCGATTAATTAAGTGGCAAGGGGCGGACATCCAATCTGTCTCAGTATTTATTTGGATAAAGCCTCTGTCATGGGCGGTTCACTCTTGAGATACCAAATTTGAATTGATAGGCCTGGGCTTGTAGTATGTTGTAAGACAGGAGATGTTTTTGTGTGCAATATGACTTGCTAAAATTTCATGAACCTACTCAAGGACTTAGGCGCATTGTATTATTGTCTTTGGGTTACTGTTTGGTTATGTAGCAGAATATAACGACGATGCCCATTAACGGCGAACCAAATCAAGCCCACCCATGTCATCGTCTGTAACATGTGAAGGTCAGCACGTTTCGGACCCGAAGCCCTTGATGCGCAATGTCATCAAAGTATCCATCGCTGGTTTCATGGATGAGCATTCTAGATGATCCAATAGCTCAAGCTCCTTTGCATTGCTTTTGTGTACTTTCGCACTACTTTTCATGTGCGTTAGTAAAACTCGTGACGGATAACACAAAACCCTTAGAAAAATTGGTGTTTTGAGGTAACATTAGTCTTATATAGCGTCAGTTCAATGCTTCAAAACGTTGGGAAATTTTAAATAATAGTCGCGGACAATGTGATGTACGAGAATCAGAAATGTCGCTGCCAACCAAATTCATTGAATCCAAGTTCATCTTGGGAACTAGTTGCAAAGGGAGGCTTCTTTTTCTTATATCTAAATGAGCTACGCCTGTAGTGAAACAGTCACCTCTGACGAAATAGTGATGCTGGTTCAAGTTGACATAGCCATCCTGTCAAGTTTGTAGGAAAAGGTAAATAGGTCAATCTCACATATTAATACTGCTCACTCGCAATCATGCATACACAACTTCACCTCGCTATTACTCTCAGCTATCATCTGAGATCTTGCTTCGCTTTAGCTATAAGGATTACATTAAAGGTCAATTAGAGTTTTATTCAAAGCTAACTCGCAAATTCGCACGTGGGACTTATAGTGAAATTAAATTCTTCAGTAACAACTCATGCCAACGGGTCGAAAGGAACTGACTACGCATACCCCTTGACTGATTGCCTTGCATAGCTGGGGCCTTTTTCCGTCCATGCAAGTTTGAGGTTATACGGTACCCTTTAATGTCCTGGGCCGCACGCGTGATAGACTAATGGAGACAGCGAGTATCCCCTAGCCTATTCAGGGTTCAGCTACATACAACTAAAGACTATGTGTACTTCCAATTTCTATTTTGTTTCTCTATCCCATTGAGTGCCGAGTGACCTCACATAACCTCAGACCAATAAGAGTACAGCAATCCAGGCTGACGGTCCAATAGCTGTCAGTAATTATTTACATAGACCCATTTTTGGGTTATGTGAGGTCACTTGGCACACAATGGGATAACCTAGAAGAAAATATCATTTAGTGCATTCATTTACTAAACTTCTCTATTTGGGCAACCATCTAGTTACAAGTCTGCACTTCGTCTTTCTACCTTTGCGTCTTTTGAAATATGATCGCGGCTCCAACAGCCTGCGACCCCCCTTTTACAGCAAAATAATAAGATATGGCTGGGGAAACCCGGTCAACCTGTAATCCCACATCTTGGCAAAGCCTCAATACGAGAATTGGCAAGCTTACGAACAGGGAATGGCTCCTCCAGTTGGTTTTATTATCTGTGGGGCATCTTATCAATCCGTCAGTTATCAATCCGTCTTACGCTCCCCCGGGACAGAAATTTGAGCGGCAAAGTGCCATCTGTCAAACTCGCCGATGTTGTGTTCTCTCTCTCCCGCGTTTCTTCGCTATTTCAACCTATTGGTCAGATTCCCTGCGGTCGGAAATTTACAAACGCATCCGTTTCAAAAACTACTACCATGCACGTTGTCACAACACTGAGACCTCGGATAAACGCAAAAAAAATGGACTTCAGCATCAGGCCTGTCACAGTCGATGACATCACTGAAATTGCAGAGCTCACCAAAAGAGCACGTGTTGAAATGTTCCCTCATATGGATCCAACATGGCGCGCACAAAGGGCCGAACACGACTCGGCGACTTTCCAGCTGACCTTCATCGACCATCCGCAAGGGGCGTACCTCGTCGCCCGCTCAGGAGGCAAGCTGGTCGCAACTATTGGCTACCAGGACTATGACCATCGTCACCAATTGAGTTTGGAGACGGAGGGCATCGTCGAAGTTGTGAGGCTGTATGTCGATCCTGATTGGCGCCGCGGCGGACTTGCATCGAAAATGGTCGCTTCTTTGGTGGAAATCGCGGAAGAGGCAGGCGTACGGCAGTTGTATCTGCATACACACCCTTTTCTTCCGGGGGCAATCCAGTTTTGGACACGGCAGGGATTTACTCTCCTCCGAGTGGATGTGGATGACAAAGTATGGCAAACAACCCACATGGGTAGAACCCTGAAGTAGAGTTGAGACTTAGGCGTGAAATGAGCTCAAGCCGGGATGATGCTTTGAAGGATTATTATAGCACGCTCTGGGGCACGAGAGCTAATTGAAGGTGTAATTCTTTTGTAACATGTCATGCATGATAGAATAGGTACTGTTGAGAGGGGCCTGTGTGATGGGTCACGTGGCTCCCCGCCGCTCACCTTTTGTCAGGCGGCTCTGCCCACTTCTCGAGCCCACTTCGCGGGTCCTTTTCTCAGCTACAGATATCACCAATACACCACAGTAATACCTCACTTTCGTTGTTGTGCTCCCTCATAGTCTCGAAAATACCGTGTATTATTTGAATGCTAGGGCACAAGATAGTTCTGTGTGAAGGAAGTTACAGAGACAGAAGCTATTGCCATTGAGTGTTCATGCTCATGGGCGCTTTGAATGAAACCTAGCTCCCCAAGCAGTTTCGATAATTGTCCACTATGGGGTCTTCAGCTAATAGTGCCCCAATCCACATTCAGAGTTGATGCACTAAAGCATGAAGAGCTTTTCTTGTTTTCCGTCGGTTATCCCCCGCTCTTTTTAGCCCTGAAACTCAACGGCGCGCTTGCCCGTCGCAGCAGTTGCATTGCCGCCGGCGCCGGCGATCTGGATCGGCACGACACCACCGAATGGGCCAGCCTTGTTGCTGTTGGCAATCTTGACCAAGCAGACGTTGCTTTGGCCACCCATAGTACCAGTGCACGTGGTTCCGGCTGGCACTTCGAACTTCATGGGCTACAGGTAGACAATTAGCATATTCCTCAGCTTCCACCCAGTCACTGGGCACAATGTACGGCATGACTTACAAAGTCCATGTTGACATTGGCCGCGCGCTTGTAAATGACACTCATGGCCCTCTCCCACAGAGATCGCTTGCCGCCGGGAACTGTGCCGTCAGGCCTGATGTTGCCGCCCTTTCCGGGAACTTGCGTTACAGTCTTGAGCATCGTGCCCTGCGAGAAGGCGCCGGTTCCTGTGGGGTCCAGAACCGCATTTACAGGGCCGGCGCCATCGGTAGTAACGACGTGGAATGTGCCAGAAATTGAGCCGCCGGTGGAAGACACCTGAGGAAGGGTGTTGCCTGACAGCGCCATTGCTTGCTGGATGTCATCGGCCTTGACCTTTCCTGCGCCCTTGGTCTTTCCAAGGCCGTCGGACATGATGTTCTTGGCGCCGAAGATAGTAGTGTCAACCTCAGTCTAACCCATGATGTTAGCATTGATCGTTACTCCTGACTGTATCCGGTGTAGCTGGACATACCTTCCTGTTGGGCCCAGGACCGGGCACCACACCTCCCTGGATGGCCAGTGCAGTACCGTTACCACCCGCATCACCAGTTACCTGAGCAACCTTGCCGTGAGCAGCGACCAGCGGGGCAGCGACAAGGGCCAGAAGGAGGGTCTTGGCAATCATTTTGAAGTATAGATGAAGAATACGACGAGGATGGCTGTATTGAGTGAAAACGTAAAGTGAAAGTGGTCTCTGAAGGAAGCATTCAAATAAAGGACAGTGAAAATGATACCCACACGAATCAATCGGCGGTAAAGTGAGAAGCGGGTAGAAGTGAAGAGTAGAAATGAACAGGAAGATGATGCTGATAACGAAGAAGGAGTCTCTGTTGTAGCAGGCGGGAGTCACATGGTTTTATAGTTGGTTGGACGGGATGTTGCGGCGATATCATCCTCATGGCAAACAACCTGACGGTACATTCGGGCGGGACTTTCTCTGGTTTGTCGTCACGAGTCGGAACTGCCATGGATTTCCCAATTCAGCTTAACCAAACGGCCATTTGGCTGACCCATCGCGTCTGCTCCGAGTGAAACATCACAGCACCTTCTCCAGGCCTGCGACAGCTATTGTGGGTGGGGTCAGGGGCAACATCAGACAGGCGCTTTGATATCGTCCGTATCAATCCCAGCCCAACGTCCGCGGACTGCGATACTGGACGACACTGATGTTGATAATTGAACCTGCAATATCGGATGATTCAAGGACGAGGTTTTTCTGTGGCGAGGCATCTAAACTTCTTAGGCTTGGATAATGACACAAATCTTAAACCCAAGCTTTCTGCTAATTTCTTGACCTCAATCAAAGTAACAGCAATGTTCAGTAAACCAGTCGGCTGGTTCTTAGCGAAGCAGAAGGTAGATCTATTTCGTTTCTGAACCCTGTGCACATCACATAGAGGTTCACCGTTCTCATGAGGAATCTATGCCTCTTCGGGACTAATCGATCACACCCTGAGCGATCGTCACCGGTTGCATGGGTTCCTCCTTCGGGCTACGGTTAAAACGGCGCGACTATTATTCGATAAGAGTTCAGGCCAGCAGCCGCCTCGGTTTCAACCGACGGCCATGTCGCCGCCGATGCAGCCCTGCTCCTTGAAAGCAATAAGGGGGTCGGAGCCCGAAAGAGCCTCCTCCAGTATGGGATACCGTTGCCACTACGCAGACCCACGTGCCATGATCGACCCGAACACATCATGTTTCAAGTGCCAAGCACGCATCTCCCTATGGTCCTTTCTCCTGGCCCCTTTCCTTCGCCCCTCAGCTAGGACGAGACGCAGCTGAGGGCCAGTAGGAAACATAGGTGCAATGCTGGCTGCTTGGGCGCATTGGATGGTCGTCGTCTCTGGTCCTTTCCTGTCACCTGCCATCTGCCATGCGCAGAAACTCTACATGCGTAAGCCGCCCCGCTCGCTTGACGTTGCGACGTTTATGGGCGGTCGCGAAGGCCCCTCTTCGGCCGAGTTCCACATTCGGTATGTGTAGTCGGCAATGAGAAAGCACCTAGCTGAGCTGAGCTCCGACAGAGAAAGACACTCATAGTTCGAGGCGAGTCCGGTGCCTGGGCATCGGTGATGGTTGTCTGGTAACCTAGGCTTCTTCCGACTAGGTATTTAGCCAAGGTTTCGGGAAGCCCATTGCTCCGTTCGTAGCCCAACAAAGCCGAAAAAGGTGTGCCTGTCGGTCAGCAAACGATCGCCCAATTCGCCTCGAATAACCAAAATCTGCGTCGATCACTCCTGAAACTCCAGCATTCCACCGGCAATTGTTGCCAAATCCAAATAGAACGAGAGCCCCCACACAGAACGGTTAGATCGGCATCTTGACACAAGTGGGCCAACTTTGGTACAAAGTAAAACACAATCTCTTCCTCCTCATCCTCCTGCGAAGAGGTTGCCTGCATCACTTCAAAAAAGGAGAGGGTCGCGTACTCGTGTTGAACCTCGCTAAAAGAGGAAAATCTATGATTGCCTCAAAACCAGTTGTATCAGTGACTAGCCAGCCATATAATATTACTTGCGTCATATAGTATTCAAACTTTCACCTTGCACCTCACTCGTCATCGATTCAACCTCCCGTGGCATGTCTGTTCATCATTTTTGCAGTGGTATATTGATGCATCCCATGGTTGGAGTCAAGTCCGATTCGGCGGTTGCTCGGCGTTATCAGGTATACTGTACCTTATTAAGATACTGGGGGTGTGGCACACGTCAAAGGTGCTGCCAATCGGACTTGTGCGTATCGTATCATAAGCTCCATGTGCCGGGTGAACTGCACTAGACCGCTTAAGGGTTTCAATAGGGATATGACATTAATACGAGGCCGTCTGTGATTTTTGTACCATTCCCACTTGCACTACAGACTGACCCGCCGTGCCCTTAGTAGCGTGAGACATGAACGCGGGTTGGGCAAAAAAGAGAGAGAAGAAGAGAAAGAAGAAGAAGAAGAAGAAGAAGAAGAAGAAGAAGAAGAAGAAGAAGAAGAAGAAGAAGAAGAAGAAGAAGAAGAAGAAGAAGAAGAAGAAGAAGAAGAAGAAGAAGAAGAAGAAGAAGAAGAAGAAGAAGAAGAAGAAGAAGAAGAAGAAGAAGAAGAAGAAGAAGAAGAAGAAGAAGAAGAAGAAGAAGAAGAAGAAGAAGAAGAAGAAGAAGAAGAAGAAGAAGAAGAAAGACAGAAAGAAATCGCACGGTAAAAGACAATGCACTGTTTAGAGCCTCCCACCATCGATAGAGGCCATCAATTCACTCATTTTACAGCAGTCATATAACCATCAGCTCAATAGAAATTCTGCCACAAATTAATTTCAGTGAACTATAGGCTCTTCTAAGCTTCTGACTAGTTGATGATCATTTGAAGTGAATGTGTAGATTCATCTCATTGTTAGTCCCTGTTTCTAGTATGCTGAAAAGTGTGTTTTTTTCTCCCATGGTAACCCACTTGATGATGGTAGAGCGCAAACGAGCAACGTTAATAGCGCATTATGGTCAGTGTATTTGGGAAGCAGGAGTCTTTTCTTTTTTTCCACCCTTGTGAGTGGTTGATCTTGGTGCCCGAGAATACAAGTTTTTGAATGACAGTTCATTAGTATTTAAATCAATGGGATCGCCTCACGGTGATATGGATAGGAGATTTTTGAGATAATCGTGATCCGCCGCTTTGGACCTGACCCCAGACTGCAACCTCACCGCTTCTGAGGACCCAGAGGTGAGGTGCCATGACCATACAGAACAAAGAAAAGTAACATCCGAACGGCATCGAGTTCATTGAGTTGTGGGTTTAAATGGCGATCTTCAGCTATCCCCTGCCTTTTAGCTTGTGGGCTCGCAGATCTGTGGGGGAGCCGCCTCCAGCGATCGTTGAGCCAAGAAGAGGCCTCCTGAAATGATTCATCAAGTTCAATTGGGTGATATTATCTTGGTCTGTAATAATTCAATGTATTGCCACGCTACCGTAAGGCTGATAACATTTTGAACTAGTCTTTTAAGTAGTCCCAGCGTGACTACCGGCAGTTTTCCGTCGGCTTCGGGAAGAGAAGAGCCGTGCCTACCTAATTTCATAGTCGCCTGAGTGGAATGTTTGACATCGCTCGGGGCGTCCCGGAGAGTGAAGATCGTCAACACTATGGATTGACTACGGACCGCACTAGCACTAGCCCACTCCTAAAGGGGATGCAGCCACGCAAGGCGTAAAGTAAAGTCGGCTTTTGATCATCGCTTTTAACATTGACGAGAGTGACAATGACGCAGGTAATTCCGGGGCACGGAGAAAATGGGGACAAGCCGGTGAAGTCGGATTCGACCAGCAAGGGGACGGCCCATGACATCTCCATCGAATGAACTATTTTGACCTGCAATGGGAAAGCATGTGTGGAGAGCGATCGGCATCGTCGGGCAATTGTCAGGAGTCACAAACCATGCCTTTGAGTTATCGTAGCCGGCGATGATCTTGCTTCGACATTGGCTTCTCGCAGAGTACTTAAGACGTCCTCAACTCGGCGGAAAGGTAATCTTCCATCCCTCTCATCAGCATCATCCTCACTCAGTCATTCTTTCAGAATCTTCCAGTACACTCTCGTTCTTTAACAACTATCCAACTAATCACGCTCTCTAATTCTTCTTAAGAACCCCACCGCAACAATGAAGTACCTTAACCTCGGCCTTGTTGCCCTTTCCTCCCTCTTCGCCAGCGCCTACGCGGCCCCCGCCAACGCCGTTGACGGTCTTGTTTCCGACAGCAACAACCTTCCCGCCCTCAAGAACGCCCCTGCCACTCCCGACGTTCCCGTTCTCTCTGAGTTTCCCGGCGTCTCCGATGCCACCGACAAGGTGAACAAGCGCGCCCAGATCGTCCACACCAAGGTCCAGTATACCTACATTGAGGTCAGGAAGCACTGTGGTGCCATCAACGAGACCGTTGACAACACCCCCCCCGGCCAGGTCCAGCAGAAGAAGGCGGACATCATCAAGCTCGTCAAGTCTGAGGTCGCCATCATCGTCAGCCTCATCAACACTCTTATCACCGACGTTGTCGAGCTTCTCGGCGAGAGCACCGAGATTGTCGGCGACGAGAAGGACCAGATCATCAGCTCCGTTCTCCAGCTTGTCTTTGAGATCCTTTGCACTCTGCAGAAGGTTATCAAGGTCCTCGGCATCAGTAAGTTAACTTCGACCTACCATTATCTCTGCGGTACGCTGACCATAAAACCAAGCCATCTTCGAGCTCCTGGGTCCTCTTGTCTTTGTCCTCCTCTCCGTCGTCTGCCATCTTCTCACCACCCTCAACACCATCGTTGCAGGCCTTCTCCAGTGCGTTCTGTCCACCCTTGGCGGTGTCATCGGTCTCCTTCTCGAGGTACTCAGCGGCCTCCTGCCTACCGTCCTCGGCCTTGCCGGTGGCATCCTCGACAAGCTCAACCTTGATGGCCTCCTCTGCAACCTCCTCTAGGTGCATTCTCCACCAACCGCAGGCTTGACCGATTGATTGCCATCCTCTGAATTAGTCAAGGCTGCTTCTGACATTCTATAACGGCCGCTTTTGGCTGCTTTCCGCTACCTTAAGCTCGAGACTTTTTGCGCCAAGCCAAATATTTAACGTAGCGCATGTACATAATCATAAAAGCTAATTCGATTTTCTTGCTCTATCTCAGTGATCGAGGACTTTCTTTCCATCGTTGAGCTTATTTAAAACCACATTTAGTAGAGTTCGGGATGAACCTTCTCAAATGAGCTCTCCAGTGAATGATTTTGGTTTGTCCGTATCTCCAATCATATGCTAGATTACTTGCTTAACACCGAGAGGGTTCGCAATGTTTTGCTAGTAAAAGTAGTGTGCCGTGAAGATGTGATAGCTTCTTGTGGCTAGTACGAGTTGTGATCACCGCAGATGTTGCTTACCAGACAATCCGGCCCACTTTGTATCCAGATTTTTACGCGACATCGTCTTCATAAGTATGCTAGAAAGAGTCAACTACGTTTAATTCTCGTTAACAGACGCTGCAGTCCATAGCATAGTGGTTACTAGGGTAAGAAATCTATACCGGCGATGTGATCCCAACCTAATTTCATAGACGAGTATGGCGAACTACCTGTAGCCGCTGCACGTGAACACTAACTCTTTTCCCTCTTAATTTTCTTTTTTCTTGAGGGGGGATATCCTAGACACCTGGGTGGGAATTCGGAAGAAAACTGAAAGGGTTTTTCAGCTCAGGTACACCACTTTGGAAACAACAGTCTACAGGCAGGCCATGGTCAAGGTAAACCCAGTGCCAAGATCATCACACCATCAGGCTAGAAAGGTACCTTTGTGCAGAGAAGATAACAGCCAAAACTGTCTACAAACACTGATTGGCTACGGACAGACGCAACATATCCCACTAGCCTTCGTCCAGAATCCTCGATTCGCAATCACAGACCGAATGCCTCAATCTGACATTTACATGGCTGGGCAGTGCAACCTGGCAGCGTTATCCACCACACTTTTTCAGGACGCCTTGTAGCTGTTCAGCAAGCACGCATATGACATGCATGCGAGAAATGCAATGGGTTCCGATGGCGTCCGAGAACGTAGTTGCCTGCCTGATGCCTCTGGCTTCCCCGTTGCGCGTCCTGCGAGCCAGGTGTAAGCCTAGTGAGGGAAGAATAGGCCGACCCCTGCAGAGAGAACTGGCATACGCATGCATCCCCGCATTGTGTCTCTCTCTAGTGTCTTGGATCTGCCACAACGAGGCTGATTGCCAGGAGTTTAATGGTTCTCGAGCGACACATCACTCTTTGTGCAAGCAGCTAATGATCCAAGGCAGTATATCCCTGTCACGATAGCTTTGGCACCAATTACCTAAGTTTTGAGGCGAGCGAACCCTCCATCAAACTTTTCCTTTGATACCAAATGACCACTGACACGGAAATCTACACTGGCGATTTGCAGGTTTCCCCTCGTTTGATCAATTGCCGCCTTGTTTATCACTAGCGCAGGAGACACGGACCGTCGCTAAGAATCCAACAACCACCTGTGACTTGGCAAGGCCCGGGTTATTCCGGAAAGCTCCGTCTTATCCTGATCAATGTTCCCTCATGCGCACCGGCTAATGTGCTGCGTGTTGTAATGGAAAAGGGCAAACCACTGCCCAAAATGACGCCAGGCAACATCAGCACGACCGCTATCCGGCCTCTTTCAAATCCGGCTAATGCAGTAACACCCTCCTTGTTGCCTAATGCAGTCACTAGAGTCTCGAAACAATGTTAGTGTAAGGTCACAACATAGAAGAAACAAACGTACGGCGGGGCACCAGGAATACTGTGGTGATAAGGCAGTCTTCGCCAAACCAAGAGATTCGGGAAGTATCCCGGCAGGTGCTACATTTCGTACATTGCTCTTCTCAGCCGATGGATGTATTGGCAAAGCCACCTTGTTTCTTGACGTCTACTTCACCTCACTTCATATTCAAGACACATGCAGCAGCTAGGATTCGTTTAGGCGAACCATTTCCACGCTGCCTGCAGCCTAGAGAAATAAGGAACCATCTCTTTTCTGTAGCTCCAGATATTAGGGATCTTGTTACCTGGAGTTGCCTTCAATTTGAGGGGAATAAAAACTGGCCAATTCCTCTTCCGATTAATAAACCATTCTTTGTCCATTCCAACCCGCGGACTCACTGCTGCCGCCACATTGTCGTTGCTTGGCCCACCTGCTACCCGCATCGGTGCCGCCACCATATCTTCTCTCGATGCTGCTTCGACAGAGCGGCAGCCGGAAAGACTCTGTCTGATCCTCCTCACGTCGATAACATGGAGCCCAAAACGCACTCAGTCAAAACTGCTGCTACCCCCATGCATCAAGCCAAATATTCCGTAAACACCAACAACGGGAAGAAAAGGTCACACAAACAGAGAGTCAAGAATCCGTCAAAAAGAGAACGAAGGAAGCACAACAGGCATCCACGTCACAGTGACGGCTCTTCCGCACCCGATACGAACGAGGATAATGACCAGTTTGCCAACGATGATGGTTCCTCTGACTCAGAATCCCTCTTATCAGACTCGGAGGACGAGATGTCTCAACGCAAGACTAAATCGAAAAGACATCCTGGAGCTACCACAGCCAAGAAATCTCGTCCCATTGCTTTCCATTCCACTAGAAAGAGCAAGGCTTCCAAGAGAAGCAATCTATCCCCGTCTCCATCGTCTTCTTCGTCCGAAACCGACTCGAACTCTTCAAGCGATGATGACGATGATGACGACGGCTTGACCAAGGTCTCAATGACAGCCCAGCAGATGCAGCTATTCCAGCATTGGCAACGCAGCAACGGCACCTTGCCGCTTGGCGGCGATAATGGTCCGGCTTTCTGGCCCCCTCCTCCCAGGCGCGGCGGCAGCCTTGGCTTGGGAGATGCTGGGCTTGGTGAGAATCCCATGTTCGGCAACGGAACTAGAGCCAGAGCACGGGCAACGCCGCCGTCGTCGAAAAAGAAATCAAAGCTGGACTTCAAGCGCGTTGACCAAGTCTGGGACAGCGCTATCCACCAATACAAACTCCAGGACACGGCGGCAAGTACCTCAGAGACGCAGTACAGCGGATACGTTCTCCAGGTCAGACGAACTTTTGACTGGGAGGGGAAGTACAAGGCCACCGTGGTCGACGTCAAAAGCAAACTTCTTCGCGAAGTTTTGCAGGAGGTCATGGGTAACATCAAAGGCGTCAGCTTGGTGGATGAGACGCCGAAAATTGATCCCAATATGCTGTTTCTGTGGGTACCGCGGCGAATTCGAGTAGATATAACACGTGTCTAACCAAATCCTAGCTATCTGGAAGACTTTCGAAAATTTGATAAGCAGCTGAAGAAGTCAGTGGTGGTCAGCGCCGATAAGAAGGAACGCAAGAAGCGCAAGAAGCACATCAAAACCAAGCGGCAGCATCTCAAAGTTCTTCTGAAGTACGTTGATAAGGACTATGCTCACGTGAAGAAGAGGTAAGGTGATTGGGTAATGCATATAAGAATGATTACTGATGATACGTCAGTTTGTATCCTATGCTTGAAAACGGACTCATCACGTTCGAGCTGCTCTGGGCACTTTTCAAGCCCAATACGCTGGTTTACACAACGACTTACGGATCTCCTGACGAGCCTCGAGTCTTCAAAGTGGAGCAGGCAGAAAAGCTGACCAGCGTGACCAAAGGAGGATTCTACTGGATCGACGGTAAATTGAGTGTCACTTCGTTTCTTTATGTCGCTGCGAGACATCAACTTACACTATCACCGTATCTGGAGTTTGACGGGAAGCGGTTCGGCTACGGCACTCTCTACGAGAAAATCCTAGAGTTCCGAGGAGCGCGCAAGATCACCAGTCTCTGCGCTTTCCCGCTCGACTTCCATAAAGACAAGGGGGCCGTCGAGGCCGCTTTGATCGATCGAGGCAAAAGATTTGTGCAGCTTGGTGGCGTGCACTAACGAAGCCACCATGGGCTAGCATATTACAAGAAGAAGAAGGCTGTGATCAAAGTCAACGTCAATAGCCGCGTGATGGTCGACCCTGCCATTCACCGCAGGATCAACCCCAACTACCAAGTCTCCGTGGTCCGACCCAAGGACCACGACGTCTTGTCCGATTCCGCGGACTCTGACGAGGAAGACCCGTGCGGCCAAGGCTCAGATGATGACAATGGGAATGGGAGCGATGATGATGCCTGCGGGAAGATGGTAACAAAGGTGGTGCGTGATGCAAAGGGCGGTGTTCGCATGGTTCGTGTCCCAAAGTCTGATCTTGAGAACTCGGCTCCAGCAGAGAAGCTCGAACAGGTCAAGGAGGCTGAGGACGAAAGCCTATCTGGTGCATCTCGTCAAGACGGCGAAAGGTCGAAGGAAGCGCCGATGTTCTCGGAGGAAGACTATCTCATTGCATCGTCTGTTGTTCTGGGGTTTTCCTTCTCCGAGAAGCTATGGCTTGAGTTCACCGTGTCGGGGATTGATGAAATTCAATGGAACGACAGCGCTTACGACTCTCTTGTGCTCGAGTCTAAGCCGAAGGACATCGTTAAAGTGAGCCACCCCTCGTGATCATTATGCGCGATGAAGCTGATTTCATGAACAGGCACTAGTTGAGTCCCATAAGTACCATGCTGCCGAGAGCATTGATGATGTGATTCAAGGAAAGGGAAAGGGGCTTGTCGGTAGGTTCCTATGTTCCATGAACGTCACGATGTGCTCCTTGATCCCTAACTATCATATAGCGGTTCTCCATGGACCTCCCGGTACAGGAAAGACGCTCACAGCGGAGGGCATTAGCGAGCTTCTCAAGTGTCCCCTCTACATGGCATCCGCCGGAGAGCTTGGCACCGACTCGCGCTACCTTGAAGCAGAGCTGCAGAAAATCCTTGACATTTGTCATGCTTGGGGCGCCATCCTGCTCCTTGACGAGGCCGATGTGTTCCTCGAGAAGCGGAACCTCCACGAGATTGCCCGCAACGCGTTGGTTAGCATCTTTCTGCGTCAGCTGGAGTACTTCCAAGGCATCTTATTCCTGACCACGAACCGAGTCGAGGTATGGCCGCTCGTGCTTTTTTCCGTGTTTTCCGGGCACGCGCTAACACTTAGAAAGACATTCGACGACGCTTTCCAGTCCCGCATCCACATTGCCTTGCGGTACGAGAGCCTCAACCAAAAGGCAAAGAAGTCCATCTTCAAGATATTTGTCGAGAGGGTCCGTGTCCTCGAGAAGGTCGACCTCAAACCTTTCAGTGACGAAGACTATGACGACCTTGCAAAGCACAACCTGAACGGCCGACAGATCAAGAATACCGTCCGCACAGCGCAGGCCTTGGCCGTCAACAAGGGTGACCCCCTCAGCATGGACCACATTAGGCAGGTCCTCGATGTCCAGAACAGCTTTGACCTTCATCTAAAGGGTGGAGAGTCGTACAAGGACGCCATGCGGAGCTACTACTGAGAGGTTGATGGTAGCCACTCTTTACAATCGTGAATGAAGATGTTTTCTCACAAAATTGTTGATTGGCAATCTCTTCATACTTGGGTGGTTTCAAAGTGCCATCTTTTGTAGGCAGGCAAGAAGCCCAGCGAGGGACAGATTAGGTACTGATTTCTCTCAATCATGGATACTTTCAATCACAAGATACATTCTATTTTGGATGAACCAATTGCTTACCCAAAATATCTTATCTTCCCCAGTCTCAGATGTCCCAGAGCCTGGTCGTAATTCCATCATTAGCCCAGAAGCCAATATAATCTCTTAGCATTCGTAGGGGATCCCGTAGTGGCAGCTTGTATCCAAAGGAAGACCGTTATCCCAGCATTCGCCTTTAGGAAAATAATATGAATATGGAATCATGTATGGCATCAATTTAATTAAATATACTATTGTTTCTTTCGTACCTTGTCTTTGTCCTGTCCTCTGCACTCTTGCGTCGGCATCCCCCAACCCTTAGTCAAGGTGCAGCTTATGTGAAACGCCGCAGTCAGCTGCATTAAGTAGCTGCTGAGACATCGAAATATTCATCTGGTAGGCGTCGATTGAATCCCCATAGACTCTGCAAAAGGAATAGGCATCCCAGTCTTATTTCGCGTAGCATGTAGATTTTAGGGCGATCGGGGTTGCCGGCAGGTCATCCACCGACGACCGTACATACTACGTAGCAGCACCGATTTATGCTCTACTACGTACATCGTTGCGGGCTGTATGGCTATGCCTCACAGAGAGGATAGCTAGTTGAAAATGGCACACTATAGGACCGCATTCGGCGGCAGTGGTCTACAAGGTTTGACCAGCTTCTAGAGAACACGGCGGACCGCAGCAGGCGCTCCCAGGCACTCGAATCAATCGCGTAATCGAAGAATACCTAGGAGGGGGGCTACGGTTCGACCGGATGGCGAGCTGTTAGGGCGCTGTACACGGGCGAGCCCAGCACAGAGGATATATGATTGCTTGAAGAGTTGGCGATAAGTTGGCCGTTGCCGAGATGGCATGGGGAACCCGAGAACAGATAGCTAATCGCGTTGGCCTTGCCTTCCCCCCCATGCTTTCTCCTTTATTTTTTTCATCAGGCGTTACTTCGTCCCAAGAGTGTGGGTTTGGCGAATGGCAGGCACCCTTCGGGTCAAGAATTAACGGCCCGGCTTAATGACCGAATAGAGTTGTTATCTTGACGAGAGATGGTTGGCTGAGCCGAGAAGCGAGTAGGGCTTACGTAAGATGATATGCGACCAGGACCGGGCGTCGGAGGTTCGAGACGACAGAGCCCGAAAGGGCCGAGAGCTTATGAGGCCACTTCCTCATCTCACCTGTCACTCGGCGCATCGCATCGCATCGCATTGCATCACATCGCATCGCAAAAGGTAACAATACCCGGAAGCCTTGCTCATAAGATCCAAACGCCACTCTGACGCCTGTCGCTCGTTACCTAACGAGCAAGCCTCTTTCATTGGGCCCGTCCAGGCACTCGTTCTGAGAGCCAATAAGCTAGCAACAAGAACGGAAAGCCACCAGCTGACGTCGGACGACATGTATGAGCCATATGCGGTAAACGAGCCGCCGACAGAGCGGCCCAAGATCCTCTGTCTCCACGGCGGAGGGACATCGGCGATGATTTTCCAGATCCAACTCATCAGGCTGTCGCGGATGCTGGAGCCGCAGTTTGAATTCGTTTTCCTGGATGGACCGATCGAGGGGGAGGCCGGGCCCGGGGTGCTCCCTGTGTTCGAGGGATGCGGGCCATTCCGGCGGTGGGTGACGGACGACCCGTCGCTGCCGGCAGAGGAAGTGCAGCGGCAGAAGGAGACGGCGATGGAGCTGCTCAAGATGTACATGCAGCAGACGGGGCCGTACGTCGGCGTGATGGGGTTCTCGCAGGGGGCGCGGGCGGCGGCGAGCCTGTTGCTCGAGCAGCAGCGGCAGCCGTTCGTGCCGTACAACCTCTTCGGGGTGTTCCTGTGTGGGACGTATCCACCGTTCGTGCCGGACGACGAAAAGATCAAGGCTCCGACGGTGCACGTGGTGGGGCTGTTCGACCCTTGGAAGCCGGCGAGCGAGGAGCTCATTGAGCTGTGTTCGGAGCAGAGCACGCGGCAGGTGGTGAGGTTCGCGGGGGGGCACCATCTGCCAAACGTGCCTGACACGATTCAGAACATTGCGGCCATGGTGATTGATATTTGGAAGGAGACATCGGCTGCGAGGGTCTGATATTGTCGGTCGGCGTTTTGTCTAGTCCATGGGCCTGGTCTTGGTCTTGGTCATGGCCATGACGATGGCTTATCTGCAGCGAGCCGGACCCGAGAAGGCAAGCAGAGGTCGGATGGGAAGAAAGAAAAGGCCCTGGTACCTATGAGTTGATTGGATGGGACGATGGATCGATGGCAATACCTAGATGGATGGCCAGGGGGGGTTAGAGAAAGTGGGAGGTAACGGCGTTGTTAGATGGACGTGGTGATGGTGGGGTTGGAGAGCGAGAGGAGTGCGGGTCTGGCACTGAAGTAGCAATAACGAATGACACTGATGAAATGGCCTTCCATGTGGGACTGTGCCGGACAATGCGCCATCGCCGTTGCAGTGACATGGTTGGGTCGGTCAATTAATCGAGTGAGTTGATTGTGAATATAGGGTTGTAAGAGGTTCTCGTGCAATATCGTCATAGAGACACCAAGAAAAAAGGAAAATCACCCGAACTCAATCAACGGGCACAGGAAGGAGCGGTTGAAGCGTGGCAGCCAGATTTTAGCGCCAATGCAGTGGGGTCGACCATTTCCAAGCGGGGCTAGCGTGGATGACCATCCAGTGTACCTGATTATCTCAGCACCACCAAACTCCCACCGCATCCTGTTAAGGGTGCTAGTCCTCACCTCCCCTGTCATTCAGAAACAGTGCCCCGCTGTCGGTCGACGTCACTTGCAGAAGGCGCAACGCACTAGCAGGCAGCTTCGAGCTTCGCTTCCTGGCTCTCTCTAGTGTACTATGTTATCTCTCTGCCATCCACCAAAAAACAGGGAATGGTGCGCGCGGCGCTACACACCTCATTGGCGAGCAAGTCTGCGCGGCAGCTACTTTTTGGTTTGTTTCTATTTACTCTTATGTTTTCTTGATCATCGTTGCCGTCGTGGAACGTCCTTCTTCTTTCTTCCTTCTCTGCCGCAACAAGCTCGCGAGAAGGTGCTTTGCTGCGACTCTCTCGTCAATTGGCTTCTGTCGACGGCTTCTTTCTCCCGCCGAAATTACCGACGATAACGACGACAGCGACTACCAATACGTCGCCCATAGCATAGGAAGGCTCGGCCCTCCCTAGTTACTCTCACTCCCATCGTCGACGAGACTCACTCGTAGCTAGTCGCCATGGCCGCCTTCAACTGGGTTTCCCGTATGCTTGGCTGGGACCGACACTCAAGACATCACCACGACTTCCATTCGGACTGGATTCGCGATGACCGTAGACGCCGTACGTAACTCTTCTTAGTCTTGCATTCACTTGCGCTCCTCCACCTGCTACCTTCGCGATGCCTGTTCTTCAATCGCTTCCCCTTGCTTACAAGAGGGTCTACTGTCCCGCACCAGTCCTGCCCCAGTACCGATCCGAAGACCTCGAGTCCGCCATCCCTGCCCCCGAAGTCACAAAGATCGCTCTGAAGCTCCGCCATCTGGTTGAGCTGGCCGTGCCCTGCGAGCTGGACGAGGACGACATCACAAAAGCCCACAGCACCATCATCACTAAGAAGGTCATCAAGGCCGCCAAGGAGGCTGGCGGCTCCCACTACGGCTCCTGTGTCGTCTTCTGCCTCATCGTCTGCAAGAGGTGGTTCAAGCACCAGGCACTGACAGAGCTGTGGGATGCCGACCTGCATCGCGTGCGCGCCGTGGCCTGTGAGGTCATTGCTAAGCAGATGTGAGTTAGAGAATCAGCCAGAACAATACTGTTGGAGAAAAGACAAGTCCTGCCTAGCGCTAACCGCAACTGCTGCGCAGCATCGAGGGAGAAGAGGACCTCCAATACCTCATGCACTCAGTTCTGCTCCGCCGCTACTCCATCATCGTCGACGGCAAGTCCACTCCTCCCGCCAACGTCATCGAAAAGGCCGTCGATCTTCACGCCGTTAGGGTTATTGGTTCATCGGGCTACCAGAAGTGTATCTCCTACCTGTGGAAGGGATGGCTGGTTCAGGACGAGAACGACCCCTCCGTCTTCGTCGACTACAAAGACAAGACTAACCCCTCCTTCCTTGTTCACATGGACCCCGACCGTATTCGTGCTCCCATGTACCAGAACGCGACGCAGGTCATCATCTCCCTGGTCTACATCGGCCTATACACGGCCGTGATCAATTCGGTCAACGCCAAGGGTGTCTTGGACTCGGCCGAGGTGTTGTTATACATCTTCACGCTCGGCTTCATCTGTGAAGAGGTCACCAAGTTCTGGAAGGCCGGCTACCATATCCTGGGTTTCTGGAATGCCTTCAACGGCATTCTCTACTCCTTTATCTCGCTGTCCCTGATCCTGCGCATCATCGGCCTGACCCATGGCGAGGGCGAAGATGCGCGGAAGTACTACAGCGAGCTCAGCTATAACTTCCTGGCCTTCAGTGCGCCAATGATCTGGTCTCGCCTGTTGTTGTACCTCGACAGCTTCCGCTTCTTCGGCGCCATGCTCGTCGTGCTCAAGGTCATGATGAAGGAGTCCATCATCTTCTTCGCCTTGCTGGCCGTGTTGATCATTGGCTTTCTCCAGGCATTTGTCGGCCTTGATCTGGCCGACGATCTTGTCGCCGAAGACATTACCTTCATCATGTCCGCCATGGCCAACGCCATCATGCAGAGTCCCGACTTTAGCGGGTTCGACAAGTTTTCGCCGCCGTTTGGCATCATACTCTACTACTGCTTTACCTTTATCGTCATGGTAGGCCTTTCCCGTTCATGGGATATCTGTTGCAGTCGCTAACCACAACGCAGGTCGTTCTGCTCAACATACTCATTGCGTTGTACAACTCGGCGTACGAGGACATCTACGACAACGCCAACGACGAGTACCTTACGCTGTTTGCGCAAAAGACTATGCAGTTCGTCCGCGCGCCCGATGAGAACGTTTACATCCCGCCTTTCAACCTGATCGAAATGGTCGTTATTGGCCTCTTCTGGTGGATGGAAAAGTCAAAGTTCGAGCGCATGAGCGACTTCATCATGGGTTTCATCTACTCGCCTGTCCTCGTTTTTGCAGCCGTCTTCGAGACGCGATCGGCCGCCGAGATTAGAAGTAACCGGGCTCGAGGCGAGGAAGACGACGATACCATCGAGGAATGGGAGCAGATGATGGACCAGGTCGACTTTGAGTCTGACGGTTGGAACAAGGTGTGCATCACGGCCAAGACGGACCTAGATGTCGACCCGACGATTTCCGAGGTGCAGAAGCTGCGCAGCGAGGTCGAGGAGCTCAAGAAAATGCTGGTGGACATCTCAAAGGCCGTCTCGGCTGGAAACGCCGGCAACACGCAAGCAACCAATAACCTGATTGACCTCGGCGAGACCACCGCTCCTGCCGCTGCCGGGGGCTCGGACAAGAACAAGAAGAGGAGCAAGAAGGGAAACAAGAACAAGAACAACCAACAGCCGACAGGCGACGACGGCAAGGCACCAGGGGGCTCTAGCTCGAGTGACGAAGAGTGAAGAGCCTTTATCTAATGGATCGAGGAGGGTGGCGACCCGTGCTGAATGATGTGCCCCTTTCTGTAGTGGCGTGTATATCTTTCCCGGACCGACATGTTAAATAACTTTGCGGGGTAACGAAGCAATTTTGATCCGATTTTCCGGTTACCCTGGCAGAGGGAACATTGTATTCGCAAGCGAGTCGGGAAGCGTTGGCGTTGGACATCAGTCATGGTTCTGTAATTAGCATGAGGGGCGCGCGAGAGAGATTGGATAGTCTTCTAAATTGGAGGACCACCGAGTTCGGGGTAAATGTGCAGTATTAACCCGACCCCGGCTCAAACGCGATTCAACCAACTAGGTATGGACCGACGAACCGAAAGGGACGATCTTCAATTGGCAGCTCCAAGGTTTCTTAGGAACGTGGGAAATGAACAGCAATTGTCCCGTCCTCCGGCTCAACTTGTAGGCAAAGAGGAAGGGGGGGTAGTGGCCCGGAAAACACGGAGGGGCTTGGCCTGGTCCGACCAAAGTTCAAGGGGTTGGAGGGAGACGTCGCAGCGTGCCGACCAGACTGGGATCTTAATTATATTGCGTAGTATCCGTATTGGCATCTACTTTCTTTGGGGCTTCATCCAGCTGGGCGCTCAGGAAATCCCGGGAGACATGACTTGTTCACAGAGCAACAATGGGGCAGGCCGGCGTTGACATGAATTGCACTGAAAAGATGAAAAAGAATGAGGAGAGAGAAGGGGGGGGGGGGGGAGAGAGCGCGAGAGGGAGAGAGAGAGAGGCCCCGAGACGGCACAGTGAAATCAGGCAACGCGAGCCGGGTAGCGCAAATGCCCATCAATAGCCCGAAGCAATATCCAACTTCTAACAGCGGCCTATCCTGGATCGAGCGGCAAACCTCAAGCTCGAGACGTTTTAGAGTTTTGCGGCGCTAATAGGTGCCCCGGTCGCAGCGGAGTGGCTGATTGGTGCCACCGCCCCCACGCCAACAAGCTTGAATCTGGGAAGAAGGGCGGGGGAGGGTACGAGAGCGAGTGGAAGAGTGAAAGTGAGACGCTCACTCTTGAGAGGGAGAGAGAGAGAGAGGGAGAGAGAGGGAGAGAGAGGGAGAGAGAGGGAGAGAGAGGGAGAGAGAGGGAGAGAGAGGGAGAGAGAGAGACTGAGAGAGATGCGATGTGTGGCTGTTTCTGTTTGGGACGAACGACGTACCGAGGGTTTTGCCATTGTCTCCGAAAGCCCTCTGTGGTAACGTAGCGCCCCTTACGGTTGAATGCTCAGTGGTCTGGCGTGTAATAACAAAAGGGGACATATTGACTGGGAGAGGGGAACCGTCCCGCGGAACTCGGCACAGAAGAGGCCTGCTGTTTACAGCGGGTACAACTCAATGCCATTGATTTCTCGGGGGGTTTATTTCTATTTTCTCATCTTTCTTCAGCGCAGGCACATGAACAACCGGAATAACCTGAAGCAGATGGGCGAGTCTGAAGCAGTGACAAGCGAGTTGACGGGGTCTAGGGTTTACGAAAGCCTCGGGCGAGTTCGGAGGGGGGCAATGAAAAGCGTCCGAAAAGGGGAGGGGGTCTGAAATTCTTGTGTAGCAGCTGGACGACGGTCTGAAGTGGTGGACGATTGGGTTTTAGTCTGTCGTCTGGCAGACCGACTGACAGGCTGGTGATATGTTGAGGCGCCTCATCCTCATCATCCATCCTCATCGTCCTGGCGCTTGCATCGGTGGTAGGGAGGGGATGGATGATTTACGAAACCATCTCATCGTTGGCGGCGGGAAGGACGGGACAAGACTTTGGTAGCTGCAGATGCGGATGCGCGGCCGTGTCAGCTGTGTTGGATTTTATTTATCGGATTGGTGAATTTCCTTGCTCTTTTCTTTTCTTCCAGCTGGTTTCCGTACATCGTCATCGTTGAAGTCGTCGTCGTCGTCATCCGGTCTCGGCCGATCAAGCAATGAATGGTGGGCACTTTGACGTTTGGCGTCAATGTCAAACGACATGGCGTATCGTCGTCGTCTTTTCTCAGCCCGTCGTCACATCTTTTGCCTCTCAACCCTCTCCAGGTTCCCTCCATCAGGTAATTACCTAGTGCATCTAGACTACATAGCGCCGCCGTGGGCGGCCGTGAGCACCGTGATACCGCATCGGGCATTCTAGACACGTTCCAGGTCTTTGGCACAGCGCAACGGTACAGAACAGTGCAGCGGTGCAGCAGTGCAGCAATGCAACAGCAATGCAACAGCGCGGCATCGCGGCACAGCGGCACCGCGGCACAGCTGCAGACCCCAAGATATGAAAAAAAAAGCTTGGTCTTGAACCGCGGCATCGGCACACGTCTGATGGCACCCTCAAGGATCTGCCAGCGTCGCGCTGAGGGTGCTTGGCCCTGCATGCTTGTTCGCCATCCAGGCACCAACACAACACCACCTCGGATGTCAGACACCCCCAGCCCGTCGCAGGGAACTGGGTGGGACCCTGAAAGGCGTTCCATCCGAGGGCCGGGGTCTTTTACTGCCGTTTTTGTTTCTGCCCTTTTACCGAGTACGACGCCTCTACCTACCTGATCTGGTGACTGGTGACCGGTGACTGGTGACAGACGCCTCCCGGCCCCAAGGGCCAACCTGCTTCCGAACGGGGAATCCAGTCTGCTACACCCTTGTTTTGGGAGGCGAGGAGGAGCGGAGCCCGATACAGCCAGTCGTCCGAGGGGACCGCTGGGCTTCCGTGTTTGGGTTCAAACGTTGCCTGGGTGGGGGAGTGAAGGGAAGGGCGCGCGCAAGACTTGAGGATGTTCCAAGGGGAAGGGTCCGTTTTGGAAGCGTCGGTCGTGTTTTCTGCGATACTGGGTTATCCTAACAGAGGCAAGACCTTTTGACGTGTATAAGAAGACGGAGATGCCCTCGCCGTTTACACCTCGGTCTTGTTCTCCCACCAAACCAAACAAAAACAATAAACAGTCTTCACTTCTTTCCTACAGCCCGGCGCTTAGAACCCCATACTAATCAACCTGCCTCCTTTTCAACCAGATAGTAAACCAGTACTATTCCAAGAACACCTCTCCAAAACGAAGTCAAGATGCACGCCTCAACCGTCCTCGCCGCTGTCCTCCCCGCCGCCGCCGTCATGGGCGCCACCCACGTCGTCAAGGTCGGCGATGGAGGCCTCAAGTTCACGCCCGATAACATCGAGGCCGCCGTCGGCGACTCGGTCGAGTTCCAGTTCTACCCCAAGGCGCACTCCGTCGCCCAGGCCGCCTTCGACACCCCCTGCATGCCCCTGACCAACGGCACCACGGCCGGCTTCTTCAGCGGACCCGTCCCCGTCACCTCGGGCGTCGGCTCCATGGCCTGGACCCTCGAGATCAAGGACAAGAACCCCAAGTGGTTCTACTGCGCCACCGGCGACCACTGCCAGAGCGGCATGGTCGGTGTCATTAACGCTCCGTACGTGTTTTCAATCTCTCCCCCCCCAAACCTCCCCGGGGGGGCTACGATGGACGCAAATATACTAACGCCCAGAACGCAGTGCCGGCGGCAAGAAGACCGTAGAGATGTTCGCCAAGACCGCTGCCGAGGCCAAGGCAAACGTTGCTCCCAGCTCCACCAGCGGTGGCACCATGGGCCCCGCCTCCGCCGCCAGCTCCGACTCCCCCAAGTCGAGCGATGGCTCCAAGTCCGGCGACGGCTCCAGCATGTCCATGCCCAGCGGCTCCAGCATGCCCATGCCCAGCGGCTCTAGCATGCCCAGCGCCGGCATCGAGGCCCGCGGCGACGTGCGATGGGGCCTGCTCAGCCTCGGCATGGCCGCCGCCGGCCTCGTCGGCGGGCTCCTCGTCTAAGAAGTTCTCGCTTCGCGCGGCAGCTTTTGTATCATCTCACGAGGGGAGGGGGGAAAAAAAGAGAGGGTTGGCGTGTCTTGGACTAACTACACGAGCGCGATGGACCAACTGTTTAATACCTAAACGCATCGCGTCATCCGCGAGGGGCGGGAACCTCATTCGAAACAAAATGAGGGGGAGACGAGGGGGTTTCAACGGGGACGGCGCTGTTTTTTTTGGCTGCTTGATCCGAAGTCTGGAGCTTGCCCATTCCCACTGAGTGGGGGAGGGCGGCGATGGAAAAAAAGAAAAACACTTCTTACCTATACATAGTACCCTACCGCATGTTCTTGGAATTTACATCATAATCGATACGATTTGAATGACGCTGGAATGTTCCCACGTGTTGTGACTGATAAAGAGCCTTGTGTTGTCTGTTTCGGAGGGACAGTATGTGTTGGTATTCTTCATCATTCACGGTTTTATCCGTACGCGAGTGACTGAGTAGGGTGTCGATAGATACATACAGACAGTCATGTGGTCAAATGCCCGCTTCGCTACGTGGTGTTTCGTCACGTCTAGGTATTTTCATAATCGTATTACAAACAAATCTACACGGAGGTTCTCGGGTCGATTGACATGGTTATTTCAACGCCATCGGCCTTCGTACATGCCCAGCGCGCCGTCCTACAAATTCTCGAGCCATGTACGGCCGGGCCTGTACAAACATCGGCCACTCATGCACCCGAGTTGTAAGGAGGGGTGTTGACGCCCTCGGCGCTGAGCCTCCCCACCGCCTCGACCGCCGCCTGCCTGGCGTCCTCCGAAGGCAGGGAGCTGTGCCACTCGACGAGCAGGTGATCGATGACCGTCCACGCCTTCATCTCCACGAAGTGGGGGATCAGGTCGAACTCGGCGCCCTCAATGTCCACCTTGACCACGACGAAGTCGCGGGGCAGCGTGTTCATGAGCAGCCACCGCGCGATGTTGACCGCCGACAGCACGGTCCCGGTGCTCTTCGAGTTGACCACGTCCGCGTGGTTGGCGTACGTCGAGGAACCCCAGAAGTCATGCGCCTCGTTGATGGTGTCCAGGTAGAAGGTGCGGGTGCCGTCGGTGACGTCGGCAACGGTGGACGGGAAGATATGTATCTTCTTCCCCTGCGCCGTGTAGCGCTCCTTGGCCTCGACGAGGGCAGGGTTGAAGACCGGGTTGGCCTCGAACAGGTAGATCTCTGTGATCGGATGGGAGCCGAGGCCGTCAGTAAACCTGCTCCCTACGGGTTTTCTTTCTTTCTCCGCTTCTTTTCTTACTCACCGGCCTGCTCGTGTGTTGCCCAGGATGGACGGGGGAAATCGAATTCAAACTTTGCTCCCGGGTGTTGCAGGAACGCCTCCAGCGAGTCCGCCCGGTTCGCGCCGAGGTCCACGAAGATGTATCGCGGTTTGCTTGCCCCCCTGTACAGCGCGCTCACGCCATCGGGCAAAATGTTGGTCTGGTGGAAGGTGGCAGCCAGGAAGAACGTGAGAGCCACGGCCACCAAGGCCACGGTTTTCTTGTTGAGGGCCATGGATGAAAACCTACGAACAGCGACTGAAAGTCTCTGCACAGGCAAGCGAGTGACACGAATGAGAATTGCGGAGCGCTTTATAGAATCGAACGAAATGGGGCGGAGGAGGGTGGGAGCGATTCCTGGCACGTCGAGGTTCGAGGGCCGAGTAGATCTCAATAGCAAGGAGGAAGGGGGTATGGGACACGAAAGAATTCATGGGCAAGTGGGATCAGCGTTCATATACCCGTTTGTACTGCAACAGCCATGTTCACCAGACGTTGCCCTTTTTTAAAGGGACATCGTCTTACAGATGGTGGCCTTAACTCGTGGTCTACTCGTCGAGACTGAATCATCCCTGCCCTTCCGCCCTCGCACTGTTCACTCAGCATCTGCCCTTCCGCTGCACAATTCCATCTCCAAACTCGAGAGGTCTCAATATATGGAGGTATAGGATAGATCGCCAGACAATTACATGGTCAATCTCGAAGGCACTGAATATGTAAGCTAAGAGGAGCCGCCTTCGAAAGCTGGTACTAGGGGGGTTTGGACCTCATGATCTACAATACTACTGCGTTTCTATCCAGAAGCCTTCTGTTGTGTTAAGGATTAAACATCAGACTTACACTGTGCTTTTCTACTGTTTTGTTGTATTATTGTGTACTTGTGCGACCCTACGAGGGACCGCCTTGCACATGCATCTCAACTCAATGGGCGAAATCATTCCATTCTTTGTATATTGTTCACCAATTGGGCTAGGCAGTCCAACAGTTTTGCACTCACGAATGCGAGGGAGAGATGGAGAAATGGAAGCTGCGCCTCTCGACCTGTACCCTGTTTCGGAACGCCACCCCCCCTCCCCAAAGCTTAGGACTGTACAATCTTTCCATGTGCATCAGTGGCCAACACGTTCCGAGATGGCACAGTTTTCTGTTATTGCCGGCATTCTGCCATAGACTTTGACATGCTGGAAACCGTGCCTGGCCGTGGATTGTGTCATCAGACTTACCAGATCGCTTGGGCATATTAACTGGTCGGTTGTCTTTGTAAATGATACCGGAACTGCGCTCAAGGTGGAGAGAGAGATAACCCTAGTTCTCCAGATACAATAATATACCTAGTGATGGTGATTGGCATGGTTTAAAAAGACTCATTAATATTTTAGTCGATGAGACTAAAAGTGATACCGCTGTGCTGGGTTGAACTAGTGGTTCTCAGTTCTACAGTATCAAGAAATTAACAAATGGTAAATTCTGTAGAATTGAACGAGTATGAACATCTTACATTCACTTGACCCCTTTTATTATAAAGCTGGGATGCGGTATTACAGATGTCTCTTCTACTTGCAGAGCAGTATCTCATATCAGCGTCCTACTAATTTTTAAGGCCCTAAGTTGATCCCAGCCGATTGAATAGATAAGGAGACCAAACAAAGCAATGCTGTAGCCAAAAGATTGCATGAATGTTATGCTCGTATGCCAGATAATGGTCGAGGCTAAAATGGGAAACATGTTCTTGAGGATGCTAGTAAGTGCCATGACGAGGCCAGATGTTTTGCCGATCTGTTTCTTCTTAATTACGGGATGTTAATTGTTCCGCGGATGAGCTTGGAGCTCTAACCAGAAAGACGCTCGAGACATTGAGCATAAAGGCGAAGGCGGCATTGAGCAGCAGCATGGGGAAACCTGCTCTGTCAAGATCCTGCATCTGAAAGGTCTTGAACTCGCTTGCCCATACGACAAACAGATTCATGACGGCAAAAACTGGGGCGTAATAGTATAGACTAACGAGAGGGTCCATTTGCTGTGCGTTCTCGTCGCCTTCCAACGGGACCTGGACCATCACCAGCCGTACGGCCTCAAAAACGATGCCAGCCATCTGGAAGACGAAGCCAACCCATGAAAAATTCGATCTCTCCGAAAGACGCAATTCCGACGCTAGCAACTATAAGCAGAATATTGTAAAAGGTTTTCATGGAGGGGGTGGCGACGCCCATGATCCAGCTGGTGAGGAGGACGGCGACGGGAGCCGCAGCCTTGAGCATCGGTAAGAAGGAGACTGAGAGGTACAAGTACGCTAGATTGGAGCACAAAAGTGAACAGGAAAACAACAATCCAATGGGGATGACGGCCCGAAAGTAGATGCGGTTAGTCATTCGAACCCTGTGGCGGCCGTTAAGGAGAGAGGTGGTCCGCGCCAATACTCGGGTCGCCAATGTCGAGAATACAAGATGCCAGCATGTTAGAAGAACGGCTTTGGTTATTATTAGTGATTGGCTTGTGGACTTGCTGTGGCAGTATTACGTCAAGTTAACATACGATATTCTGCGAGATATTAGTGAGGGACGTGAGCCACAAGTTCGGGTTTCATACCGAAGCCTGCCGTATCTAGGAACCATTTGTTAAACAAGATTGTAAGGTTGGAAAACAAGATCCAGCTCCTGCAAATGATTAACAATGCTAAGGTTATGTTACGACGGAGTGGTACGTACGCGATATGGAAAGCGGGGTGAGTGGATGTGTGTACAGATCCGACTGGACCTTCCTTTGTCGGCAGCACGCTCATCGCTATGTTTCTATTGAAAGCTGTAATGACTCATATGTTGGTACAAGATTGTGGCCAATGAGGATGTATTCAAACGAAGGAGGGTGGGTGTCGTCGGATAGGCGGGAGGCGGTTTGCGGCAAGTCAAAACCATGGGAGTATCGTTGTTGTAGGAGTTATATCGAACATACTGCCAGCAACGATCTCGGTGCGAAAGCGGCTTGGCTCTTGATTGAAAGTCCTTGAGAATGGCAAAGAGAAATATTGGAGACACATGTTTTGTAGCATATCAAGGTTTGACATGGCTGTGGTCACAGGGAGAGGAAATCATGGAAGGACGACAGTGCAACAAACGAACACTAGACCAAGGGATGCAGAGGTCACAGGTATGAACCAAAAAGGCAATGTTAACTACGAAATATAAGCTTTCTTCTTAGAAGCATCGTAGATTAGCCCATAGAAATAGTGTCAACTAGCTGTGGAGGGGCACTTCCTCAAGCCGTTGCAGTATCTGCAGTGTCTGTCTTAGTATCACACTTTATCCCATCATCCAGGTTGAAACTCGATAAATCAAGACTTATATCGCTTCAGAGCGAAAGAATGTGACGGCGTACAACAGCGACGTTTTGCCAGCTGATCTAAGAGTGACCGGAATCAAACCCGAGATTCTTATAGTTCGCCCCGCCCTTGCATAGGGAAATGCGCCCAATTCTTAGACATACCTAACCATGGGCGAAAATCAGCCGCAAACGAGGAATGTCTCGCCTGGGTTCATGCAGAGCCTGTAGTCAATAATATTAGGTATTTCCGCTATGAAGGACTCTGCGACTAGTCTCACTACTGTTGGAATGAATGTCTGGAATCGATTGGTCGCTTAGCCAGACCCGCCACTACTGATTTAGCTTGAGAATTCCAAACCGCAACCAATCCAATACAACTACCCTGATGAAAAGGAGTGTCCCTGATGCCGAGGAGACCGTTTTCCCGCTCTGAGCACATAAGATGATTTCAGAACGTGGCGGCTTCAGCTTCACCGGATTAGGGGCCCATTCATAGCCAGAGAGAAGAAAGAGGCTAGCGTAAACATGACGACAAGTAAGGGAGTGGGAAGATAGCCCAGTCCTCTGCGACTTGGCTTTTGGTAGGCAAGTATGCTGGTATATTAATCGCCCTGTCTACCTACTTCTTGTAGCTTTGGACCAAACGAGTTATATTGGCATCAACGTCGTCTTATGCCTGTACCAATCTTCTTATTGCGTTTGATAAGCTCCTATACTTTGACTTTGACCTGCGCAAGAACGATATTTCTTTATGGGCGCGAGAGACCCGTGAGAAAATGGCCACGAATCTTGACCTCGACCTACCCGAGCGCCAATCTCGAGATCACTCAGAGTACTCCTCTCTTTCGGTGACTCATGGGGAAGATTCTTCAGGGCGGCTAGCTCCGAGATTCGAGGACAGAGTTATCAATGAGGGCATTCCTGTCGCCCAGCACTTGCCCACTTGGTTAAGGTACGGGAAACGAGCATTATGGATCCTCATGCCTACATTTCTCCACCCATCGTCAACCAAGGTCACGCCTAAACCTCTTCATCCATCGGCATGGCTTGGTAAGTTTGTCACCTCTCACTACTTACCTCGCCGCTAACACAGTAGCGCAGATGGACTACGTGGCATATCTGCTTTGTTTGTCGTATGCCATCACTGGAGTCTCGTTGTCATGCCGGCCAACATGCGCCGTGGTTTCATGACTGACGACTATCCTATGTTTCTTCAGCTTCCCATAATTCGATTAACTGTTACGGGGTTTTCCGCTGTCTCCGTCTTTTTTGTCATATCTGGCTACGCACTTAGCTATAAACCTGCAAAGCTCGCAGCACAAACAAAAAACGTCGACTTCCTTACCGCCGTGGCCTCCTCCGTATTCCGACGATACGTTCGACTTTTTCTTCCAATCATGGCAACTTCCTTTGTGATTGCTTGTTTGGCGTACTTCAGACTTTTCGAGGTCGCCCCGGTGCCAAACCAGGCTGTTGTATGGGGCAGACCACCTGTACTTGACACTTTCTTCGATCAGATGAAGAATTGGTGTTCGCAATTCGGCTCATTGGCAGACCCCATTTCCAAAGACATAGGGCGAGGTGGAAGGTTTACCTACGACCCTGTACTTTGGACGATCCCTTTTGAGTATGATGGATCAATGCTTGTGTTTCTGACACAGATTGCCTTTTACCGACTTCGCCCTAGGATTCGAATTCTCTTCAATATCTTGATTGTGGTCTATTCCATTCACTCTGGCTACTGGCAATATTTCCTCTTTCTCTCTGGGCTTTGCATCGCTACCCTTCACTTCCATGCTCAAGTTAAGCATGGTGCGCATGAGCCCGCATCTCTGACGCTACCACTCACATCAACTACATGGACTTTTGAAACCTTTGGATCCTCATTCTCCCCCCTGGTGGCTCCAGGACGAAAAGATATTCGCAACAAGGCCATCCAAATCGCCTCCTTCCTCGGTGCTCTCTGGCTTCTATCATACCCAGACTCTACTGCTGCGATTGCGCCAGGGTACAGGACGATCTTCACTTTAACTCCTACCTCATATGGTGCAGAAGACTATCGCTTCTGGGTTTCTATTGCTGCTGTCTGGCTTGTTTTCACTGTCGACAAATCGCCAGTTATTCAGCCACTTTTCACAAATCGTTATGCTCAGTATTTGGGTCGCATTTCATATTCTATCTACCTTGTTCACTTTAGCATGATCTGGTTATATGGCATACATGTCATTCGATTTTTTGCTGTGGTCACGGGATCAGCTTTTGAGGCGAACTCAGCAAGTGTAAGCTGGGCTGTCAGCGCTATTTTGGCAACAATTTTCTTCCTCCCTGTCACATTATCTCTGGCAGACTTTGTGCAGAGATATGTAGATGTTCAATCTGTAGAATTTTCAGCTTGGTTGGAAACCAAGGTAGTTAGTAGGACAAAATGACGCTTGGTGAACTTGTTGGTAGACGTTCAACATTGAGGCATAACAATTTTTAATTAGAAAGGTTCATTATTACTAGAAAATCTTTCACAAAAAACAAATTAACAAACCTATGAATACTGAGAATGCATATATGAAGGGAATTAAATGTTTTCCCCAAGTGAGTAATTGCTTTCCAGTATGCATTCCGTTGTTGACTTCGCAGGTTATTAGGTCTCAAAATAGCGGAGGGATCGCCCAAAAGCTCAGAAATTAACTCCGTGTTCCGTAATTATAAGTACTTCTTACACATTGCTATTCTTGCACCGATCAAGTTCCTTTCATGAAGCCCTTTTAGTTTGGAAAAGGGATCTAGAGGACCTCATGCTTCGGCTCCGGAATATTACTTTCTCAGCAATGAACTTCCTCAGGATCTCGCCCCCGAGATGGTCAACCTAATGACTACCTTTGCTTACAACTGTCTTCGTTTATAATTAATTGTGGCATTGCTTATCGCTTGTTCAATCGTTTCCTTACCAGCAGGTTGCTTGCTTCCTTCATTCTCTCACTGCGTCTATTCACGTCGCTGCCTTGCTACTGCCCAGCAGCAGCTCTCACAGCCCATTTTCACTATCAAATCCGAAACGGCTACTAAAGGGGCTTTATGTAAATTCTTGATAGATTAGTAACTACTTTGCGATCTTTCTCTTGGAGGCTGTGGTTCACTAATCATTGGAGTCAATTCTTATAAATATCATGGTTGCAGGTCCTCATGCTCAGGATAACTGCTTGTTTTCAATTTGCCAGATATCACTACAGGTCAGACCTAAGGTCCCGATGCAACACATTAGTCTATCTCTTCGCATCCATTCTACTAGGCACTCGGGAGCGCTTTCGTACAGTCTGTCAACTCGTTTATGTTGAAGACTCCAAGAAGGCTGAGACGAAGGTATTCTCTCGCGTAAGCCTGTGCGCAGGTTAGCTATGTTCATCGGAATAACACTCAAGTGGCGACTTACAGCACCCCACAGCGGTGCCTGCTCTGCAAAAGTCTTGAAAGCCGGGGCAGACCTTGGGTCTTTCGACAGGACCGTGTCGCTAGGGAAGGTCACGATTTCCGAAGGAGCTGCAGCCAGAGTTTGCTGGTAGAAGAGGACATCCCAGGTTGCAGGTGTTGTGTCCTGAGGGGCGTTGGCGCGTGCCACATCAAAGAACCGTTGGCGACTGACAGTGTGTGCGCCGACGAGAGCGACGAGGCCGGGAGGGGTGATGGTCTTATTCGCAAATAAACCAATCAGCTTGTCCGCGTTGTCCCTTGGGTCGGGCAACAGGCCGTCGGGACAGGCCACAGATGAGTCCTTGCGGCCGACGAACGTCTTGATCCTGGGCCCGCCGGGGCACGCCACGGTGGCCGTCGTCGCAGCGAATTGGATCAGGTCCGCCATGCCAGCGCCAAATTTGCTGTACTTATCGTGCCAGACCTTCATCTGTTCCACGATGTCCTCTAGGCCTCTGTTGAGGGACCGCCCAATCTCCTCGGGTGCGAGGACGATGGACCCGTCAGCGCCACCGAGGTCGCCGGTATTTTTGCTCCACCCGGCGGCATCGTGGAAGCCCAGGCGGATGGACGCGCGGGCAGGTTCAGTGCAACCATTTTCGTCGCGGAATGTGGTAATAAGGTCGTTGGCGACGTGCTTCCATACGCAGCACTTATCCGCGGCGCAGTCGTTGCTGCCAAGGTCGGGGACGGCATCTACAGAGTCCGAAGAGACGGCGCTGCCATCGGCAGTCAATATGCCCTTCACGTCTTTTCCGACATCGGAAAGGTCGTTGTCAGAAATATTGAGCAGGTCGCCTATGGCTTCCTTGTCATCGGCCCGGGCGCTGTATTTGCCTCCATTGGGTCCGCCGCGGCCCAACATTGATATCAGGTCCTCATGGGTCACGCCGTCGGGAACCCGGCCCATGCCAGGGTAAGCAACGACAATGGCAGTGAGTGCTGTCAGAAGGACAACTGCTTTATTCGAACGAGGCATCTTGTCGAGTTGGTGGGAGTAGCTCAGGAAATGGCAGTGAGACTGGGCTCAAATGGAACGAATGTGAAGAAGCGGGTGGAGCGAGCGACTATGTGTATTTCCTAGGCCTGTAATAAGGTTGGCTGAGCGAATGACCTGGTAGATCTTTTCTGTTCTCTTCAGCCTAATTGCTGACAGCAGAAATACCAGTCTCTAGTTATATGTTTGCTCCTCGGTCGGGCTGTTGGTGGCAACGAAAGGATGTCCGGTCTCCAGGATGTCCACCTCCATACATTTACTGATAACCGAGGGCTCGGTCCCGAGAGGGAATGCAGGATCCATTAGTTTCGCTCCAGACACCGAGGCACGGATACTTTGTTTCGTCCTCAAGACAGTAACCAAAGCCACCACATAACACGGGAAGTTCACTTGTAAGACCCGAGATCCTGTGGCTATTGCAGCTTAGTTTCTGTGCCGCCTAGTTCTTGGCCGATGATCTTGCCTCCCATCCCAACTGTTGGCTTACGTGGCGTTGCCATTCTGCGGCCTTCAAAACCGTAGTCTGATGCCAGCCCCTCGAGTCCGTGGGCATATGGGTCCGTGGGCAAAATAACGAACGAACTGAATAATTGTCCTCGTGGGATAGTTGATGTGCCGAGTTATCTGACCGAATTCTTTGATATAAGCTGAAAGAGCGCAACCTTGTTACCAAACGCTCAATCTTATTGTTCGGATGCCGCGTGTAAGTTCAGAGCGCTCGTCCCAGCCTCCACTGGCTCATGTACTATTCGCTTAGAGATGACTGATCGGATATGGAAATCTTTAGGCTTACGATTAAAGGTGAAATCAGTTTCATTCGTATGTGATCTCCTCTGATCCTTCTGGTAGGCGCATGACGCGATTCATGATAGCAAGGACTAGTTCTCGCAGCAAGGATCTGTCGGCCATTCGATGCATACATCCCGTATCTCATTTGTCTCCACTAAGGTCTATCTCACAGCAGATCAAGAACCAGAAACTGGAATTGAGAGTTGATGTATGAATGTACCTTGTCAAGGCCACTTCCTCAGTAAGTGCCGTAATGTCTCGATTCTGGTATTTCACCTTTGTAGCAAGTGGCTAAGACGTTCCCTCCCACTTCCAGTCAATGAGAACAAGCCAAAAATAATCCAGACGTGTCGGCTGTACGGCAAGTGTGCCCACGTCAACTGACGTAGCTAACGTAAGGGCCGGCCGTGCTTCAGTCTCTCGGACATCCGAGCTTACACGCCGTGACGCCCAAGCCGGCACCCAACCACATAAGGGTGAATCTGGAACTTCGATCGCTAACATCGCAGACTATCCGCATCTTGAGAGGCTCGCAACAAGAGATAAAAATTAACAAAGCATGAAGCTAATGCACTTGTCGGACATCGCCACAATCCCGGCCTTTGGACAACGACTTTGTATGCCGGTGGCCGAGATCACTGTGCCACCACAGAGCTTACCCCCAGTTGCGTAGCTGGCGCATTTTACAGGAGGAGAGGGGAGCGGTGGGACGTCAGAGTGACTGATTACGCCGTGCCGGATAACCATCCATCCGTGAGGCCTCCACGATTCTGCACTTCATGTATTGCTAATTCTCAACAAATAGTATGCCCACAACCTCATGAGGCAGAGCTGATATAAGGCTGATGTTTTGTTGAACACGCGAATAGTAAGAATATCCGCACATTTTGTATATTTAGACTCTTGCTAAACTAGAGATTACCGGTCTCACTAGTACACCGAGCTACACTTCACTCTTAGTAAATATAAAAGTGAATAACCCTCTGCATACGTATGTCCATCTCCAATGCAGTAGGGCGTGGACAGACGACGACCACTGGTAAGACTTAACAAACAGGTTTCATAGGCGTCGGCGCTATCTCACGCATGATGTCAGCGTCACACTCCAAGCCCATTTGTCTCACCCAAAACGATTGGACATCTCAGATTCGACTATTCCGTCCGAATGATAGGCGTATTGCCAAGATAAGTAGACTATCAAGTTTTCCATTCATTCCAGCTTCTATTTCAAGATGCCCTGTATTAATCATCCCTCCATTTCTTGTCCTAGCCTTCTCTTCACTGACAATGCCTGGATCATCCCGGTCGACTCGTGCGGCCTTAGGCCAGCGAGATTAGCCGCAACTGATAGACACAGTAATTGTACGTTGGTAAGCCTCTGGCCAGTTGCCCTAAGGCTGACGTATAGTGGCTCTTTGAGTAGCATCTCAGAAGCCCGATTAGATATGAAGGCTTGTGCCCACAGCAACCGCCGGAGGATTGATCGTATGACAGTCGGTTTTCAAGTGAGAGGTAGCGGGTAAAATGACGCAAGAACCATATCAGATCATAACACTAGCTATACCCCTACCCCGGACCTTCCATTAAAAACACGGATTAGATCTACCCTGAAGGCTAAGATGGAGACAACGGGGAGGTGTGGGAAATTGATATCGTCGGGGAGCAGTATAGACACCATGACCCGCTACTGGCCTGGTCGACTTACACATCACGAGACTGCATCACAATTAATGGCGAATGGGGTTTGCGCAGTGAACGCAACCGGCCTGATCAGCGATGAGGAGCTAGCTTTCCACATACAAGTGCAACTTCTTCGCGAGGCAGAGCGAGTGAACTACAACACTTTGCACAAAGTCTTTGAAGGCGACCACCTTGGCATTAGGAACCGATAGGAAGAACGTATTACCGCTCAGCTCGGGCACATCTTTTCTCGAGGCGTCGCGGATCAACCACTTGTGCCAGCGCAACGCCCAGAACATCTGGAATACGATCTGGGCAAACTCACAATCCACTTGTTTGGGGACGTCTCTGAAGTCGAAGAAATTCCATGTTCCTTTTCTCAACAAATTGGAAACTTCACTACTAGGGAATCATGCTTACAGCAACCTTTAGAGTCTATCTGTTCCCACGAGCAATATTCACTGCCGGACGACAGACGTTCCTTGGGAGGAGCGGCCGGTGAGCTCGGGTTACCTGAGCCGCTGGACATGGGATTCTTTGGATCCCTCATATTGGTGGAGAATGCGGCATTTCGCCACTCCGCGCAAGCCGAGGCGAGAATGACAGAGCCGAGTGCGCTGCGGGACCCAGCCTTTCCGCCCATATGGGCGACCGGGTTGGCATCCTCGGGTTGAACGGCGCAGGCAAATTGACCCTTGCGAAGCTTCTTGTTAGTGGGACGAGGCCCATCTGCGACACAGTATTAATGACCCATGCTTGGTTGAAGCTCGAGTACTGCTCCCAATACTCCGTGAGAAAAAGGCTGTGCCAATCATTCTGCGACAGGTTCAAACCCGTTCAAAGGTGAAGTCGCCAGAGAGCCGGGCCAAGGCCTGATCTGTAGTATTTTGGGCAACCACAGCTTGCCCGGTTATGTCGTAACCCTTTGCCCCACGGGGATGTTGTCAGGTAGCCGGCTCGTGCGGCGCAAGCTCACGCGCCTTGTTAGCGGAAACTGTAATGCCTCATCTTTAACGAGGCAACGGCCCATCTCGACCACAAGACGGCAGCGGGCCGTGCGGCGAGGCCGTGACTGATGAACTGGCGATGATGGCATTGTTAAACCTATCATCAAGGTCGTAATAGCAGATTCGTAGGGTGACTGACGTGCCAGCCACGATGACTTCATTGACCTCTGCCACCAAGGTTGCTGAAGACCATGCGCCTTGATTAACACTGCAGACAATACTGGAGACAGCTTCACTCTCCAGAAACCTTGCTGGTATGTAAAGGTCGATCACAAACATCACTTAGAGGGGTGTAACCATCTAGTTCCGACAGTGTTGCATGACTGTCGATATCCGGTATGTGGACCACCTCATCAACACGGGCCGCGCTAAATAGATCCCTGTTCATAAGAGTGCCAGGATCATTTAAGCAGCCGATGAGAATGACTTCCCTATATTGGGATTCCAGGTCATCCCGAAAGAAAGTCTGGCTGATTTTGCCCCCAAGGGAGGAGGACGAAGTTATGAGCGAACGGATTTTCCCGAACTAACCCATTCACTATTCCATAGTATTCGCTACCGGAACAAAAGCAACAGTGGGCGCGATCAACGGCCAATCAATAGAGCTCAGCTAATCCAACAGCAGCATCATGCGGCTCTGCCAAGTCAATTTCAATATCTATAAAACGGGCGGCTCCACGGGGATTTTCACTTTTTGGCCGGTTGCCGCTGCGGGCCGCGATGGTACGAAACGGGATCGGAAATTAAGAGAGGGGCTTGAACATCCTTTTTTGGGGAGAGGAAACAATCACGGGAAACAAACATTGGTTCTCTGTTGAATACTTAAAACTCAGCGACCTTGATCTGACAACTTATGATTCTACTAATTTTCAACGGTTTCTTCATTATCGGGTCTCTGGTTATTGGTACGTATTCTTTTACACTTTTTTGTTCTTCTTCATCGGCTGTCGTTCGTTACAGGCACAGGATGTCTTCAATTCTTTTCATCACCGGCCTGCTTGCGGGCATCGCTCAAGCCTATCCCATTGAGTGCGAAGTGACCTCACACAACCTCAGACCAATAAGACTACAGCAATCCAGATTAACTATCCAATAGTTGTTAGTAATCATTTGCAGAGACCCATATTTGGGTTATGTGAGGTCACTTCGCACTCTACACCACCGATGGCGGCAAGACCTACACACCCATGCCCGTCTCGCGCTTCAGCGCCTACTATAACCTCGGTGAAACCCCGGCCGAGGTCGCCATCCCCCAGAATCTGAAGATGGTCGCCGGCGATGCCGAGGCCCTGACCCAGGATGCGATGATCACCGAAGCCCAGTCCTCGTGGGGCTGTGAGAACGGGGAAGGCGAGAGCCTTGACGCCAACGGTTTCCCCAGCACGACCTGCGGCACTCACGTGCATCAGCTCCTCTTCTTCCCCCAGTGTGTCAACACCGAGACCCTCGAGACCACCTACAAGGACCGACGTGGCGGCACCTGCCCGAGTGGCATGAAATCGATGCCCCAACTTCGGTTCTCCATCCGGTATGACGTGCGTAAGGTCCTCCCCAATGGCTGGACCGGCACCGCGCCTTTCAAGCTCTCATGCGGCCCTGCGTGGTGCTCCCACGGCGACTTTATCAACGGCTGGACCGAGGAGGCTGCGACGAACATGATTGCCACCACCGAGGAAAAGATGAAGTTTTCTGCCGTAAGCGGCGCTCTAGGGGATGCCGGCTCTGGTCCTACCTGCAAGGCTAAAGACGCCGACCCCTCACACGGCACCGGCGACTACGCTAAGAGCGTTGCCGTTATGAGCAAGCGCGATGTTGATTCTTCGGGATGGTCCTCCAAGTCGCGATATGTTCGTGCATGATCCGAACACGGGGGAAATGAGCGGCAGTGAGGTTGTACATAGGCCATATGGGTCGAACTTTATTTGTAACATACTACTTTTATGAGCGATTATACTTGGCTCCAAAAGCCACAAACCTCCAGAGCGGCTTTGGCGGTGGGAGTACTTGCATTCATCACGACAACAGATTATGTTTCTTATTCACCGGTTGCATGGGGGTTGCGATTGCGAGACCTTTCTGAAGTCTGGCTCAACCTATTGATGAGAAAAGAGTCAATAGAAGCTCCGAGCTGGCAAAATTGAAGATGAGAACCGATGTATGCTAAGAAGCAACCGCTGAGTTACACAGGGTTTGGCTTTGGCACCATCACTAGCTTGAGATCGGCGCCATCAATGTGTTTCCCATACTTCAGTTTCGCGTAAAACACGCCCTGGGCAGACAACAAGGTCCAGAGGCTTCTCGGTAACCACCGTGGTAGCAGCCAAGAGTCGTTTCGTGACTTCATGTCGCGCTCCGAGTCTATCTGGGCCAAGACGGTGGCGCAGCGGCATGAGATGATCGCAGCAGAATTCGGCGATGCGTCCTCGATGCCCCTGTAAGTATTCTCACTCGTCCTGCCAATGCCATTTGTACAGTTAGAAATAGGAAGAAAAAGTCTTAATTCATATGGCCTCTTCTTAGGTTTCCCTCCATAAATGCTGAGGCGTATCATGCCACCCCTAACTCGGGTTGGGACTTCATTCCAGCGTATCGACTGAAGTTGTTATTACAGTCATGTTGTTGTTGTTGTTGTTGTATTTAACGCCGGGGACGTCCCTATTTAGGGCAAAAGGCGCCCAGGCGAAAGTATCATTACAGTCATATTGGAACGGGGCAGGGCGATTAGGCTTATTACGCGCCTCAAGCGGCTCAGATTGAGGGGACTAGGAGGCGATCGGGACAGGATTATTACTATCCCAATCGGGTCTTTAAGATATAAGACCAGCATAATCATAGATAGATAGGGGGGAGAATCATCGAACTTTTCTTCCTATTATCAGACACCATTCTTCTGGCCTGATTAAACCTAGAGTCTCTCTTATGATTGACTGATCGGACGTGATAACACAAGACGATTAGGAGAGCTACTCCTCTGATTAGCACAAAACTTGTCTTGATCGAACGCTGACTTTGTCTGATTGAATAGACTGGGAGGCTTTGATTAAGTTGAGTTTGCATTAATCGAGGAAGCATCTTGTGTTGCCTTTAAGGTTGTTAGTGTTTCTTCTCTAAATCACTGCACTGCTGTAGTCCCTCCTACGCTACACACTTTCAATATCATTTCTATTGATATTATATTGAGAGAAATGACTTCCGCCCTGTAATAAGCCAATTTCTGGAAACCACTCTGCCATTTTTTGCAGATTATCCTTTTGCCATCGTGCTGGCTGATGATATCCCAAAGGTCTTTTGAAGTATATCGTCTCCACCGCGAACTTCCTAGCCTCTTCCGCGCTAGGCAGGCTTCCGTTGCGTTCCCTGAATCTTTTATAAAACCATTGGTCATTCAAATCTCCCGAACCTCGTATTGCGTCTGGACCAGTAACAACATCGTACATCAACTTCGGGTTACGCAACGAAAGGCCACCGTTGTACCCTTGGCCGTATTGAGGTGCGATGGGGGCCCCGATCAAGTCCCAGTGGAGGAAGTCCTCGACTCGAGACGGAGAATTGGAGCATAGAATACTGTCTGACTGGAACAATAGCACCCGGTGATAGGAACAGAGTTGCTCCCAAATCCAAGGCGAAGCGAGGAACCCAGACACTGTGTGATGATCTGGCATGGTCGTGTCTGGTGGGAGGAACATCACACGTAGCCGGTTGGTGTCCATTAAGCGTTTCAAAGCGGGGGAGTCGGGAGGGTCCCAGTTCACTTTGAGTGTCATCAGCAATACCGACCAGGTAGGACCCAACACCGTGGCAAAATGAAGTATGACGGGCACCAGATTAAACACTCGGTTGATATCCGTCTCGATGATGACGGCAACAACGCTAGTACCTAGAGCTGCATCCAGTGCATCCGAGGCGTAGAAGACATCGCCGACAGAAGGCTCTTGATTGTCCGGCCATGTAAGACGTTCGCTGTGCTCCCGATTTTGTTTCTGCGTTAAGGAAAAATTATCAGTAGGTGCATAAGAAGGTACGGGACCCTAGCCGATTGAAAGCCAACCTCAAACGTCTTCCATGTTGCCAGTAGCAAGACGAAAATCAAGCAGCATATCAGGTGAGTTCGCCTAGTCGTATAATGATTCAAAAAGCCATGCCTGTTGGCCGATTTGGAACTCACTTGCCGGATATAATTAGAAGGAGTGGTTTACAAAGAGCATGAGGAATAGTGTGAAAGCGAGTTGCATAGACTGCAGCGGGGAGCTTTGTTCCATGTTATCAATTCATGAAGGATTCTAATCGGGGTGGATGGCATTTTTTGCTTCCAAGCCTGTCCTGCCCTACTGAAACCTGGCATGCCCCCCGTCGACGCCTCAAGCTCGCAAAGTCCAGCGTGTCTAGCATTCCGGATTACTGTTGAGGTTGGAGATACACCCACATGACTTTCAGTAAATGGATTTTCTGGCGATTTTTATTGTTATCCGGAGAGCTAATGCGTGTATTAGCCGAAGGTGAGTATGTGTGGCTTGGGGGACGACCACAGATCAAGTGCTAGCATGAGACATTGCCATTCTCTTCCTTGGGCTTGTGGCTGTTCCGGAGTGCCGCAGCCGCTAGATCAAGACCCAATGTGCCTTTGTCTCATCCATGTCTTATCCCCCTCCCTCTCATCGTCGCTCGCGGTTCATTTCCACCAGTGATTGAGTTGGGTTCACACTTTGAACCAAGTTACACGCGCCCTGCGTTGGATAGTATTTAAGCCGTTATTTTGACAGAAACGCCATGTTTTGTAAGTGAACCGCCTTGGCCGTCCCTTTTCAAGCAAATCGCCGTAGGCAGAATTCCAAATATCACAACACATATGCTCAAGCCTGGCTTCCAGGGAGCACACCCACTCACGCACATACACAGATGCATCATACGCCATCCACAATAGCGCCTATCCCTCCAGCTGTGGGTCAACGTCAGGAATCGTTCGGCTCACTTTTGCCCCACGCCTCACCTCAATTCTTCCTTCTACCTAGCACCATCCCCCTTGGTTAGGCTTTCTCTGATTGGATCTTAGTTCTAAACCCATGGGATACGTTAGGTAGCCAACCCCGATTTCAGGGTCTGGTCTCATCCAGTTTCAAATGCTACGCCTCGGGGGACGAGAGGCAGATGGATGTTACTAAATAATAGTCACTGAAGCTAGAAGGCATATGCTACCTTGCGTGCACCCGCCACCCGTAAAAGGTCCACCGCCCCGTCTACCTTCTCATAAGAATCTTTCGTTGATGGTCAAAAGTACCCACCTCTATTCTTGGATGTTCCCATTTCTTGTCCATACCCAACTCGGAGTCGGAGACAGCGTGTCTTAGTTTCTCCATCTTCTCTCCTCTTTGATATTATATTCACCGCCAAACGAACACCAATATTTCTCAATCTTCTCGATAGAGGTAGTTGTTTTCTCGATTTGTTTCTCCTGTACCAACTTAATGTTGCCCTTTGGGCCCCACCATCACCGAGAATTATATTGACACGGAACATTACATTCCACAGGTCGTTCTCCCTGTTACAGCTTCTGCGCAAGAGCCATAAGAGGCAAGAATGAAGGGTCAGCTAAGCTGATTTGCCTACCCCTTCATACTTACCAAGGAATATGATTGTGGTTATCACGTACTCAAAGGACGCCATTCCTTATCCAATACAAACTCCATACCCTAACCATCCCTGAGAGCAATACTAGCACAGAAAATTGAATTTTTTAAGGCGATTAACCCTATTGCAGCTTCTTCAAATTGTTCTAATGGTTGCGGGTAAATTGCCGCCCCCCCTTTTGGTATCTTCACGGCCCCCTCCCAAGTCTGAAGGGCGGCTGAACTAACCGCATTCCGTCACACGAACTCTAACTAACTCTTACCCTAATCCGAATCCTAATCAACCCTCACTACTCTAACTATTCTGATTAAAATCTTCTCTATGGTCAGGGCGATTAGGACTGGTTAAGATTCTAGTTAGGATTTGGGTTAGGGTGAGAGTTAGTAATGGTAAGGGTAACGGAATACAGTTTTTCTAGTTATTCCGGATTGGCTGCTGGGACTGTGGCGAGAGCCTTCTGAATTTGTCTAGCTTTACCAGGCACGGTTAGAGGTTCGTACATTAGCCAAAATGAGGCCGCCATCTTGCCCGCAACCGTTCTGATAGCCATCGGAGCTAAAAAGGCGAGACCAGCTTAGCTGACTTACCCATCCCTTCATATTTTCCGTAGAAATTCTATTGAATTTCATCTATGAATCTTTTATCCTTAATGCCTATAGATCTCGATCCAAGTGATATGGAGGGCAAATACAATATAATTTCCTCACCTTGTCCAGACCATCTTTACGTCCTCCCATGAATTCTATGAAGCAACAGTCAGTCAGTACGTCCACCAGCTAGAATCTACCACAATCAGGCAAGATGTTTCAGAGTCCACGGTTCCTCCCGTTTCTTCTCATTTCTGCATCAATTCTTCTCCTCCTGGGGACGCTGCACGTATCGGGTGACAAGGTCCACGAGGTGCTCGCTCCGATAAACCGATGGTCGACTAGGTACCTTTCCTCAATCCAATATTTCCTTCTGCACCTATTTCCAATTCTTTTCTACCATAAATACTAACATTTCGAGTACAGTTCTTCACAATCACATGATCAGAAAGGTGCACAAAACATCATTGAGGGCACGCAGGATGATGCCCCGCATGGCAAACAAGGAAGCTCACCTGCGGCTATCCCAGCCTCGAATAGACCGATCTTTGGTGGCAAAAACCAGGACAACCGACCCACGTTCACAGACTTGGCCCTGAAATCTGGTACTGATAAGGTCACAAGCCACAATTACGGTTTTCTGTACGATAAGTACCTTGCTCAGTTCCGCAATGAGCCTGTAAAAATGATTGAGATTGGTTTGGGATGTGGGATGGTAAGAATCAATGGACCCAATAAGCTTATACGTGGTGGCCGTCTGCTGAAAACAAGAAAACTATACAGCCTTACGGACCCGGCGCTTCTTACCCCATATGGACCACGTACTTCCCGAATATCCAACTCAACATTGTCGAATACGATGAGACCTGTGGCTCTGCCTGGGCAGCCCAGAACCCAGAAGCCGTCATCTTCTTCGGTGACCAGTCTTCTGTGCCGTTTCTCCACCACGTTGGCGCCGAGGTCACAGCTGATAGGCTGGTGGACATCATTGTCGACGACGGCGGCCATACTATGGACCAGCAAACGACGTCTCTTCGGGAGCTATGGTCATATCTGAGACCTGGCGGTGTCTACTTCGCCGAGGATTTGCAAACAAGCTTCATGGATAACTACGGTGGTGACAGTAGCAGGGCCAACCTCACCAAGAAAACCTTCATCCGCTGGATACATGAGCTTGTTGACGATATAATGGCTGCGCCGGCAGGAGTTGCATCACATAACGCTTGGGCATCAGAAATTGCAAACATCGACTGTATGGCAGAGATGTGCGCGTTGACTAAAAAGGAGAAGGGCGCGCGGTAAAGAAAATCGATTGATAGATACATGGGTACCGATGTATACCCGTGCGTGGATAGACTGCTATTATGAAGTCTCATAACTGGCCATTGGACTTGAAGTTTACCGGTTCATACCACGACGTGACTTCCCAATTTTCTTTTGTCACGAGTTGGGGCACACACACAGCAGGGCATATGAGAATAGGAGTGAAGGATACTTCATCACACAACACTAAAGATGTGAAAGAATAATCCTATATATGGGGAGTTGATGCTAGTAATAAGTGAAACAATATGTGATGAAGCACATGACGACACTGATGCCAAGTGCCAGTTATGTACTAAGCTATTTTGACAGCTTTTCCGCGTGTAGTTTCTAGGCTAACATACATCATATTCAATATACACTTGCTCAAGGAAAGGTGTTATGCAAACGCTCCCCTGATTGAAGATGTTTTGTTCTCTTTTCTACCACTTCCCGGTTGACCCCAATAGACAAGAGTATACTTGTTCTGACACTAGCCACATTCTACCGTTGAGATTAATCGCTGGCCACTGGTGACTTTGATAATGCTGCCGTCATTATTTCCGTCTATATTCATTATTGGATTATTTAACTATAGTTCTTCGTCTATTTGTACCTTTCGATGGGCATGGCGGCTGGATTGCAAAATGCCATCGGACGAACCATCAAAGACTTCATGATCATGCAATGATATTCTCACTGATTCCAGACACTCTCAAGCATGTTGTTTGCTAAAGGCTTATGAGGTGAGGCCCGTTAGCAACAAGATCTCTTCCATCACCTTCTTTAGAGGGTCGAATTTTCCTGCCTCTTTCTTGAGCATGCTCGCTTGTTTTCAATAACCCTCATCACCCAGCACCTTTGTAATGGCAAGGTGAACGTCCTTCACAGTCGGCGGAGACTCTACCATATACACACCCAAGCCAGACCATTCAACTCTTCTCCCAATGTCCGGCTTATCAAACACATTGCAGGCTTGTACGATAAGGACGCCGTTTGCAACCGCATGCTGAAATCCTCTGTATCCGCTATTGGAGACGAATAAGTCGGCATGTGCCAGAATTGTGTCATATGGAAAGTAGTCGATAACCCTAGCATTGGAAGGCATCTTCCCGTTGTCGAAGCTGTCAGTCTCCAGGGTGGCCCCAGCCACGTATAAACAAGCAACGACCAATACGTCGTCCTGGCATGCTAAAGCTTTCATCGTAGGGACGATCAGTTCCCGGTGGTCCAATACTTCTGTGCCCTGTGCTACAAAGACAATTTTCTTTCTGTCCAAATTTGGTGGGTGAAGACTTGCGCTGTTGGACAGGATCTCGCTGAACCAGCTTGGGTATATAAGGTTTGGCGGCAAGGGCTTGATTGGTAATGTGCCCGCGAACTTGATTTTCTCCGGCCAATCTGAAGATGAAAATTCGAGGCTGGGGATGCACATCTGAAGTGTCGTGTCGTGACAGATTGTTGACGCATCCCAAAAGGGGTGTGGGATCGTGGGCGAAAGGTCATCGTACAAGGATTCGACATCCCTGGCGCAGCCCATCATCGCCAAAACCCATCTCCCACGCTCTTCGGCAGCAGCGTTCCAAGTTTCTTGAATGGTTTGCATGTTCCTCTTTATTCCTCTTTCACTGTCGTCGAAGGGCAGTCCTGATCCCCAGGGAGGTCTTTCGGGGCTGGCCCAGAAAGTTGGCACAACTCCGATCCCAATTGCTCTGACCTCTTCTCCCTCCTTAAATCCTTCTGGCAGGTCGGTTTGTAATCGCAGAGCCAACGTTCCGGAGAAGCATGTATCCGAAAGAACAACGATGTGACATCCAGGTTGCCGCCTGCGAATGGCGGCAAGAGCGAACCTTATCGACTCCAGACCGCTTGGCAAAAGTGAAACAAATCCACAATCGAGGGATGCAGCAAGGCGTCCTGCAGAGCTTGGAGCATGCGCGATTTTTGGCCAGCGAGTTGCGTCGTCAAGCGTTCCCCAAAGCCCAATAATAGGGCTGAAATAGGCACCAGCTGCTTGTATTGTTTCTTGCCAGAACAGTGACATTGAAGCCGTTGTCGATCAGGTGCTTACATATCTGGAGCGCAGGCCGCATATGCCCCTCTCGTGGGGGCACGACATAGAGAATATGCAGTTTTTCTTTTCCTTTTGGATTGTCAGTCATCGCAATGAGGTGATGAGAATGACAACTTCAGTATCCGCTCGGTTGGAAGACTTGGCAACCTCTATACTCCGATTGATAATCAGACAAGACGAACTGTTCAGATGGACCTTTTGACAAACTTTAAGTAGTTGCAGCATAAAAGATAACAGACAAGGGACCCTGTCGCATTCTGCCAAATTGCAGTCCGATAAGGCCGCTAGGATGAACCACTAGACTCTTCGAGCGCCCATGTAGTGCTGAACGAGTCAGGTGTAATGCTACATGTGGTTTTATACAAACAAGTCGTGAAATGCAATCAACTTTTTCCAATTTTGATAATTGTCCAAAGGGCTAGATCAAACCAAAGGGTTTACTTTTTTTGCTCGCAAACCTCAGCATCGGAGGCGGACACGGATCTAGTCTTTCCCTAGTAGTAGTTGATGGGCAAGCATCCATATTGCAGCACCCTTGATGCGACGGACACGCGGCAAGACATGGATGGCCCCAGACGAAGTCACTCGCTTTGTGGCTCAAGGTTTGCGGGGAATGTTCTCGATCCGAAGTCCTCGGTTGTTTGACTCGCAAAATCAAATAGGTATGTCGGTAGATAAGGACTGATAGGATTATGTTTCCGTCTGTTTCAACGACACCAATCCTTCCGGACAACTTACGGCTGTTAGAATCTGAACCTACTATGTAAATCCCTCTTCCGGCCACGAAATAACAGCCCGGCTCTCCATCCAAGTGCTGATCAATGTCAGTATTCGGATATTGTTCGGATATTGGCCTTGTCATGAACCTCAGCGAGCTTTCTGTCGTCGAATCCGGGAAGCTTGCATCACCCTTCCTTCCCCCACTCACCACACCTGAGTAAATAAGCTTCTTCTGTGCAGTGAAGCGTGCAGAGTGTGCGGGCGTTGGGCAACAGGAGGCCGGGAGAGTCGGGGATACACGCCCGCAGCCAACCTCTCAATCTTGCAATTAGACTTTGTTCTATCTGGGAACCACCATGCAACACCTCCTCAGCCTGGTAGAAAATCGTTTTATTCGTACCTCGAAGCTGCCGGATCGTACGGCGCGTTTAAGGATATATCAGAGCGTCTCTCCCTTCACCGACTTTCCATAAAACTATCCCTAATCCTGATCAATATAAAGATGCTATTTCCCCAGGCATTAACTTACTGGATAACGGAACAGCCTTCCTCATTCCCCAGTCCCAGTGAATCCCTTCAACCACCTCGCGACTGCGAAACGACCATGCCTTACCCCACACTACTCGATGCGATATGTTGGTCGTAGAGGGGGCAGCCCCGCCGCCAGAAGGCGTAATACCCAACCTGCAACACCCAGAGGACGTTCTGTACACTATCAATCTCGTATCGCAAATCCTCTCCGTCTCGGTCGTCAGCTTATTCATGCTGCTACGTATCTATGCTAAAGCATGGGTTTCCCCACCCTTCCATGCCGAAGATTGTAAGCCTTATCATCGCCCAATTCCTGCTTCGCGGTGTTTGCTGATACTTCGTAGGGGTGGCTGTACTGGCTTGGGTAAGAGACGGGTCAATCGGTCCTGAGGAAGGAAACATATTAATCCACGACTAGGTATTAACGCTGGGGTATGGCTCCACGGCGTTCGTGAGTGAGTAGTTCCACACAACCAGTCGGTCGTTTTTTGTTTTTCTTTGAGCTGAGTCTTATGGCGCAAGTGAGTCACTACGGCGGTGGATATCACATCTACGAACTGTCGAAGGAAAATCTGGAAGGTTTTATGAAGGTAAGATGACTTTTCCCAGACGTGGTGGAAGCCCACGTTAACATCCTCTCTGGGGTTATATGCCGACACCCTTGTATACGGCCCAAACTCATTCTTCACGAAGCTCGCACTTCTTATGATTGTGATTAGAGTCTTTAGATTTCACCAGAAGACGAAAATCGGGATATACTTAACGATCGCTTTTATGGCCGGATATTACGTCCCCGTCTTCTTTCTGAAAACATTTATTTGCCGACCCATCAGAGGGTTCTGGAACCCGAATTCTCGCGCCGCTTGCCTCGACCAACGAGCAATATTTGTAGCCGACACAATCACCAGTGCTGTCACCGATTTGGCTGTTCTCATTTTGCCTATACCCGCTGCAGCAAGCCTGCGAATGTCGTGGGAAAAACGGTTGAAAGTTATGGGTATGCTCAGCGCGGGGGGCATCGCTACCGCAGCGAGCCTCGCCCGGATGGTCATTGTGATTAGACTGCAGGAGACAAAGGATGAGACTGTGGAATTCATCCGCTTCAACCTCCTCGGGTAAGTAGGTTAAGACTCCAGTGCCGCTTTGGACTTAACAATCGCCCACCATAAAGACTGACCCCACAACCAGGACGGCGGAGGTGAGCATAGGGATGATCTGCGCATGTTTTCCGGCTGTTAATATTCTTCTCACACGCCGAGTCGACCAGTCGCAACAATCAAGTCGCTACACGCACAGCAGCATTGTTAAGAGCCTCAAATTTCTTGGAGGAAGCAAGCTACGTACGCAACATATGACAGACGTACAGACAGTGACAACAGCAGCCGCAGTAGAGGAAGCGCGTGGGCCGCTGCCGTCACCACCGAGAAGGGACTGTATATTCCCGATGGAACGTATAAGCCGTCTACCCCCGATCTTGCAGCCGAGTCCGAACTCGAAGGGGAACAGCTCTGACGAGTGGTTTGCAAACCTATGCACCTCGCCCTTTTCGGATCCCGGTGCTCCCGAATGGGCTCGAAAGGGGTCTCATGGTTGACTCGAGTAGAAAAATAGATCATTAGGGACTATTCGTGAGGGATTGAAGCTTTACTTCATCAAGCGACTGCTAAATTACGACTAATGTGACATAACAGGGAGCCTTGCTCCGAAAACATGACACAGTTCACCCGGCAGTTCAGGGCACCCTCCAGGAAAAGACGGGGTTTAGTTATAAATGCCAATTGGTACAAAACATTTTCCCCTGGTAAGATTCCTTGCTCAGTGAGCAATGCTTCCAGAAACTGGTTTACCGCCGCCTAAACCCATCATGCCGTGTTTGTAGGTGGGCATGGATGGCGCAACGTGTGCGCGACTTAGAGTTTGCAGGGTCATGGTGTACGTTGTGACAGCTGTCGACAACGCGTGTGCTCATTGGCGCAGTCTCAAGAGAGTTGTGCGTTGAAACCACCAGCGAAGAACGGAGAAGGTTGCGAATCCGGCAAATATTATTCTAGACGGTAGACCATAACTGATAGCGACCCAACCTGCGAATCTGACATGGATACCCTATACATCAGTAGACTGAATCACCAGTAAGACAACGAACGGCGCGCGGAATCCGGGATCCGACTATATTGTCGTATTATTGTTCAACGGTGCGACCCCGAGAGGTATTGCCTCGGAGCGCGTTTTGGTTTCCCAAGGACCGGCTTTTATTCCATCTGCCATGGGGAGCGCAAGAACGGGTTTCTTCCGCCTCTCTTTCAATACCAGCACAAGAAATGTAAGACGTCAATCGATTGCTGCCCGCTACTCATGGGGCTGATTCTGCGACAAGCTATTATGTGTGAAACTTCCACAGTCAATCTCGTTCCTTGAAACAATGTTGAAGCTCACAGGACCAGACCAGTTATGTCGTTGCGTCATTAAATGAGTCAAGACACCGCCTAGACCGCGATACTCAAGGAGAAGTTGTTCTATTGAAGATTTAATAAAAGTCGCCAACAGGATATAGCATCAAGACCGTCACAGTCAACCCGATTTGTAATACTTGCAGGTGAGATTGGGCTTCTACTGCATTTAGTGAGAAAGCCAAGTCTTGGAATCTTACGATTTATGTGAGCGGTGACAGGGATATGAGGAAAACGATTATCTCGTTGAAGAACTTTGAGTTTATCTAGTTTGCCGATGGGACAGACATTACGATGCACCTTCTCAGTCGCGTGTCCAAAAGGATCTGCAACATCATGTGGCAGACGCCATCTGTAGAACAAACAAGACATAACTCAGTCATTAAGAAGCCAAAACCAATGACGTTTGTTTCAAGCACGAGCTATAACCACGCAACCTGGCGGCAAGGGGTCCAATCTATCAGGCAGTCACAGGCGCCCGATGTATCCGACAAGATGGCAACCCTGAACCATGGGTTGCTTAATTACTCATAGCACCGATGCAACCGAGTCAGCAGAAACATGCATGGAGCTCAGGACTCCCCCATACTGGTTGAAAAGTGTTGTTGGGACCGAGTTTGGATCACCCAGCAGCCCGAGCATGCAAAAGAAAAGACGAGTTTGACTTGCTATCTGCCGCCTGGCAATCCTCGAAGCCCATCATCGACATAACGTGGATCACATCCCACGTGGCTATTGTGGAAGGTTTTGTTCGGTTCAGCTGACACCCCGAAGACAGCTCTCAACTCTCAAATGGGGTCACAACATGAGAGGGCTGATGCATAATCACCGAGCCTCTTCGCGCAAAGAAGCGACAGACATGTTTAGCATTGTTAGCAGTGGATATCCATGTTCTTCCATCTCCCTACTACGACTTCGACGAGTAGCCGGGCCAGATTCAGACCTGCTCAACTGAATTCCGCGCAGCGCTCAAAGAGTGGCTTGGCAATCATGAACCAGGTAGCGTTGGGGTAGCTACTAAGTAAATAGAGCGATGAAACAGAAATCACGCCACCAGCATCGGCTATTGAATTCTTACCCGACCGGAGGTTGGCCTGCAAAGGGGGGGAGGGGAAGGAGGCGTCGGACATCGGGCCCAAGGCCATCGGATTCTTTGTCGATGGGCGCAACGGAAAAGGCTTATTCCTTGCTTGGACGGACACAAAGGGCAGAAGTTTCGCGGGCGAACGTCAGACAAACAAGCCGGCACCGAAAACTCGCAGCGTTTGTTTCACTCATGACCAACTCTGACAGAGGCTGACTTATCTCGGCTCGGCTCAGCAAATGATTTTAGGAAGCGCGGCTCTATGAGGCCGTCGAGCGCCAGGATGATGCGAAGACTGTAGGTATTAAAACCAGAGTTCTGGACAACGGGAACGTTCTGCTCTCTACGAGCTACGCCGGTGATACGTGAACGAAATGGACGAGAGGTTTGCTGCAGGCCAAGCACAAAGTGGCGAATGATTATTATTAGTTGGACAGGAGGCGGCGAGAAGGCAGTTGTCATGCGGTCAGGGGAAATCCCCTGAAGATCACCACGAGGTCCTTGCGGATGAGCCTCGCTGGTGACTTCGACCTGTTCTCGGTACGAACGGCAACTTTTGCTGCAGACGCGCATCCGACTCGAATTGCGGCCGTGCTTTGTAAGCGCGAACTTGTGATTTCGGAGGAGAGCATAGATCCAGGGAGAGGGGCGATGCGTTGAGATGCCCGTGCCAATCTGGGCGTGATCTCCGTATATGCACACGCAAACCTACACCGGTCCAGCACTAGGGGAGGGAACACGGTCCCTGTTTGATGAGGGATACTGCTAATACCACATCACCTATAGGCTAGCTTGAACATTTTCCTCATCCGTGCCATCGTTCTGATCTGCTTTGCTCAATCTCCTCCAGCCGAGTTAATGTCAGTGACGGGACTTTGAATCTCGAGTGTTGGCGCGGGAAAAGGGAGGGGAGAGGGGGTGTCCCTACACTGCGCCCGCCATCCGTGTTCTGAAGCTCCGGCATGTCATACACCGCGTCGGGGAGCTCAAAGTTCTTGGGCGCCGTGATGATTCCAAACTCGACCAGGCCGTCGTAAGTTCGGCCCCACCAGCTGCAGTCGGAAACCCGACGACGCGCTCGTCTGGTTACGGTTCTAGCACGCCGTGTCATGGTTAGCTCGCCGCCACGGTTATCAACACGGAAAACACCTGATGCAGCGACGGAAAACACTTGATACAGGGGCGGGAAACTCCGGACGCGGAGCCGGGGACCTTCTGACGCAGAGACGGAAACCTTCTGATGCAGAGAAGGAGAGAAAGAAAGAAAGAAGGGGGGGTGGAGTGTGCGTATGTGTGTGCGCATACATGACCATCAACTTAAACCCAAAGATACCGTTTCGGGCTCGTCGTCGTCGTCCCCCGACAGCTTTACCCCTGGCCCCGCCACTGCTCAGGTGGATGTTCATCCCCTGCAGGAAATCGTCTCTTGACACCTCAACCCTGACTATCTCCGCACCCTCCGGGACATGGACCGCGGACGCGTGGTCGCCGAACACGTGCGGTTCACCTACACTTCACCTCTCCACCCTCGGGCCGCAGTTGACGCGCGAGTCGTCGTCGTCGTCAAAGTGGACGTACACGCCGTCAAGGAGGCACCCCGTCCGCACATCGAAGCACGAAACGCACCGCGTGAGTAGCGTCGCCCAGGCCCAAAAGTCGTCGTCGCCGTTGTCGTTGGCCCCGTTTCATTCCTCGGGTGGTAATGGAAAGCATTCGCGGGAGCGCGTCCGAGCTGGGGACGAGCGTGAACAGGCGCCACACGTTGTGAACTGTTTTGGCCATCTCTTTCAAGCCGAGGACGATCACCTTGAGGTCCTCCTCCCGAGAGAACCGGTCCTCGAGAGACTGGAGGCTGTGAAAGACCCTTTTCAGACGGGCTCGCCACGCAGGGCTGGGGCTCGACCTCTCCGTTGCAGTCGATCCGCGCAACACGCGCGGCGCATAAGGCCTCGAGGCCGGCGTCGTCGGTCCCGATGTTGACCGCGACGATGGCCGGGGCGCTCGAACGGGCGGCGGCCGAGAACCTGGCGTCGCCGGGTAGCCAGAAGTGGTCGAGAGACTGGAAGGAGAGGGAATCCTGCAGGTCCCGCCGCGCGTCATTTGTCGTGTCGTCGTCCACGACAGACAAGCCCTCCCGGCCGTCACTGCGGGAGTACGCCGTCCTGGAGAGAAAGTTGCACGGCCAGTGGAAGGAGTAGCCGCGGGCGATGATACCCATCGTGTGCTGGACGCCGAAAGCGTGGCCGACCTGGTGGAGGAACTCGCCCCGGGCGTCTGGGCATCGAGCAGGCACTCGGCGGAAGCGAGGTGGAGAGGCGGTGCCTGGAGGAGGAGGACGCAGGTCAGGTCCAGCTCGCGGACAATCTTGCCCGTGCCAGAGGAGCGGGCGATGGTCAGAACGTCACGTCCAGGAGACAGCATGGCGACGATCTTGATGCGGTTGTCTCCGCCAGGCCACGACTGGATCAGGAACGTGGTCTTGGTGCCATCGTGAGTTTCCACGGTGGCGAAGGCATCAGCGGACTCGTCGTCACCGGCATAAGTTCCCTCCACAATGATACAGCGCTACGTAAAGAGGATACGTCCGTGGGCTACAAGCAATGACCAGGGCACCTCGAGTTTAAAGTACCCGGTGCATCGTCTCGCCTTGTTCGAAATTGTCAATGTTGAGCTACATGCTGCTGGACTGGGTTTGCCTAACAGGGAGCATCTAAGCGATCGAGTGCTGTTCGGGGCCTTCCGTGTTGTCATAGCGAATGTATATGGTCCAAGTGGTATTTCAGAGCCGCGAGATGCGATGTACTGACAAAGACGATCAAAGGACGATGTGAGACGGAATCTCAAGACCAGAATACATACAGCGACGAGAGGAGAAACACCACTGACCACCAGGGTCTCCATCTGCTACTGATGCCCACAAATCAAGTCTCTATTCCATCCTTTCTCTGCATTTCTACGCAAGGTAGGCAAGATGAAGCTCTCATCGATCCGGGCTTATGATAGGCAGCCTCGGCCAGACCGTCACGGCATCCAAGACCACGACGGTTGACAGAAAGTGCTCATGTTTTGTATGAGAGTGTTCGTCTATTTACAAAACGCCCATGAAAAAAAAGCAACTGGGTATTTTTCCATCCATCGCAAGCCAAACCGAAAACCGCTTTTCACCGTTAAGCCCGGTAGTCGAGGCAGCACTCCGCAAGTCAACGCCGATAATACAGCTCGAGACCAAGTTCACCCATGCTTTTCCCTTCCTCAACGAATCTTTCCAGTCACCAGTATACGAATACTTCACGAGATATCTAGTAAATCGGCTCGCTCTTGACGGCCGCTAGGTCGCCGACCTCACCGAACTTCCAAGGCAATACGTCTTCCAAACCAGTTTCATGCCCGTCGGCAAACGGATCACCCTGGTCTTCTGGCGTATGCACAGCCTCTGAGACGTCCTTGGAGCCGGAACGGGCAAACCACTGGCCCGCCGTCTCCAAGATGGGACGCATCTCGGCCCGAAGCAAACGCTCAGTACGCGGGACGCTGCTGTGCTGGGCGTTGTTGTCAACGCCCACAATAACTGCCAAGTAGTCTCGCGCTAGCAGGTTGTAGATGTCCTGCACTTGCTGCGTAATCTCGTGCTCGACGCGGCTACACAACGCCCGAAGCTGCCCTTTAACACTCTCGGTGGAGTGACGGAACATGGTGTGTCTGGAGTTCTCGACGTGGTTGACCATATGGCTCTTCATACGGGCGTAGGATCCCGGGCCTGTAACCATTAAAAGTCAGTGGATGCCGAGGCAGGCAAGGGTTGGGACCTGGGCAAAACGTACCAGACTCGGCGACACAGATATCGTACGCGGGCTGCATTTCCTGTTGAATGACCGGGTGAAAGCCGCGGCTGGCTTCGCGCTGCAGCTCTTGGACAACCGTTTTAATCATCGCGGGAATCTCTTTTGAACGCGCTGTGTGTGCTCGCAGCTGATTGCTGAGCATGTTGATCCCAGCGTGGTTATTGCCGCGCTCCAGCGAACCCGAGACGGCATTGCGGTGGAAGTCTTCCAGCAGCAAGCGAGCGCTTATGGCGAAACCTTCAAGGGCCTGTGGAAGGCGGCGCTGGAAAGCTCGCTCCCATCCGGTAGCGAGCTGTCGAGAGATGGGCTCAAACAGCTCTGCATTGAAGTCGCGAGGTCCAGAGGCCCCAGTATACACGCCGGCTCGGCGACAGGTTGCCTTGTAGGTGGCCCAGAACAAACCGCCTTCGCTACGATGCGCCCCCCAGCCCGTTGCCGTGGGAACAGCAGCATCTGACGCGGCCGGGATGGACTGGTCGAAGAAGTCATAGATGCTCTCGGACAGAGCATCCTTGATGGCAGCGACACACTCATCAACTGCTTTGGTGAAATCCTGGTGCGAAACTTAGTGAATGCTCGGTCTTACGGGTCAGCTACCAACGAACCTTTTCCAGACTAGACAATTGGGTTCTGAGGCTCGTCTCCTTGTTCCACTTGTCTCGATCCGTCATGTGAGCCTGAGTTCCATCATTGGCAGCCCACATCCGCATCGAGTTGAGGAGCTGTCTCAAGTCGTTGAGGAAGCGACGGCAATGGGCAGCCCGACCTCCCTCGGTAAGCTTTTTCGCGTGCTGTTGGAGTTGTGGGATCTCGGTCTCGTTAACGTCGCGGAAGCCCTCGTTTTTGAAGTCATCCTTCTGCAGTCTGCCTCTCATCTTCTGATAAGCGCGGCTGCTGACGCAGAACACTGGCAGATTCCGAGCAACCTCATCGTAGTCGCGGATGTCTTCGTCGGGGTTGAAAGTCTGTTCATTTTCCTCGATGGCAGCCTCTTGATCCAGTCTATAGCAGTCAGTAATCGCAGTCAGCAGAACTAAGATGGAGAAAGCTTACTCTTTGATGCCCATGGCAAAGTCTCTTTGGATGGCACCCTTCGCATATCCATTTCGGCCCTGGATGCAAATAGACTTGACCTTGCCCAGAAGTCGCCCCTCTTCTGACTGAACCTTTTTGATTTCTTCTCGGATGTCGGAAAGCCTTGCATCCACTTCCTTGCGACTCTGGCGGATCTCCTTCCTCAGATTCTTGAGATCAGCCAGCTTCTCGTGGATCTTATCCTCGGTCAAGGGCTGTCGATTCTCGTTGTCGGGGTTGTTTTCCTTATCACTATCCGAGTTGAGATCCGAGTCGTCCGAGCTATCGTCGGGATCAGACGATCTATGGTTCTTGCGGCTCCTGGACGAGGACGATCCGCGCTTGCGTTTTCTGCTATTCTCCGAAGGGGCGTAGACAGTCTCGCCGTCTGCACACTTGTTTGCAAGTTCGTCCCACTTGTCCCAATCGCTGTCGGCCTGCTCAAGACATTCGATGAGATCTCCCTTTTCATCTCTGGCGTTGCTGAGTTCCTGCTTAAGGTCTCGAAGCTTGCGTCGAAAGTCTTCGATCTTGGCCCAGGACTCAGATATGTCGGATTCAATGTCGAGACTCTCAGCAGCTTCGGTCACTGAGATGTCGTCTGTCTTGGAGCAAATGAAGGTAACGGCCGAGTATATGCCGTCGTACTTGAGCTGGCGCTTGAAGGAGTCGCCCAGGAGGGATTTGGCAGTCTTGTCGTCGACTGCACGGTTGATGGGGGCAACGATCCAAAGTCCGGTGCAAGACTTCATGTACTTCTGAGCGACAGCGGCCCTGGCGGCGTTGGAGTCTTGCACGCCTGGCAGATCGACAACGACGGCACCAGTGGACAAGGCATTGGCCTTGGTGAAGATGCGGACCACTTTGATCAGCGGCCAGAACTCCATCTGTACATTCTTTTTGCTGTGCGGGTTCTTTTCCTTGCTGTCGACATAGCGCTGCATGCTAGCATAGAGATCCTTGGCCGTAGTCGCCGTGAGGTTCTTGACGGTACCGAGAACGCGGGCGACTGCGGGCTCGTTGGCCAGTTTCTCGGGGCTGCTTTCGGCAATCATCTCCTTCGTCTTGGAAGGGTAGACAGACCTGATCTTGGCGTACGCGATGCCCGCCTCGCTGTCTTCGTTGGTGCAATCGCGCGAGATGTTGCCGCTGTCGTCCAGAAGATCAGTGAAGAGTGTCTTGAGCTCTTTCTTCCAGTCCTCTAGTGATATGAACTCGATTTCGGAGCGGTAAAGCTCCTCGGGATTCTGGGAGTGGTTGTAGGAAATCTCAGTTGGGGAAGCGGTACAGGCGCGCAGGCAATTGGTGGGAAGAAGCCGCTCTTCGTCGAGCAATGCGTTGATAACGGAGCTTTTGCCTGCGCCCGTGTTGCCAACGACGCCGACAATAGTCTTGGGTGGCTGAGAGCGGCTCTGAATATCGTTGATGGCCTTTAGCCACGTGGAGCCTTGAGTCTCTGGAAGCGAGGCTGTGAGGCCGAGAGGAACCTTGAGGCTTTCGAGCAGCTCCATGCCAATCTTGACTCCTTCCTCGAGACTCTCGGGTGATGTCTCTGTAGCCCACTGCTCGAGGGGGTCCGCCTCCTGAGACTCCCTCTCCCCGGAGTCTTGGGGAAAGATGGGCAGTGGGGCCGCCGCCGACATCGAATCATTTTGGGCTGGGATAACGGAGTTCACGTCGGGATGGATTTGTTCTTGCTTGATATCCTGCTTCATCTGAGCAGGACTTGGCTCGGCCTTGATTCGGCGGAGCGGCGTGTCGGGCGGAAGAGTAGCCGCCGACGATGGGGCTGTAACATCTGGAGAAGCCACATGTATGGAATCAGCAGAACCTAGAGCTGACTGCTGCAACAAGGGGTCGGGGATCATAGGTAGGTTGTTTAGGCTATCCTTGCAGCGCTCGGCCTTGATGCCCTCCACCTTGATCGGAGGCATCTTAAAAGCGGTCAGGTGTAACACAAGAAGCGATTGGCCAAGAAGAGCGACAAACAAAACGCGATCTGGCAAGAAGGACGCGAAGTTAAATCGGGTTGCAGCTTACGTTAAACCCATCAGTAACGAGACAAGACGATCGTGGTGTAGGTTGTGTGTTGTCTAGCCTTTCTTGGTGGGATTATGGACGAAAAGGTGAAGTAAAAATGACCAAGGCTGACGGGACATAAAACGGTAGTGGATAGCTGGATGAAAGAAGTCTGGTGCGGATTCTGGGAGTCCTGGTTTAGCGGTAGAAACCCATGGATGATTCGTTGATGGTATCGAGGCCGAGGACGATGCCGTAGGCGACGCGCCGCGTGGGGAAGCAATTTAGTTTGTCGCGTCTTGGAGGCGGGGCAGGCAGGCGGCAAGCATCGAAGGAGTCCGGGGGGGGTTAATCATGGAGTGCGAAAGTACAGGTACAAGACTTTTCCGTTCCGTCTTGAGGTTACACAGGTACACAATGCTCCATGCACAGTCGCAAAGAAAACACAGCAAAAGCACCATGCTTATCTCTCTCTGCATTTTGTGCCCCTGCGTCCCCCCTGCAGGAAGGGAGCTCCTCCCCCTTTCCTTCCAATTCACATTATGATGCAAGGTCGGTAGTTACTAGTCACGTGATTGAGGAGGCTTGACTCACCGTTCCGCCGCTTATTACTTGATTGGTCAACAGCTCATAGTGAACGTGTCAACTTTTAGGTTGTTCAAGGAAGCAGCAGAATGTTAATAGTATTTAGATGGCGGCTTCCTTGGCACTTGCCCTCTGAAAGTTGGACATTTTCTTACCACTGTTATTTTTATTTTATTTTTCGTAGGTCAATTGCCTGTCGGAAAAGAAAGGACGCCATGTTGTCATCGTCAGCAGTGACTTTAGCATGAAGGTCACCTTGTGACTAGCTGCTACCCCGCGTAATCGAAGGTATAGTGCCACTAAACGTTTACTTTTGCCAAGCTGAAATCAAATCAATGTGACATCTAATAAGTTCTCAATTCATACTGATGGTTTTCGTTTATCAAACGCGCTTACGGCTTTGCTCGCGCTGCCCTAGCAATGCTCTATTCTAATACTTGGCGAGGCCGCCAACACATGGCATATCAAATCGATTGTTGAAAGTGCACCATGTCAAAAATTCCGAGAAAGACATCTGATAAGCTGCTGGGAGCTTTGATTTCATGTCTCGAAGGTTTTCAGAACGAGATAAAAGGCAAAGATACAATAATGCATCTTACCCTTCTTTTCTGGAAAAGAGTCCCAAGAAAGGGGGGGGGGGGACCATTATATCGACAACCCTGCAGGGATGGCCTCGAAACGCAGCCGTGTCCCCGTTTTATGCCTCGGATGGTCGGATGATCTCTCCGACAGGTGACAGAACTCTTGGTCCGAGATTTCAATCGTCTGCACCCCCATGAGAAGTAATCGTCCTCGTCGGTCTCTATGCAACTTGCTCAGCTAAAGGTTCCGCCGCCCGCCTGAGCACGACAAGGTGACTCACGACTGCTGCGTCTAGCACACCTAGTTGGCAACAACCCTCTTCACAGCAGCATCTGTCAATACAAGTGTGGGAATGGCTGTTCCAGAGAAAACATGCCTATGTGAGCAGGAGGGCCGTTGGCGGCCGTTATGGCGGCGACAGCGATGCCAATGTCAACCATCTTGGTACGGACCTGCATTATATGTCACGAGTTGGAGCACATAGCGGGGCATAAGAACAGGATCAAGAAAGGCCTATTCCTATGAGAGTAGAGATGTAAAGGAAAAGTCCTCTATATAGGCAAGCGATAGGAGTAATGAGTGAAACAGTATGTGATATGGCACGTTATAACCCACCTGACAGGTGCTGTAAGACGCTATCGTGACATTATTGCACTTGTCGCTAGTTGACCGGACGGGTTTTTGTGTGGCTAGGCTGTGTCGCGTTATGGAATAGCGATGCAATTGAGACTAATGGGCTTGAATGCTTGGAAGTGACCCATGTGCTGCATATAATTTCTACGTGTGGTCGACGTCCGTTGCGTCGGGTAATAGCGACCGCATTTTGGTTCCAGATCCGAACAAAATAAGCGCTTAGCTATTCGGTATAGCCGGTAACAATCGTGTAGTGTTGACTCTAGCACCGCTATAAATACAGAATGGAACTATTCTAGATGATACGATTCAATTTTATAATTTACTGCACAGGGGGGGTGGGTTAAAGATAGTAATGTAAAGCCCTGATGAGCTTAGGTGAGTATCTGTCTGTCAGTGGCTGACTGACTCGCGACCTGCCCAATCTGTCGAACCTGCGGATGCAAATACGACGACGACCTAGGAACGCCCTCACGATCCCATCGTTTTTCCGTTCCGCAGCCCAATTCATGCCACCTCCAGCCCCCAACCAACTCAGCCGAGACACTTTGCAAAAACTCAGTCAGAGACGCGTTTGTCTGAGACATTGAGAAGCATTACTGCTCCCCTCCCACTCTCCAAACTTCAACACCATTCTCAACCGACGTCACACACCTCAGCTTCACGGCCCATCTCGCCCGCCTCTTTAAAGGAGGACAATAAATAAAGAAAACAGTCACTACCACCCCTCCTTTTTGACAGCAATGGGTTTCATCGGCGCCACCGCAACAGGCCTCATGGCCGGCCTACACGGCTACATCCTCGTCCTCGAGATGTTCCTCTGGACCTCCCCGCGCGGCCGCAAGGCCTTCAAGCTGACCGCCGAATTCGCCGAGCAGACCAAGACGTTGGCTGCCAACCAGGGCCTGTATAATGGCTTCCTCGCTGCCGGTCTCGTCTGGGGCCTCGCCCACCCCGTCCCCGAGTTCGCCCAGCAGATCCGCCTCTTCTTCCTCGGCTGCATCGTCGCCGCTGGCGCGTACGGCGGCGCCACGGCCAACCCCCGCATCCTCTTCATCCAGGCCGTCCCGGCTCTGGCTTCCATCGGCGCCGTGCTGTCCGGCTACTGAGCTTCCCCACACCCGAGGTTGCGATGCTCCGAGAGGCGAGTTCGCCCGACGCAATCTGCACTTGTGGGCATGAGCCCAGGAGTGAGAGAGGGTAGGGCTCTAGGGTGGCGGTTCATCGTGGGGGGGGGGGACTGAATTTGATTAGAGTGTCACGCCCGTGCTTGTGTGACTGGGTAAAAATTGCTGGTTGACGAAGGGTCAAGTTCCAGCATTCTTTCTGTTATTATGACTGGCGGTGCATATGAATGGAAATCAAAAGCTCTTCAATACATGGGAAGCAACCATGATCCACTGTGACACTGCCCATTCATCCGTCCATGCTCATCATAGTTCCTGCTTGTCTCCCCGCTTCAATCTCTCCTCGGCCCTCAGCTCCTCCTGGAACTTCGCCTGCCGATCCGTTCTCTCCTGCCTGGCACGCGATTCCTCCCGGAACGCTTCCATGTTTTTTAGGTGTTCCTTCTCATTGTACTCCACTACCGGCTCATCCGGGTTGACCCAGTCGTATGGGACACGCTCCGTGATGAGATCGCGATACACGGGCTTGAACATGGGGTTCCCAATCAGCTTGTCCCCCATCACTTTCCGTCCGGCTTGCACGATCCCATCACCGAATAGCGTCTCCCAAACGCTCCGAGACTCCTCAGGCTCTGTCTGGACCGGTAGCCAAGCCATTGGTTTAGGTGGGTGGCTCTTGAGGTACGACACAGCGCGGTCTCGGCGCTTTCGGTAAGCTCTGTACTTGGCATCTGCTGCCAGCTTCTGCTCAACCGTCAAGTCCAGACCCGAGAAGCCGGTCTTTGGCCCGGAGCCAGGGGTGTGTCTGACGACAAGCGGAGGGAGAGAGGTGGTGTCGAACCGAGTGTCCCATCGATCCGGCTTGTCCTTGGCAGAAGCGAGCGTGAACCAATGACGACGGAGTCTCTCGGCGCGCGCGTGCAAGTCATGCGGCTCTTCCGGAATGGGGCTGTAATGACCGCCGCGGTTGGCGATGGCCATGATAGTCTTGTCGATACTGGTCTCTTGGACCACGAGCCAGGTGAGCTCAGTCCTGGTCTCGAGGCTGCTCAGCATATCTGAGTACATGTCGTAGTTGTCGTCAGGCAAGGACGTGGGCAGCATGCCGTCTCGGAGCGTGTCCCCAATGAAGAGAACCTCCCGGATGGTCTCGTGGACGGCGGGACTTGGAGGGAGGTCCCGCCACGGGTTTGTGGCTGAGTAGTCACCCGGGATCCCGCCCGGCGACGAGTCCAAGATGAAGATCCGGATGCCGACAAGGAGCGCAGTAAACAGGCCAAGGTACCTCGTCCGCCGGCTTTTTAGGAGGGCCACGGCCACACGCACCGGGCCGCCATGGCTGGAGCCACTAGATGAAAGTAGGCCGGGTTGTGACATCCTGTCAGGTTAATGGAATACCGATTCTCCGACACTGTTGTTGAGGGGTGATGAGATGTCGTCAAACGCGGGGTGCCGGGCAGACGAAACAGCCGAGAGACGCCGACGATAAACAACCCCCATTCAACTTGGAGGGTAGTCTGAGTTTTGAGATGAGCGGGGGCACCAAAGCTGATTAGCGTTGGAGCCGGCTCGGCCGAAACAGGGCGATGCAAACTGCGACGCAACGGTGAATTCTACTAACAAGACATGGTTGAAAGGCATGCGAACGGCAGTGTGTGAGGGATTTGGCTGTCGCTACTCAGTTGCAGTGGGGTTGAAGTTCCCACAACGACAACATCTGACCTGGGTAACCAACTAGCTTACCGCGGATTGGATGCTAGAGCTTGGGTTCTACATAGTACGTGTACTTGGTTGAGTACTGTCTAGATTTACGGCCCACGGAGTATTACCAGGTGGCCGTCTCAACTGTTGAGCATGACGTTCACGCCGCATGGAGAATGCGAGGTAAGTCAAGGTATCTATCTACCTAGCTAGCTGATAGTAGGTTTGTAAATGAGGGGAACCAACCAACGTCTCATTAGCGTGTGCGATCGTGCCCCCCTCACCTCTTGCGATTTCCCAAGGCGAAGGCAGACCGAGCCTTCGAAAAGTCAAAGGGCAGACTTGCGTTCAAACTCCAGAGGCCGTTTGTGGCATGAAACAAGCACAAATCCTAAAGCCACCCTCCAGCATGTCATAAAACCTTTGGCCAATGAGCTTGGCCTTGTAGTGGAAGAGTACGAGTCATGGCCGAGCGAGTCTAACTGGCCGGTGATAGAGATGAGACGAGATGAGATGAGATGAGGACTGAGATGGGGGAGGGCGGACGACATGCATGAGCAGGAGCATGAGCATGAGCATGAGCGAACGGTATGAGAGAGAGTGTGGGTGTGTGGGTGGAACGAAATGCGACTGTCCAGAGAGGACACATGTCACGGGTACCTATTCCGCCGCCCTGCCTCTCTGTCCTCTTCTTCTCCGCCACTCGCATGATGCCTCTTCAGACGTCTATCTTTTCCTTACCGGTTTGCATTTTCTCATCCGGGTCTCCCGTATTTAGGGATTCAGATCGATGCTACCCAGGGTGCCAGGCTGCCTTAAAATAAATAGAGTAATACAAGCACGTGCACTCGGGAGAAAAGGATCTTCAAAAGACAGGTGTCGGTGATGCGCAGAGGTCGGTGAGTTTGAGCTACCTTAACCCCCCCTACTCCTAGGGGGTTACCCCTGAAAAGTCTTGGCTAAGTACCTACATAGTACATAGTAGATAGACCTAATCCAGGTGCACATCCCACCTCCCTAGTGCCCTGCAGCGCAGCCCAATAACCCAAAAGCCACTGCTCTCCCCCTTTTAGGTCAGAGCTTGTAGGTACCTCTGTCGTCCGCCCTGTGAGGGGGGGAAAAAGACAAAAATGTCGGAAGTGCACGCCCCAGGGTGGGGTCACGTGTGACACACGTGATGGCACCCTCGCCGTAGGGATTTGGGCAGCGATGATTGAGAGAGAGAGGGAGCAAGACAGACGAATGACTCAATGAGTTTGCTTTCCTAGGTAGCTACCTCATTCAGGTAAAAGAAAAGCAAATGGAATAATGAGAAAAGACAAGAAAAATCAAAGAGGTATTTTGGAATACCTTAGGCAGATAGTCGTACGTCTGTAGGAATCTGGGGAAGCGCATTAATGAACCTGGACGGAGCGTGGCAAGGCAGGTAAGGCCAGGTCTCAACGTCATCCGCACCTTACCTTACCTCATTCTCCCCGGTACTTCACATCCCTTGGCTGCTTGGGTGGTACATACCTAGCTAGGTAGGTAGGCTGGTACCTACCTCAGGTAGAAAAAACGTGTGGCCGGGACCGGATAAACCACGGCTCTTGCCCCCTCCGGGCTTAGCGCCCTGCTGGTTGGTTCCCACAGTTCTTCCCTGGTCCACACATCGTGGGTCCTTCCGAGCTGGCAATTTTCCTTTCAAACCTCTGATTTTTTCGACGAGACAGCTCACCCTCCTCACCCACCCTCGCACGACGAACCGCATACGCTCGCGAATCGACCTTTTCGGTATCTCGATCAACCCATCGTTTAGCAAGCCTGACATCAGCTATCTGTATCACGCATCACTCCACCTGTATCATCGCCCCAGCCAACTAAAGTCGCGCGCCATCGCCAAACCCACACACCATCTTTCGTGCCTTGTCCACGAGAGATCGATTAGCAAATCCCGAACTAAAAAAAAAAAAACATATCAGCCCACCAAACCTGCGCGTGGCTTGCTTTACCTTGCTTGTACCCCTCGGAATTTTTGCCCGACCTCAACACATACTTTTGAGCATCATCACCCGCTATGCCTTCGAATCTACCATCGAGCTTTGCCTCGGCCGCCGCCGGCCAAAACTCCAGCCGTGACGCGAGAACCGGTCGCCCCGACGGTCGCGGAGCCGGCAGTGGGGAATGGTCAGTAATAGCTTCTTTGTGTTTCTTTCCTGGCTCGTAACAATTTTTGCAAAAGGCCTCCTCTTCGTTCTCCGTTGAGGGTATGGATTTCTGGCTTGTGTGTGTGTGTGTGTGATGCACAGTACAGTTACGCTGCGACGGCGGTGGCGATATCAGATGCTGTCGCATCATCACCGGACTCACTGCCCACCGTGCGACATTCTTGAATCCGAATATCTCGCTAACACCATAAGCAGGGCTCGACGTGACGGCAGAGCTAACGGCACCCTGACCTTCCGACGATCCTCAGTGACACCCGGCCACCCGTCCCAATCCGCAGCATCGTCCGAAAACGCCTTCCTCGCCACCTCCCTCGAATCTGCTGCACCTCCCCAGACGCCGGGAGCCGCGACGTACGATTACTCAGCTCCTTCACAGTACCAGAAGGAGTCAATTCTTGGTGTTTTCAAGCAAGGGGCGGCGGAAACAGACACTGTCAACGTGTTTGAATCGGGATGGACTCCGGGGCAGACAAACGGTGGCGCTGCGCGGGGCTGGGGCAAGACCAACAATAACCACAACTCTCAAGATCCCGCCGCCTGTTGGAACCCACGGGGGGATGGCCATCCCGTCGGCGTCAATGGCTTGTCTGAAGAGGAGAAGGAGGTGCGTTGGCTAGACGGACCCGAGTACCAGGTAACGGGGACTAATACAAGACAGGCATTCGCAGCTGATGTCAACTCTCCTCTGAAGGCGCCCATTCAAAAACAGGAGGGAAACCTAGGTCCTGGAACGAATGGAAGGAAGCCCTCTCTGTCGCATGGTAATGCTGCCGGATACGGATTGGCATCGCCGTCGTCCGCCTCCAGACCCGGAACCCGACGCCGAGAGACGACCGACTCCAACCCTTTCGGCACCGGTGCGCTTGCGTCTCCGAGCGCGGCGCGCTTTGCCCGCGGCGACGACGCTTTCTTGTTCGGTCGCAAGAACAACGACGTCAAGGAGCAGGACCCTGGCGAGGACGAAGGCGCTGGACAGCCGCAGAACCAGGCACAGCCCAAGCCGCCCTACGGAAACCTGACGCGTAGCAACACGACTGGTAACCCTAGTATGGGTGCCAATATCAGTTCACTTTGGGGGGCCTCTTCTCAAACCTCTGTACCTGGCGGTAGTGGCGGTGGTGGCAGTAGCAGTAGTGGTGGTATGGGTAGTTTCGGACAGTTCGCTCTGCCAACTCCTACTTCGACCATCGGTACAGGCAGCCGTGGCGGAAGCCGCTTCGCCAACCTCATGAACAAAGATGGCTCCGACAACACCTCCGGCAAGACGAACGAGGCCCCCACCCCCGACGCGACCCGATCATGGCGTTCTCGACCCCGCACTGACACCGATCCCTTTGGAGGCGACGACAACCTCTCCGGCAGCGCCGCACTCGGCGGTGCTCAAGATACCAGTCCTCCCCCGATCCCGAACCCCAGCAATATCGGCATGTTCGAGACACCTGTCAAAGGCTCCACTGGCGACTTCGGCATGTCTGGGCTGAACCTCGGACACCAAGCCGAGAACGAGCCAGGCCCTGCGAGCCCGTCCGAGACGAACCCCTACCGCAGCCCTCCGGCCGACCGTGGCGAATCTCATGATGAAGGTGGCGCCGAGAAGCCCCATGGAGCGGCCATTGGCGGCGAGCAGAACCCCGGATTCAACACCATGTCGTCGCGTGGCTTCCCTACCCATGCTTTTGACGGCAGCGATCGTAGTCAGACTAGCAGCGCTGGCCCCCGTGGTTATGCCTCTGGCTGGCCTGTTCCCATGTCTACTGGCACCCCTGATCGCGAGCGCGCTGGCTTTGGCGGAGTTTTTGGAAATTCCCTCTTCAGTCCCATGGGCACTGAGCTTCAGTCGCCGGGCTTGTCCAGCATCGGCGCTGGTGTCTTTGGTCCTGCTAGTGCTGGTGGTCTTGGTGGGGCCGGAACCATTGGCCGCAGCAAGCTGGGTTCCCTGTTTCCTCCGGCGATGCAGGCTCAGATGCAGGGCCACGAGCAGGAGAACTTGAGCGACTCGCTGCCTGATCTTCGTCAGGGCAACCCTCTAGGTGCCATTGGTCGGAACAACTTCAATGCAGTGCCACGAGACGCTGGCAGTCCGCTTCGAGCTGGCAGAGGCGGCGTGTTCGAAGAGATGTTCCCCTCCGACCCTACCCGTTCCCACAGCGTTTTCGGCGGTTCCGATCCCTCCCACCCCGGAGCTCCCGGTGTCGGTCACCCCCAGGTATTCACCCCCGGGGCTTCGACCGGCACCGAATTTGGTTCTGCCCCGGTTCGTCAGATGGTCATGCCCGACCGTATGCGCTGGGTCTACCTTGATCCTCAGGGTCATGTCCAAGGCCCCTTCAGTGGTCTCGAGATGAACGACTGGTACAAGGCCAACTTCTTCACACCCGACCTCCGCGTCAAAAAGGTGGAGGACTCCGATTTCGAACCCCTGGGTCAGCTTATTCGAAGAATCGGCAACTCGCGCGAGCCCTTCCTTGTCCCTCAAATTGGCATTGCTCACGGCCCTCCATCCCAGGCCGGCCCCTTCTCGCCGAGCGGCAACACTGGTGTTATCCCTCCCCTCAGCGGGGTGTTCCCGAGCTTCGGGAGAACACTGACCGCCGAGGAACAGAATAATCTGGAGCGTAGGAAGCAGGAAGAACAGCAGGCGATGGCCCAACAGCGCGACTTCATGATGAGGCAGCAGGCGATCACTAGACTGCAAAGTCAAGGCCCAGGTGGTGTCCCAGGTTCCTTGCACCACCAGCACAGTGCTCACAGCCTGCAGAGCCAACCTAGCTTCGGTAGCATTTCGTCGCCAATCGGTGCTCATCCCCAGCAGCCGCCTATCGGAGGTGGCGTTGGCCCCACGTCCAGTTTCTTCGATGCGGCCGCCCAGCAAGCCTCAGCCCAGCCACCTGTTGGTGCTGGACTCGATCATTTTCGTGAAGAAGACCTTGCGACGCTGAACCCGAGCGAACGCCAAATGCTTGCCAGTGTACAGGCCCCGAACAGCATCGCTAGCATCTTTAACCAGCAGCCCGTCGGTGCTCCTGCCAACGACAACAATCTCCGCAACAACCTTCCGGGAACCAAGCAGTTGGATAAGGACGAGGAAGGATTTCGTGAGCGCTTGAAGGAGTTTGAGGATATCCGTGCCGAGCGTGACTCGGAGCAGACCCAAGAGTCTGGTAACAAGACCAACCAAGATGACGGCAGCCAGGAGGCCCCTGCCGCCACTGGTTCGGAGACAAGCTCCATGGAGAATCACAAGCCATCGGCCCCGGGGATGAAGGAGATCATGGAACAGCAGGAGCAGCTTTCTCTCACTCAGAGAGTTCAGCAGGCACAGGCTGCTGCCGAGGCCGCCAAGAACGCGGCTGCTGGCTTTCCCATGCCGTTCCCCCCCCCTGCCCCCACGACTGGCACTCCACTTCCCGCCCCCACCGCTCAGCGTGTCCGGTCCAATCTACCCGAACAGTACAACCGATCCCAGACTGGAACCCCCGACACCGGGTCAGCCACCGAGCCCCCACCTTTGGCTCCATGGGCCAAGGAAGCTGCCAGCCGCAAGGGCCCCAGCCTCAAGGAGATCCAGGAGGCCGAAGCTCGCAAGGCCGCCAAGGCCGAGGAGGCTGCTGCCGAGCGCCGCCGCGTGGCTTTGGAGCAAGAGGCCGCTGCCCTCAGAGAGCGCGAGAAGGCCATCGCTTCCGCCACAGGGCTTCCTACGACTAGCACCTGGGGCAACGGCTCCCCCGTTGCAGCCGCCAGCCCCTGGACGAAGCCCGCGTCTGTCAAGCCCACCCCGGGCGCCAGCACTCCCGGAAAACAAAAGACTCTCGCTGACATCCAGCGTGAGGAGGAGAACAGGAAGGCCAAGGCGGCGAAGGAGGTTGCCGTCCAAACGGGATTGGCCACTGCGGCGGCCGGCAAGCGTTATGCCGACCTTGCTACCAAGCCCAACAATGCTCCCGGTCTTGGACAGACCAACTCACCTGCCCCTCCCCCAGGTAGCGGTTGGGCCATGGTCGGAGCTGGCGGTAAAGTCAAGGTGCCTACGGGACCTGCGTCCCAGACGCGATCAGCTAGCGCTGCCGGCATGAAGGCTACCCCGGTCGCGACGAAGCCGGCTGTCAAGCCCCCCCCGGCTGCTGCCCCTGCTGGGCCTGCCAAGAGCGATGTTGCCATGGATGAGTTCAACAAGTGGCTCCACCGCGAGCTATCCCGTGGAATTACTGGTGTCGACAGTGAGTATTGAGTATGCGCTTATTGAAAAAACGGACTCGATTACTAACTACAGTCATAGTTGATACCTTCGCTGCTACCCTCCAAATCCTCCCTCTCGACAACACCATCATTGCCGATGCAGTGTATGCCAATTCCAAGACCATGCACGGTCTCCACTTTGCCGAAGAGTTCATCCGGCGCAAGAGGTTGGCCGAGAAGGGTGTGGTCGAGAAGCAAGGCGCCGTCACAGATAACAAGTCTGGCAGCTGGAACGAGGTAGCCAAGAAGGGCGGCCACAAGGAGCAGTCTCCCGCCAGCGCGGCCGCCGGGGACGCTAGTATCCAAGGCGCCGGTTTCAAGGTTGTCCCGACGCGCAAGAAGGCGGGCAAGAAGGGCAACTGAAGACAATGGTCAGGGGCTCCAGGGGGGCATGCGCAGCGGTGAATTTGATGGCTGAGGCTGTAATGATGTGATAGCCAGCGAGACGATGCCCTGACGATGTTTGGACGGCGAAGTTAGCTCTGGATGGATTACTGCCATTGGGCCACAGCGTCATGTAGCGCTAAATGCAAGCGATAGGTAGCATGTCAGCAAGCAGTGATATCACTTTTGAGTGTGTTTTGTGATGTGATGAATGAACCAGGAAAAATCTGTATCACGGATGAAGTGAAGTCTAGATTAATTGAGACGAGGCAGCAAGGTAAGCAAGGTAATGAATGAAAGAAAGACAAGTGAATGAATGAGTGAGTGAAGGTATGAGATGAGTGGTTGTTCTGGGGTGAGCCGCTTATGTAACGTCGTGAGTAGGTGAAAATTTGCCCCGCCCCCACCATGGAAATTTCGATTTCACAGGGCATCAACGGTGCGCCTGCTCCCCGGTTGAGTCAACTTTCTGGCCGGAAGAAGACGGAAGGAAACCATTGCTCTTGTGAGCATCTAAAATACTGCGAATTGCAAAAACAAAAAACAGATCAAAGATAGCCTCTTTGACTCGTTTGGAACTCGTGTACTTTCGGCAACAACCGTCGTTGATCAGTTTCGGGCGCGGCATACCCCGCGACGCGGGGCAAAGGCGCACTTATCGCAGCTTTACAAGCGAAGTGCGAGTGAGTATCCTGCACCAGACTTTAGTCCAAAGATGGCGGAATTACAGACAAACGGCGGCCGTGAAGCTACCTCTCTGCTCTCACAAGTCACGAACGGCGCATACGTAGACGTCCTGACGTCGCCAGTCGCCAAGGACCTCGTTACGAAGTTCATCCGCCGCCTCGAAGCACAAGCTGCTGGGGAGAACAACAATGCCCCACCCGAACCATCGCAGGACTCGCTATCCGAAGACGAGATTGCCGTCGGTCTTGCCGCCCTCAATGCGTTCCTCCAGGCGAACGTGACCGGGCCGGTGCTGGAGCAGGTCGGCAAGGTCGAGGCGCTCTTCGTCGAAGCGTCCGCGGCAGCACCCTCTGGGGCAGCAGACACCCTCAAGGAGCTCCGAAAGAGCAGTTTCGGAGCCCTCGAAATTGATGGTGTCTCGCCGTATCCATACATTCCCAACATTGAACTCTTCGCCCTCGCTCGTCACATCTTCACCGAGTCCGCATCCGCTAGCGGCGCCGTCATCAAGCTCTCTTCGTCGCGGTTGAGCCTGCCGTGGACACGCCTGCGCATCAACGTGTGGCACTTCAAGCTCCTCAGCCAGCCCTCCCTCGGCCCGGGCTCTAATTTTGCAAAGTCGTCGCAGTGGATCGACGTCCCGACGCTAGCGGAGCAGATCAACTTCGGCATGGAGGCCGTCAGGAAGCAGATCCTCGACGAGGACGTGTGGTCGACGAGCGAGGACAGCACCTGGTCGAGGGAAGAGAAGGTTCAGTTCCTGCTTGAGGCGGCGAACACGCACATCATGCTCGGCCGCGATGATAGGGCGCGCGAGGCGCTGAAGGAGGCGACCGAGTTGAACAGGTTTGCCTACGCCCTCTCTGGCGCGCTCGGGAAGAGGACCAAGTTTCAGGAGAAGAGCACCAGCCAGCTTGTTGTTCTTGCCAAGAGCGACACGCCTACGGAGAGCGCGGAGGAGAACGGCGACGCCGAGGCGAAGCCCGAGGCCGTGGCGCTTAACGATGACACCCTGCTCGAGGAGATCCAGTTCTCCAAGGAGGCGAGCGGCAAGCATGGCGAGCTGGCAGCCACGTCCGCCGGCCTCCCCGCCACGTTGGTGGATCTGTCTCCCGACGCCCAGCCCCAACTGTCGCCGCTCGACCAGATCATCCTCCTCACCGAGGCCACCCTCAAGGACACATTCTCCCCCGTCGACTCGCTGACGTCGGAGGAGGTTTTGCCGTACGCCGTGCGCGTCGTCTCGGACAAGGCAACTAACTGGCAGATTTACACACAGGCCCTGCTGGTGCGCTCGCGGATCGAGGTCCACCGCAGCAGGACGGTTGAGAGGGGCGTCTTGCAGATGCAGGCCGTCGTCGACCAGGTCGTCGTCGACACCTCCGAGGCCCCGCGCCCTAGAGCCGAAGACGTCGCCCACGAGCCCGAGCTCCCAGCCATCGCCGTCACTGCCCCCGGGGAAACGGACAAGCCGACGTCCTTCTTCCCCGCCGCCAAGGAGACCGACACGGCGCCGGCGCACGTCCGCCTGCAGTACATACACGCGCTCTCCTCCCCGCCAAGGTGGCACCTCGAGTCCGAGCTCGCCTACTCGTGGGCCGGCGTCGGCTCCCTCGTCTCCGCCCTCGAGATCTTCAAGCGCCTGCGCCTCTGGGCCGAGGTCGCCCTCTGCCTCGCCAGCAGCGCCTCCGCTGACGACAACTCCGGCCGCGGAAGCGGCGGCGAGGACAAGGCCAAGGCACTCGTCCGCTGGCGCCTGTTCCACCGCACGGGGCAGCCCGTCGTGGAGAACGCGGACCCTGACGCCGAAGACGTCGCGTTGCGCGACGTCACGTACCTCGACCCCGCCGACTTTGCCGGTCCCGAACGCAGCCCGCCGCCGCCCAACGCTCCGCGGCTGTTCTGCATCCTCGGCGACCTGGAAAACGAGCCGGCGCACTGGGAGCGCGCGTGGGACATCTCCAAGCACCGCTTCGCGCGCGCGCAGAAGTCGCTGGGCGAGTGGTACCTCGCGCACAAGGACTGGGCCAAGGCGCAGGACGCGTACAAGCTCGCGACCAAGTGCAATCGGCTGAGCCCCGAGATGTGGAGCCGGCTGGGCGACATCAGCCTCCGCCTGGGCCAGTTCGCGGACGCGGCCGAGGCGTACAGCCGCGCCATCGGCGCCGCGGGCGACGTGGTCGGCGGCGAGGACGCCCGGACGTGGAGCAACCTAGGCAGTGCCCTCTGGAGCATGTACCTCGAGGCGGTGGAGGAGCTGAAGAAGCAGATCATCGAGGAGAAGAAGACGGGCGTCAAGAAGAGCGAGGATGACGGCGACGACGCTGACGACGAGGAGCCCAAGCAGCGCGATCCTAAGCCCCGCGATCCGGGCGCTCTCCTTTCCCAGGCCCTGGCGGCATACAAGCGCGGCGCGTCGATCGCGCAGGACAACTGGCGCATCTGGGACAACGTCCTGACGCTGGCCTCGCGCATGCGGCCGCCCGCCATCGTCGACATGGTGCAGGCCCTCGGCACCATCATCCGGATCCGCAAGACCGAGGACGCGCTCGACGATGCCGTCCTCCGCGCGCTGCTGCAGGAGGGCGTCCTCTCCAAGGCGAAGGAGGACAACAAGAGCGGCGGAGTGTACGCGCCGCCGCGCGGCACCGTCGAGAAGGCCGTGACGGCGCTGTTCGAGGAGGCCATTGTGCCGCTGATCACGACGAGGTCGGAGCTGTGGGAGCTGGTGGTGCGGCTGCGGGTGTGGCGGCGGGACTACGCCGGCGCCGTAGACGCGGCGGAGAAGGCGTGGAGAGCGGCGATGGGGGCGGGCGCGGGCGGCGGGCTGGCGGCGTCGGCGGCGGCGTCGGGCGGCGCGGACCAGAGCCGGAACTGGCTCGTGGACGCGGGCGCGTGGGCGGCCGTCGTGGCGCGGACGGACGAGCTGGTGAGCGTCCTGGAGAACTTTGGCGGCGAGGTTGAGGGCGTGGGGAGCAAGTGGAGGGGCAAGGCGCGGAACGCGGTGCGGAGCGTCATGAGCCGCGGGAGGGAGGCGTGGGAGGGGACAGAGGAGTGGAATCAGCTGGAGGTGATGATGGAAGGGTTGAAGCTGTAGATGGTAAAAAGAAAAAGAAGAGAGAAGAAAAAAGAGGAGTGTTAGCGATGGGGTGGTCACGATGAGGAGAGTGGTTCGTAGACTTGAGACAGGATATCAAAGGCTGAAGCCATATACTTTGTCTCTGCTTTGTTCCTTGCCCCCCTTCCGACCCTTATCGAGACACAGATCTTGGTCAACTGTGGATGGTTTTTTATGTATGTACCTCGTTACCATGTCTTTTTTCCTGTCAGATTGGCCCGCCGCCAAGGCTAGTGTCCATGTGAACCTATCAAGGTCGAGGATTCGAGTGCAGAATGCGTTTACTGACGTAGCAGCAAGACCGAAGCTGTAAAAGTTGCAACGCGTAGACTTCTTGCTTGACAGATGATATGAAGCCCATTCTTAGGACTCGAGGGGGTCCGGACTGCCTTGAAAGGGAGATGGGTTGCGCGCAGGATGACAGCGAGATAAAGCCTATTTGGAGGTGTAAGACGAGAGCTGTTCGGAAGCCTTTATCGAGGCTGTTTCAAAGCTCTCGAACAAGGACATTCATCGCCATTTGTTGTCCACCATTTAGGTGTCTTGCACCCTCGGGGGGAGGGGGTTATTATCCCCTGCCGTTGCGAAGCTGAGTTCAGCTTGTTCTTTCAGGAGCACACTGAAAGACCATAAATGACGTCCCCGTCGTCTGCGATGCTTTGTCTTACCTCAGGCTGGGAATTTAATAAGAGAGAATGGTTTCTCCCCTGGGCAACACAACTGCTGTTCGCGTACCACTTGCACGGATCGAAAGCATACAAACAATTTTGCACCTGCACCCTCCTACGAAATATCCCTCCGCGGCAGTTTCAGAGCGTCGTGAGGCCATAAGAGATACAAAACCAGCCTCAAAACGAAGACGGCACGTTTGTTTCGACACTATGTATGTCCATGGCTTAAGATTGTCCCCATCACCGGCGGTTCTTTGCCCGTTCCTTGAACTCAGTGAAAAAGAAGCGGAAGATATGATGCTTCTCGCCGCAGCAGCGAGCGTGCGAAGCCCCAGCACAGACGCCGGCTTCCGCACAGTCAATAATTTTCCATCAGGCAGCCCGGATCAGCCATCATTTCTAAGACCATTGAACACATCCAGCCCCTTCACTGCCCATGATATGGATATTGCAGAGGAAAGAGGTTGGGCATGGAGAGGTGTAGCAGACGCAACACCAACGGAAACGCATCCGTGGGTCCAAATAGCAGAAGCCGAAGACCCGACCATGTGTTTCCTAGACGACCACCTTTACCTACCAAACGACGATGCGTGGGGCGAAGAGGGGTCCAGGCAGTACCGGTTATCGGATTTGGTCTTGGACGCGGCGCACATCATCTAAGACAGGATTCATTTGTTGAGACCCCCGGAACAAAAATATATCCGGGCGAAATCAAGTTCGAAGCATCTGGTAATTAATAGCCCTTTCCTTGGGCTCAAGATGCCATCATATCTCGTAACGACAAAGAGCACCGACCAAGTGGCAAAGGGTTAGTTAGACGCACTGATCCAGCCATCTGATGCCGACGAGTGGACATGCTGCTTGCAGGCTTCGGGACTCGGCCGAAGAACAAGTGCCGGACTGCCGACAAGGGCCGCAATCCGATTAGTGAATAATGAATGGCGATGATAAACCATGACGCCACGACTTGATTGAAGTCCAGAAGTCTGTAGACAAACGCATCCCACCCTGACATTCATGCCCGACCCAGAACACACGGTTATATGACCCTGCGACCAATCCAATCAACTGTCCCGCAACCATGTCCCTAACGCAAGAATTGGCATCATGGATGTCCCCGAAGAGGCTGGACTTGGGAAACCCGCCGAAAGTGGGAGACTCCGCCCCCGGCACCAACTTGCTGGAGTTCCCCAGGGCCGACGAGAGACCGGCCGTGGTCGTGTTCCTCAGGCATTGCGGTTGTCCATGTAAGTCACATTCCCCATGATGCAAAAAAAGACGTCATCCATCTCCTACCCGCCAGATTGAGCATGTCAAGCTCACGGGCCGGGTTTCCAGTCGCCGAGAAATCCCTCCGCGTCCTTCGCGAAGCCGCCCCCGCGAACCCGGGCGTCGCCTTCATCGCCGTCTCGCACTCGTCGGCGTCGCACACGAAGAAGTGGCTGTCCGAGGTCGGAGGCCCCGGCGGCGGCGACGACGCGAACCCCGTCGAGGTCGTCGTCGACGAGGGGCGTGACGTCTATGCCCGATGGGGCCTCGGCGCGTCAAGCTTTCTGCACGTCCTCGGCCCCAGCACGCTGTCGAGCGTGTTCAAGCTGGCGCGGGAGGAGGGCATCGCCAACAGGCCCACGGAGAGCGGGAGCCGATGGCAGACTTCGGGGGCTTGGGCCGTGGACGGGAGAGGAAGCGTGACTTGGGGCGGTCCAGCTCAGACGGCGTCCGAGATCCCCAACGTCGAGGAGGCATTGTCGTCGCTGCGCTAACGGACGTCTCTGTTCACGATGTATTGTTAACTTCTTTATGTATTAACTAGATATCTATTCTATTTTTATTTTTATTTAGTTCTTTTTACTTATTCCAGCCCTGGACCAAACGGATAAACTTGTCCACCTCTGTTATCTCCGTGGCCCATGTCGTCAGCAACCTCACGACCGCCTCGTCGTCGGCGCGCTTCTCCCACACGTAGAATGTGAAGTGCTCCTGCAGCGCCTGTATCAGGCCCAAGGGCAGCACCGCAAACACCTGGTTCGTCTCCGTGACGGCGTACACGGAGAAGCCGGCGGCGGCGACCCCGCTGGACAGCGTCTCGGCGCACAGGTTGGCCTGCCGGGCGAGGTCGAAGTAGAGGTCGTCCTTGAAGAGCTCGGCGAACTGGACGCCCATGATGCGGCTCTTGGCGAGCAGGGAGCCGTGCTGCTTCATGTAGAACTCGTATTCGGTCGCCAGGCGGGCGTCCTTGACCACCACGGCCTCGCCGAGGAGGGCGCCGTTCTTGGTGCCGCCGATCCAGAAGATGTCGGTGAGCTCCAGCACGTCGGCGAGCGTCATGTCGTTGGCTTTGGACACCAGCGCCGTCCCGATGCGCGCCCCGTCGAGGAACAGGAGGAGCTGGTTCCGCTCGCAGACGTGCTTGATGGCCGCGAGCTCCGCCCGCGTGTAGAGAGTGCCGATCTCGGTCGCGTTGGAGACGTACACCAGCCTCGGCTTGGCCATGTGCGGGAAGTGCCAGTTGTCGTCCATGGCCCGCTGGATGCTCTGGGGCGTCAGCTTCCCGTCGACCGGCGCGACGTTGATGATCTTGTGCCCGCTGGCCTCCACGGCGCCCGTCTCCCTTGTGACGATGTGCCCGGAGCTCGCGGCGATGACGGCCTCGTGAGGCCGCAGACAGGCCGCGATGGAGATGGCGTTGGCCGACGTGCCGCTGGGCACGAAGAAGACGCCGACGTCCTCGCGGCCCAGGTGCCGGCGGATCCGCTGCCGCGCGAGGGCGCAGTATGCGTCGCCGCCGTAGCCTGCCTCTTGAGATGTGTTGCTAGATAGAATGGCTTTCAGGAGCGCCGGATGGGCCCCTTCGCTGTAGTCATCGAGGAAGCTGTAGCGAGGGGCGCTATTGGGAACAAGAGTTTGAGAGGGCATAGTTAATGGCGGGACGGAATAAAGATATGATTATGAACAACGAAAAGAGTAATGGGAATCTGCGATCCCGTCTCCTCGGAATTCTACCAGTATATAGAATTCCCCATTCCCCACAGAAACATGCACATCCAAACGTTAGACGATAACGGAATCTGAGCGTTACTAAGTGGAACGTTAGTCAGTGCGGGTCTAAGTGACGTCCACGCTCAACAAAAAAACAACAAAAACGTGGACATAAGCTATGCTCCGAAACTACGGGTGTCTTGGAACCTTATCGCGGCAGTAGTTGCGACGGCTACATACGGGGCATGCGCGGATAGTTTCGGCATCGCGGGGCCGGCTGGGGGTTCCGGCGTTTGTTTGACAAATTTGACAAGGGTGGGCACAGGAAGAGACATGATTGTGAGGCCGTGCTGCACACGCGACGGCGTGGATGAGGGGTCGTCCCAAGACACGGGTCACACGGCCCTCGTTGTTGAGGAGGAAGACGTTGACGAGGAGGTGATGGTGTTGGCGGCATCGAGAGAGAAGTCAATGAAACTGCGGTAGGTCTCGACCGTTGAAGCGTCGAGGGGCTTGGGGTACGTTAGCACCTTTTGCGACTTCGGCCTGAGGGGTATGCCGGTGGCTGTCAGGTCGCTGGACTGGTCGAACAGCTCGGGGTACTTCGTATAGAAGGCCGGGTCGATCTTGTAGTACGACACGCCTCTGTCCATGTTCAGCTGCTTGAAGGCCGCACGGGCGTGCGACGGCGAGGAGAAGAGGGTCGCGATGTCGGGGGCGGGCATGGCGGCGGGCATCTCATCGAGGCCGTCGTCCTCGCCCACGGTGGGCGACATGGCCCTGATTAGATCAGTGACTCGGATATAGACGGTGACTTGCGGCGCGCCGAGGATGAGGTCCGACATGTTCGTCTCGACTACGTACCCCGTGACCGCGTCGCAGAATATCTGGTCAATCTGAGGATTGGCAGCGTGGCGTTGTATAAGCCTGTCGCGGATTGAGGGGAACGGAATCCAGTCTATCACGCGCGGGTGCGGGTGCTTCATCTGTGTCTCGGTCGGCCGGTATCTGGGGTGCAGCTTCTGAAAGGTGGCGGTAGACGGATAGAGTTGCCACGCCGTTAGCTCCACGATATAGTAGAAGCGCGTATGAGAATACCAAGCCATCACGTCGGGCCGGGTCATGCTGTTGAACATGGAGAGAACCATGATAACGGGTTGGTAGATCCTATAAGCCCCGTCAGTCTGGTTGCGATTAGCAATGAACTCTACCAATCATTACCCTTGCATTGAGGGTTGTCCTTCTGGCGTAAACCCGGACGCTCTCAGCTTCTTTTTGAGGAGACGCTGGAGGAGCTGGATATGGTCCGAGAAGGGTGAGTTTGACAGCGTCCAATTCTTGCGCAACATTGCGCTGGACTCTTGGGTTGCAGCCATGGCCGTCAAGTACGGTTCTATGCCGGTTTGGTACTCGAAGCTCCAGATTTTCGGGATCTGGGGATAGAGCGGGCTGGTGCCAGTAACGTTGACGAGCTCGGATGATAGGTACTCCTCATTTTGCCCTACGAGTTATCAGTGCCTTGCTTTTGTATTTTAGATGATTGTGCTACTTGCCTGTCATGGAGGGCAACGTCAGGGGCGGATCGAAACTGAACATTGATATATCCAATGGTTCCAACTCCGTCGGTGCGTAGAGTTCGGGTGGCGGTGAGGTGTGCTTGCTTCGCTCGTGGTCCTGGTTTGATAACCCAGTTGATGGCTTCCCTGAGTCATCTGCGAACCTATGATCTCCGTCCTCGATGGTAGCCGTATCATCAAGAGTCTTTGAAACAGAGTCGCTCAGCCCTTGGAGGGTAGCTAGCAGCCGGGACATCTTGGCCTGGACCTCTACCAGCTGCATCCGGAGTTGCCTGTTCTCCTGCTGCAGTGCCTCGATGCGCTCGCTGTCTGACTTCTGATGGGAATTGACGCGGCTGCTCAGCTCCCTGATGCGCTCTGCCTGCCTGCGACGGAACGCTTGCTGGGAGAGGCGATTGCGCAGTCGTCTGTGGCATCAACGTCAGCTGCTATTCGCTGGTGGGGAAGGGACAGAGTCTCCACGATCACACACTTTCGCTCCTGTTCGCTCATGTGAGTGCCAATGCCCTCTTCTGTTGCTTGGGAATCGCTGCCAGGCATCTTCTGGTTGGTTGACCTCGGCATTTTGTCTATTGCCAGGACGGAACGGAGAGTGAAATGGAGAGAAGTCAATATTGTCAGTCAAACTTCGTGCGAAAGCGCCCTAAACACTATCGCCGTGGACCCGTGCTCGGCCGCCGGCCCCACCATCGACTGTAGTGGTGTGCATACTCGTAACTTAGCTATGACGCTTGTCGAAATTGACAATTTGTTCACCTCAAGTCATAAAAAGATGTGATTTTCGTGTTCCTGACTTCAATCCGACAAAGGCAGGAATTGATGCCCGATCATTGGAGGAATGGGCGTGCTGAAAAGACGCAAACTCAGGCTTGAAATAGCTTGATGGCCGGCTACTCCTTGGAGCTGGCTACATCGTTACTAGCATCGCCCCGTTAAGGTGCCCCTTCCGGCAACGAGCATGCGTGAATGCGAAAGAGAAAACAAATATGGTAACGAGACCAAATGAGAGGACTCCCGAGCTTGATACCAGTGTACTGGAAGCAATGGCGCTTGCTACACGAATGGTATGCCGACTACTCCCAATGTGGTTGAAACTGAACGCCTCGAGAGACTCGCCTATGGACTGATATAGGAAAAATAATAAAAAAAGAAGAGATTCCACGGCAGCTATGATCATTGCCAGCCACATAGAGAATAAGGTAGCCGAATGGAAAGCATCTTGTCCCTCGGTAAGATAATCTTGCCCTGGGCTTTCGTTGCTGTGAGCTGCTATCAGCCTTTCGCTACGTACTAGATTGTGGAAGATTAGTCCTTTGTGGAATAGCAAGAGTACTAAGGGTGGAAGTTATTAACATGCTGAAGTACATTTTTCGATGGTGTTCTTCGACTAGGCTGCCCCTCCCACCTGTGAAATTATTTCACGATGAATCGCGGTCTATTGGGTATCGACCATCATGGGGCAACAGCATTGGCTGTCTATAGAATAAAAATGTCTCAAGAGCAATGTAAGTGGAAAGAGGATATGAAGCAGCAGATGCACGCCAAAGGTGAAGTGCCGTGGTGATGTTAGTAACGAGTCTTTATGTAGGAATCTTTCCCGAGTGACGAGCAAATCAGTGTGGAGCCATGGGCTGCAGTGGCGCCAAAGCTTGACTGCCATCTTGGTTCGGGTTATTGCTAGTTGTCTCTTATTATTCGCTTCCTGTTGGATGCCTATTGGGTTTACCATCGATTTGCATCTGTCCCTGAACAGGATGAAGTGGATTTCACAGAGTTTGTGTGCAACCCAAGATACATTCGCACATGATAATTTCACTCAGTCATCGAAAAGTCAGAATGCCGATGACCGTTGTCTGGACTCGGTTATGAGATGGCACTGAACATAGTTCCTGGAGATGATTGAGTCGGCAACAAAAATTGACTCTGTTATCCGTGTATCTGGCAATATCTATGGTATACGATGCTCGTTCATGGACGGAATTCGTGGCGGTTTATCTGTACTGCTTACATCCAATCCAAACCGACATGAAGCTGAAAAGGCTTCGCGGGGCGCTGTGCGGGCATGTCCGAGACACCGACACGATGATTGAATACGATGCGACACTGAGAGGCAGCCTGTCAGCCTACATGTACCAGGCATCATGTCCTCTTTGGGGCCAAAAGGAATGATACGCTCCTCTTGGGTGTGCCGCATTCTTCCTAACTGGGCGGCATGCACGTCATGCGCGGCGTTCGCGAAGCAACCTCCAGGGGTGGCAAAGATAAGCCACGCTGACGTGAACGCTAATTCGTTCGCACCTATACCAAAGAGAACAGCATCGCCCAATGGCTAAGTTCTCTGAGTGTGTGAGATTCACAAGACAGGAAATTGAAACAGATGCCTGAGCGCATGTGATTGATAGACACTACATGTTATTCAGAGGGGGGGGTATTGGCATGGTTTCTTCTCCCTGCAGTGATATTCGGGGCTGAAAGCCACGACCGCCACAAAAGCCGAAACACTTCGCAGCATGCCGAAAAATAATAATTATAAGTCTGCCGCCTTTCCACGTTGTCTTCATCCTCGGCGAACCTCCACACTCGTCGTGATCATAGGTCACGCCAGCCTCATAATGTCTACCTCCAGCACCCCCACCGGGCCTGTCACCGTCCTCCAGTCTGTGGAAAAACAACGGAACTGCATGACCACCAAGCTGCAGGTCACCGATTCCCATGCCCCAGGTCCTGGAAACACCACCACAGTCCAAGCTACGCTTCCAGAGTACCATGTCTCTCCGCCTTGGCAACTGCTTTGGGACGATTTGTGGCTCTTTGTCAGGCATTCCATACTCATCCCATTCATTGTTGACCCCTTGTGGTATCCTCGTCGCGATGGGACACAGTACCCTTCTCTGAGCCAGGCATGGCTGCCCAGGGGCGTTAATTGGAACCTCATCCAGAGGGCAGTCACGGCTTCTCAGAGTTGGTACCAAGCACTCGTCGATCCTTTTTTCCCTTCTGGGGAGATGGACGAGCTCTACCCATCAGTGGGGAATCTCATCTCTCTCACGGCTCATGGGATCCTCATCGTCGCGCAGGTCTCGTTCTTGGTTTCGATCCCTTTCGTTGCCAGTCTCCCGTTCAACGTCGTAATACCTTACATTCTGGGATTCATCGCTCTCAACTATTTTGTTTGCATGCCGCTCAACGCTGGAACGAGTAATGGAATGCTCACATCCCAGCACGACCGTTGGGAGGAGGCTAGGCACTGGGATTCCCTCAGAAATGACGACTATCGAGAAAAGTGGATTTTCCTCAATGGAATCTCTGTCGGGTTTGTGCCCTCCATTGTCTTTCTCTCAGAATGCCTGCCGTGCTAACCAATATACACGAAGTTCTCACTGGCTGCAAGGCAACCTCAACAGGCTGTCGAGGACCTTCCACCGCCCCATTGTTGGCGTTCATAACCCCACGTATGTACCGTTCTCATGTTGGGCTCGAAATCGATAATAACGAATACCTTTTGCAGGGTCGGCATTGTCTTCGACATCATCCAGTGCCTCTTGGAAAGGTGTTTCTACTTTGGCACTTCCGACACCAGAACCTGCTACGCCCTCATTGCTGCTGCTTTGAGTCCTACAGAGAAAACTGATAAGGTAGTCCTCATACTTCATTCCCAGGGCGGCCTCGAAGGCAGCATCATCCTCGATTGGCTTCTTTCCAACTACCCTCGCGACACCTTGAAAAAGATGGAGATATACACTTTCGGCAACGCAGCCAACCATTTCAATAACCCGAGGGTGAGTGGCGAGGAAGGCACTCTCGGCCACATCGAACACTACGGCAATTCTGGTGACTTCGTTGCCGCATGGGGTGTCAACCACTTCAAGTCTCTCGTCGCCAAGGCGTCTCTGAATCAAGATCTAGAGAGAAAGGCACGATCGTTCGACTTGGGATACATACTTGGCCGTGATGAGAGACAGAACAACTTCTCTGGACTCCTATTTAAGAATGAGGTCAAAGGTCATCTGCTCAACCAGCATTACCTGGATAGGATTCTGCCTCTGAATGTTTCCCTGACCGGCGTCGAGGAGGAGAGCAAGGGGAAGCCAATGCCGGGCACTTTTATGGACTCGCCCATGCAGTCTGATGAGGGAAGTCGCAAACTCGACCGCGAAGGTGCCAGAGTGTACCAGGAGAGCAGGCTTTGGCAGTACATCAACGGTAGATCGCCCCCGCTCAAGGTCAAGGCTTTGCCAGCAAACTTCCGGAGGAGGCCTAACGGCGAACGAACCCAATGACACTAAGGGTCCTGGATTATTCAAAAGTAATGAAGGAGGCGAAATGAGGATATTCCCTCTTCTTTGGCTATCTACTCCATTGCTTAACTAATGTCATCCTTTCTTCTGGTGGAACCTTCACTCCTGAACAAGTCTATCAAATAGTATTCGCTAAGTAAGAAAGTCTGGCCAAAGCCAGAGCTGTTTGCTGCTGGTAGATACCAAATCAGTGAAATTTGGCTTTGGCTTCTACTGTGCGCCAAATCATTATTAATAGTGCTTTGCAAATCGAGAAAAATGGAAAACGACGCTTACAAGGGAGACTATAATGGCTACTGCAGACACACTTGCAAAAGAACTTGAGTATCAGTATGTCTATCACGAGGGTCTGCAGTACACCAACGGATACTCGGCAGGGATTGTGATACAGCCACCTCCGATTAGGGGACATCCTTCAATACCAAGCATTGAGGCTGTCTTTCCTATTGCCCTAGACAGCGATGAGAATCCTGGCGTTCACGTACATGGAAACTTTGATATTATTCCTTGAGGTCTCAATATGTGCAAGCACACACATATCTTTCTACAAAAACTGGGAGATTACTACCGGGTATGGATCACGATGAGATTGCTTTATATGTCTAGAGACTTGCAAGCCCGCGACTATATTGAAATCTTACAAAGTAGACTTGTGCGCGACTGTCATCGCTTAACAACTTCAGACACAAAGTTCCCTGGACAAAAAAAGCCAGGCTTAACCTTAAACTGACTGCAGCTCAGATGAATTATCTTGGAGAGGAATGGATTACAGGAAGACTCCACCCTAGTGACAAAGCCAAACGCAGTCCCCCATACACTACAAGGTATCTGCGCAGTGTGTATTCATCTACTATCTAGTATTAATGTGCTCAGTCTGAACTTTGCCTTTTCCAAGCTATTTATTGAATCCTGTCCCAACTTTTGGATGCCGTTGGCCGACGACTTAGCATAGCCATAGTGAAAGAATGATGCAACCGATAAGAGATGACTTCACCGTCATCAGCAACCCCTGCGGCGCAGTGAGCCGACTCTCAACGGCAAATGAAATGCCCGTCTATATGGACAGGGTTTCATGCCACCCCCTCTCGTCCGTCTTCCCGTTCCAATCTTACCTCCGTCGGTAAACCAGAATGACATCAGCTTCATTCAGCCCGTCGTAAAGCCATACACCAACTTGGTCAAAATACAGCAGTCGAGATGAAACCTCAGCTGCTTTCTTGTGCCGTGCTTCTCCTCGGGAGCCGTGCATCTGCGGCTGATGCACAGCAAATACCACTCAGACAGAACGATCCATCGCGTAATAGCTACCCCCGTGCGGTCTCGCCAGAACTCGACACGTATATTGAGGGGATCATGGAAGATTGGCACGCACCCGGCCTGACTGTCGCTATCATTGATGGGGATAAGACCTGGGCGAAGGTATGGATGCATTTCCATTGCCGCCTAATTGAGTCCCTCGATTAGACCACCCCAGTAGCTGGGGACGCGGCAAACCCAACCTCTTCCACTGCTCCATTACGATCCACATATCCCAAGCATGCGTCAGATCGGCCGGTATAGCTGGTATACGATCGTATACCACAGAATTTAACGTCTGCCTGTTTCTAATTAGGGCTATGGCTACGCGGTTCTGAACTCGACCCCGATGACGCCCCACACTCTTTTCTACACCGGCAGTACTACCAAGTCGTTCACGACAGCCGGTCTCTCACTTCTCATTGACAACGCTACTGCCAATTCCTCCGTCTACTCCGGTCTCACATGGAAAACTCCCGTCTCCAGCATCTTCCGTGACGATTTCGTCCTCAGCGACGATTGGGCAACGGCGCACATCACTGTCGAGGATGCCCTTAGCCACCGGACGGGCTACCCGCGTCATGACCTGGCGTCGGCGAAGACTACTTGAGAGACAATCCGTCTGCTGAGACACTTGCCGCTGGCTGCGGAACCTCGCACAAAATTTTTGTACAGCAACAAGATGTTTGCTGCCATGGGGTACCTCACCAGTGTTCTGACCGAATCGTGGCTCGGTGACTTCTTCCAAGAATACCTCTGGAAGCCGATGAGAATGAACGAGACCTATTTCTCACTGTCGGATGCCGAGAGAAGCGGATTAGTCCTGGCAAGGGAGTATTATTATGACTCCCTTCATAAGAAACACTTTGAGGTCCCTCACGATCCATCCTCTGCAGAAGAAGGCGCAGGGGGCATAATCTCGACGGTGCTTGACTACGCAAAGTATCTCCGCGTCATGATAAACGAGTCGGCCCCATTATCAAAGGTGGGCCTTCGAGAAATCAAGACACCCCGGAACCTTGTACCATCGTCAAAGGTACCCTATGTAGGGCCTGTGACATACGCACTTGGTTGGGGTGGCGCTGTGTTAGAAGGCGAGCAGATGTATTCACACAACGGCGCAGTCACCATGTTCATATCTACCATGATGATGATACCGTCCAAGCAAATCGGTGTGGCAGTTTTCACAAATACCGACGCTAGTGCCCCTGAGATTATCGCGCACCACATCATGTGGGAGCATTTGGGTATGCCCAAGGACAAAAGATACGACATCAACAAGCGGTAGGTTAACTGAGAACAGTATTCAAACATTGAAACAAGCTGACTGATTTAAAGGCTCCTCTCTGAGTACAAAGAACAGCTTGAGGATTTCCAGAAATGTGCCGAACTCCTGTGCCCGTCCCTCCCGGACCCGCCATATCTACCTACACTGCCTATCTCGGAACATGTCGGCGAATTCTTTGATCCTGGGTACGGCACTCTCAAAGTCGACTTAAATTGCTCTAAATTGGTTGCAAAATGCAAGCTTCGAATTCTGGGTGTTGGCGGAGATGCGTTTGCCTACCTAGAGTCCGCAGTTTATCTAGAGCCAATGTCCGGCAACTCTTGGCTTGGTCGTGAATTTTTCGATGCTGGGTCAACCGAAAACGTCCTTGTGCCCATAATTTGCACGCCTGTCGAGTTCAAAGTAGACGTACAGGGAAAAGTGTCGCATCTGGGAATTGGGGTTAGAATGGAAGGGCCCGGTCAACCTCTTACATGGTTCAAGCGCATCTGAGAACAGCCTGTGTTCAGTTTTTCATAGTCTTGCAAAAGTGTTGAGTTTCCCTATTACGGAGGTGGAATTAGTAAAACAGGTTACGGAAGGCAATGCAACTCATATGCGGAAGGCCTTTGGTTGCAATTGCACACGAAACCACATACAGCCGCTTCAAACAGAATCACCGCCATAGGTTTCCAGAACAGAACTCCATAACACCTTACAAATCACCGTCGTTTCTTGGCTGGTCTCTCGTCCACTTTGAACCGCAACCTCCTCTTTGGGAGCCGCTCCATTTCTACCCGTTCCTCACTCTGGGAGTTCGACGACCGATGTTCCGGCTTTCCTTTGACGTTGTCCGCTGGCTGGCTTTTAGGTCGGGTTGTGTCTCCGTCACCCCTTGGATATTTTGATATGGCGTCCGCGGGCATGAGTTTGCTTCTCTGTGCCTTCTTGTCGTCATTTCGACGCCTGAACTCTGAGCCCAGTCTTCCAAGCTGCTTCGATGTTGGAATCACTACAGTTGAAGACTTTCGAGTCGATGTGTTTGTTCCAACCTTCTGGTTAGAGCATCTTCCTGTGTCCTCATTTGTCTTGTATTCATGCTTAGTCCGATGTTTCAGATTGCTCATAATGGTTTCAAGATAACTTCTTGATGGGGAGGGTTTGAAGATATCTTGCTTTTCGAAATCTTCTTCTTGCAGGCCCCTCCGAGTCCGGCAAACAGTGTCGGGATAAGGAGCGACCTCGTTGTCGCGTGGTGGCTTTTTCTTCTTTGGCGGCTGGCCAAACCAAATGGGCATTTTATAATGAACTGGCAGGAGCCAAGTCAGCAGTCGTTCGAATACTCTGTGGCTAAGGTACTACTCACGAGGTGCCTGTCTTTTTGAATTCCATTTGACAACGCGCCCTCCGCCACCGCCAAGTCGCCTTTTCTTCACTAAAACGGCGCAGATAAGGCCGTAGCAATTCTGGATCAAATAGGACTTGAGATCTGTGTTCGTCACGATACCTCCCAGATATGGTCTGAATCTGGCGTAGTTGGGATTGAGTGAACCAAATTGCATCGCAGCTGGATGTAGTGTGCTTAATAGAGTGATCAACACCAAAGCATTGAGGCAGAGAACATACCGGTTAGGTCGTAGACCATCTCGTCCGCGGCAACAAAAGAATCATTCTGCAAGTTCTTGATCTCATCCACCTGACCGTCATATGTTCGAAGCTCCTTCAACTCAATTTCTGGCAAACCTCGTCCAATTCTCTCAATGGTTGCTACAATGTAGCCTCTCAAGCGAGCAAACCGAAGCAGTGGTGTTTCGTCTCCCTCTTCGAGCTTCAGATCTTGTGTGGCGTCTGTGCCCAAGTATGGAGAGAGTTGATGCACGAGGTCGACGTACTTGCTGTGCTCATCCGAGTCTTTGAGCGCTAGAAAGATTCCCGTTTTAGCAAGTAGAACTTGTACCAAATATCTTCTTGCAACTGATCTGCACCTTACCTTGAACCGAGTAGACACTCCTGTCCAATCTGATCTCATGGGGGAGAATGAGACCTTTGTTCGCTAAACCCTCGAACTCGTCCTCTTGATATTCCTGTCGTTGCTCAATCAGGTTCCCGATGTAGAGTTCTTGTAACTTCGAAATGATGAGTTCACGATTCTCTCTGTGGTATTGATCGAACAATTCAGTGCAATCTCGTCCAGCATTCTCAATCAAGGCCTGGAGTCCTCCCGGGTGCAAATCGGCATAGTCTCAAACAAGTCAGCTATGGGATTCAGAATGCTTTGCGCACCATGGCAGACTTACTCGTGATGTCGTACACCCTCTTTTCAATCGAGATATACATGCCCGTCTCCCTGAATTCGTGTTTGCGAAGCGATCGCGGGGTGAAATTACGAAGAGAATGCCGGTCTCTTATTGTTGCAGGCTTGTTCGCCACAGTGCCGACCCTCCAGCTCGAAAGAGACTTTCTGATTTCGAACAGGTTGTACCCTTCTTCTCGGAGCTTACGGGATGGATCGCCGCCGGGAGCGCTTTGCAACAGTTCTGTCAGTCTTGGTTCTGACAGACATGTTAAGTCTACAGAGATTAGCATGGCTCTCTCTCTCTCGAATACTTTACTGATACGCGGGGTGCTCTTACGGGTGACATCAAAGACACTGCGCTGCATCTTGATCCAAAACGGCCTTCCATCTTTCCCATCGCCCAAAGCAATGTCCTCGGGTCGCAGGACTCGCACCACTCTTGCTATCGCCAGGGCAGGATGGCTTGCGTCATAAAGTCTTTGCGTGGCGTGGCGCGTCAGCTGCCTCCCATAGAATGTCCGCTTGGTCAAGACAGCCAGCCCACTTGTTGTCACTCCAAGGGACCGACAAACGGTGGAACATCTGTATACGTTCAATTCAAATCCGTTTTCGACGAGGACGAGGGGCTCTTTCAGCCGTTCAGAGTGGTCGTATAACTCGGCAATGGTGCAATAGGGAACATGATGTCGTCGACGAGGGCGTTCCACAGACTTGAACGGCGCGCCTGCCAGGCCTGCCATCGCGAAGAATGGAAGGCTGTTGGTCTGCATGGAGATGGCAGGGTCTTCTCCACGAAGCACCTCACCGGCAGCATCTTCGTACTCCATCGCTGACGGCTGTTTCCAGTTCTTCCCTACCGCCCAGAATTCCAAGATCCCCAATGCGCTCCCGTCTTCTGTCGTCCCAGGATAGGGCGGCATGTCGAAGTCGAAGTCCAGCCACGACATGTAGTCGTTCTCCCGGCTGGCCTCGATCTGGGCTTCCATGCTGACGCACGCGGCTTCGAATGCCTCCTTCAACCCGGCGAGCCGGATGCAGACAAGCTCAAAGGTATCGAACGCGGACCTTGCCAGACCGACGGCTTCCAGTCGGATTCTTCGCACTGACGAAGGCGCTTCATCTTGCGTATGCCTAGCTCCCAGGTGGATCTCGGGATACTTCCATCGATTCGCTTCTGCTTTTTGTATGGTGTCAAGGGCATCTTTCTCTTGAGCGGCACTGATGGGAAGACTCTTATTCAAGGACCAACGGGTTGTCACAAGGCCTCTCGGAATTTTAGTAGGCGTTATCTTTGCCATTCTTCCGGGTAGGGATGCATATAACAGGTACCCCAACGCACGCCAGAACCACACTGTGATGCCAACCCTGAGCGGCATATCTTGATAGTAGGCAGGAACAAATGACCCCAGAGATCCATCTGGGTTCATCCCCACTTGAAAGGGAGATATCCAGCGCTCGAGGATTTCTTGTGCATCAGCTTCGTGTCGATCGTTCTTCCGAATAAGCGCAACGTCCTTTAGCCAGCAGAGCTCCTCGCGGTACCTTCGCGCGTTCCATGGAGTGAGCTGCCACATAGCGAACGTGTCGGAGAACCACGGGCGGATCTCGAGGTACTTCTGCCTCCTTGCATGCAGCTTCCTGGCTAGAAACTTGATTGACTTTTCGCAAAACAGAGGGGGTGCGAAGTCGGACACCCATCGAGCCGTGGTGTCTCTCGGATAGAGGTAAGGCCTCGGGTATCCATCGTTGCCCAGAACAGTCGTTGCTGAAAGCATTTTGGGTATTCTGAGGCAGACGGGCCCGAATTTGGCCACCAACCGGTCCCAGAAATCTTGGGACGAAAGACACTGCTGCCACAATGCTGGTACAGGCCATTTCGTCAGCAGCGCTAGGGTGTCCCTGGGTTCGTCGAATGTCGATCCGTAATTTTCCCAGTAAAGAGGCCATTCCGTAAACCCCAAGACCAGAGTTGCGCCAGTTGTTGTATGAAAGTACTCAGCGGTCTCCTCTGTGGTGACTAACGACATTTTGCCGCCGAACGTTGCTTTCTCCCACGATTGGCCGAGTTCCGCCTGGTGTTCGTAGGGACCAAACTGTGCTATGGTTGGCTGTTTGAAACTTTATGCATGGCCTAGAATTTGGGACTCACAAGTTCGAGGTTTCTGTGCGGCTGTCCCAGGTGATACACCACAGCTCCATTGGTTCTGTGGCACAGAAAGATTGCATGCTAAAAGCCAGGTGCCATACATGGTGAGCAATTATGCATCAGACATTTTACGGGACAAATGGGCGAAAACGTTTAAATCCTGATGCTATGGCAAGGAGGGAGGCTCACCATGAGTTCATGCACAAGCTTGACCGAGACAAAGTCAGTATAAAGCTCCAAGAGTTATTTGCAGAAACCGGATCTTACCGTATCAGCCAGGTTGACCATCGCCGTCTTTCTAGAGTTCTCGGTTGTCTTCGGACTCATGATCGTTTTGATTTCAAGAATGTCGATGAAGATGGCGATTGGCCCGGTCAGGGATCCGTTCACGGAAAACGTCAGCCCATGAGTGGTCCCGGTCGGTTCGTACAACGCCTGAGTGGACTTGTCGTTGAACGACCATTGCAGCCTTTGGTCAAAAAGACGCGACAGCACCTCGATTGTGTCCTCTGTAGTGAGGAGCCAAGGTGGAGGGGATTGCATCCGCCAGACATTGCCCCACTGGCCGGAGCCGAGGGGTACTTCTTTCAAGGCGGATGTGAGGTTTCTCGCGTTAACGAGCGCTTGAAACCTGGAAACACATGTAAGCTGACGCATTCATGGGGATATATCTACGTGCGATGGATCTTGAAAGTGCCAAAGCACTGATAGAAACGTACCAGGGTGTTAGAAGACAACTTCTGAGCATGTTTTCCGCAAGTTGGATGGCTTGCCGGAGCACCCCCCAAACTTCTGGGTCCTGGGCGCTCCAAAGGTGCTCAGTAGTCCATTCGTTCGACCAGTTGGGGGGCACGGTGAAATCAATCACCCAACGGTCTCTCGCCCAGAACGGGAACCATGTCCACTCCTCTACCTTGATCGTGTTCCCGGCTAGCTGCGACGCTTCATCTTCGGCAGTGTAGACTTCAGGCTTGGCGAGGACCGCAGCTTCCCAAGTCCGCAGGCCGTATTGCTTGTTGATCTGCTGTACCTCCGAGATATAGAGATCATCGAGTTGAGGTGGAGCTGGTTGAGGGACTCGGCCGAGAGACGGGTCTTCGAGGTCAAGCGTCACGGGATCGATGTCAGGGTATACCGGATCGATCCATGACAGGCCGTCTGTTCTTCGGGGTCGTGGCTTGCCTACGCAGTAGTATCTTGCCCAACCCTCGGTGGGGATGGGCATCTTGACTAATAGGGTCAGCGGCTGGTCGATGTATAGCCAGAAAGTGTGCTAGCAAAATATGGAAATGATGACAACAAGAATGTTGGGATGGTGGTAATAATACAGGAACAGCGACAGTCCCGAATAGTTTTGTGGCAATCGCTGCCAGCACGAGAAAAGAATGAAGGTAGCTAGTCGGGCATCCTTGGTCTATTGACATGGTGTCTCAAAGAGTAGTCAATCATGCCTAGGCTAATTACACAAAAGTCTTTTAATATGATGTGTAATCGATTGGATCGACATCCGTGACACTGGAAACCGGCCAAGATGTCATTCCTAGGAGAACAATAGCTCAATTGAAAATCAGACGAAAGAACATAAGGGCGTCCATAGTCTTGGGTTCCTAGAATAGCCTTGGAAAAGGTTGAAAGGCCCCTTGATGTGACAATCGTATCATTGACTTTCAAGCTTGTTTAATGTTCCAACCTGCATAAAACCTCCGCATCCGTCACAACAATAACATGGAACAACTCCCTTGGACTTGATGAAAAGCCTTCTGGCGGCACGTTGGGCTTTGTCAGGGCACAACAAGCAGTTCCCCTGCGTCTGCGCTATTATTAGCCAACACCTCTTTGTTGGGGCAGTCGTTTTGGAGTAACCCAAGAACCAGATCAACATTCTCGGTTCGCTGGATCGTTCTCTGTCTGTGAGGCCGGACGGATCAGGACAGGGCACCGGATCCGATGCTAACATAGGTGGGGCCGACTTCACGTCGTCGCCCGGCTTAAAAGTCAGCCCGAGAATACTCTGTAGTTTGAGTTGCAGCAAGTATGGGCACAGTTTTCTTGAAGGAAGATCCATCGAGAACGGCAGAGAGCGCGTCGTTGGAAAGAGTCCAGAGAAGTGTCCACGCCGGCCCAGCCACTGATAAGGCGAAAGAAGCAGATTTCCTCCAACGCACCAACTCTGCGTAGTTCGCTGGATCTCTTAACTCCCCCACCCTATATCCGAACCACCCCCACATCCGAACCACCATCATCACCACCATCGCCACCACTATCACCACTTATTTCACTATCTCTGCCGCCCACCTATATGTAACTTTCGGCCTCGCTAGGCAATTCGGATGCCCTAGATTCATCCAGACTATCTATATTGCCGGGATCCGGACTTCAGGCCCAGATTATATCCTCTATAGTAGCAAAGGTGCTGTTAGGCAATAGGCAGACCTTTTTCCTCTTACGTAACCGTATATCATCTAACTAGGCCTGTAATAAGTTAACCTGCCTTTCTAGAAGGGCTGCTCTAGATACCTGCTTATTATAGCCCTTTTATATCTTTCTAGATAGGTAACAAATAGTATAGGTATCTAGCCTATCCTTAGCTAGCTAGGTTAACTAGCGTAGTTAATACTATAGATTAGCAGATCAACAAGGGGTTAACTATAAGATAATAGATTTAGCTTTATCCTACTACTAGCTGCTAGGCTAACTTAACTACTAGCTAGCCTAGATAATCTAATAGGCCCTAGTTACTATTAAGTTAGATAAGGGGCGTCTTATATATATAGGCTATAATCTAAATAACCTCTAGCTACTACTAATATTAATAAATATAATAGATACCTTATAGGCCTTAAAATAACACTTTAAGAATACCTTTTTGCTAGTAATAGTTAAATCTATAACCTAGTTATCTAGATATCTAACCTTCTTATAATAGGCCTGCTTTAATAAGCTAAAGATAACTATATCTAGAGGCTAAAGGACAGCAGAGGCGTATAGCAGCAGAAATAGTAAATATATATTATACTACTAGTATTACTACATAAAATTAATAGTTATATAGCTATAATACTTATTAAGAACTAGTAGTCTAGCCTCCTCTAGCTAGGCAGGCTTAGTATATAAAATAAAGACCTTCTCTAGCTATTTAAGGGCAGTATTATTAGTTATCTAGCTATTATTAGTTACTATAAATCGCTATAGCTTATATATATTAAGGTTAGATAGGAACTACTAGGCCTAAAGTAATTTACCTTTATATATAACTAAGGGGGGTAAGGAGCTACTAGCAGCAGACACACACTTAATAATAGATACTTATGCCTAGGATCCTAGCTGCTTTTTCTAGATATATTATAATACCTTAGAGCCTAGTACTAGCCTATTACCCCCTTTACCCTCTATAATACTAGTCTTATCTATATTCTATCTATTAGATAGATAAATCCTTTAGATAGTAAGGATACTGCTAAGGTAATAAAAAAAATCCTAGATAACCTTAGGGGAATAGGCTGCCTATTGCTAGGTATTAATTACTTTAGATTAGAGGGTTCTAATAGATAGATTTTGCTACATAAATTAGGCTATTTATTTCCTCCCTATAAGAGGATACCTATTGCCTATTATACGCTCTACTAGGCCTTTTACTTATTAATAGTTAACGTATCTACTAAGGGACTATTAAAGGGTAATATAGGCAGCTAGATTATCCTCTTAGGCCTAGGATAAGTACTGCCTATCTTTAAAGGCAGTATTCCTGCTTTACCTGCTAAAGTATTAATACTAAAGTGTTATATATAGTATACCCTATCTGTAAGCAACAGCCTAGAGGCTATACTGCCTAGACTGCATATCTAGGAGGGCCTATTGGAGCTTATCTTCGGAATATTGCTTTATAATGGTTTAAAGAAGGTATCCTGAAAAAATGGCGTTATTTGGCGATAAATGGCAATTGTTGTGATAGTTTGAAAAAGGTAGTGGTGTTAATGAAGGAGGGGAAATGCGGGAATTTCGGGTGGTTCGGATGCGGGGGTGGTTTGGATATAGGGTGGGGGAGTTAGATCCTTGATCAATTTACTATTCGCGTAGTTATGCAAAAATTATATTGAAATCTATCGGAATAGCCAATATTGCGAAAAGAAAGCCGAGTTGATATAATCAACCTTCAAACACTCCACACAAAAACCAGACCCCGGGGATTCGTAACTCAGCAAAAGCTGTTCATCCATCCCCAACAAATTCTGTATCCTCACCAGCCCATGGTCTTCCTTTCATGACCGCTCGCACCTCTCCCAAGTTCCGCCGGAAACCCCATTCGCTCCAGGACCGTCCTCGCTGCTATACGACTTATGTCCATCGGGTCGTCAATCGGGCCATCCGACGATTCGTCCATCGGTTCGCCCATTCGCTCGTTGTTCGGAGTGCTCGGAAGCCCTGAGTCGATGGGCTTCGGGTACGAGTACTCAGTACCGGTATTATTGTTCTTCTTCTTTTTCCTGAGCGGGCGCAGCGGCCGCACCGTGAATGACGCCGGCGCTGGCGTCGGCATCGCCGCGGCCGCCGAGCCACCAGCCTGTGGGACGGCCTTTGGCGTAGTGGCTGGCGTCAGTCTGTGCGACGTCTTCCACGCGACGGCCTTCTCTTCAGAGTTGCGGCCACGCTTGGGAGTGTGGAGCAGGCCGATGATACGATGCGAGCAGTTGTTCGTGAGTAAATCGATCAGGTCCCTGTCATCTACCACCGTGTAGTCAAGACGCGACCCAGCCCTCGACTTCAACTTTTCCAGAATCGGAGTCGGACTGCTGTATCTCACCAACGCTGAATCGCAATGAATGACTCAGCTGGCGAGCACCGAAGGCGGTAGGAGGGAAGAGGGGGAAGGGGCGCTCACAAGTGACGTTGTAGACGATGCAGTCGCTAGACACCCACGACTCGTTGAATCCGTCTGGTCTTTCTTTGCCGTCCATCTTCTCCAGAACCTTGGGGCTCATGTAAGGGAGTTCGGTCGTCGGGCGGACCATCTTGGCGACGATGAGTCCGGGAGTTTCCCAGAGCTGGAGGTACGCCTCGGAGGGGTTCGGCTTCTCCATGTCGGCGGTGCCGTCCGTACCCCAGTAGCCGTTGAGCACGTCAACACGGTCGTTGTTCGCATTGATTTCTGGCGTTGGGCCCAGCTGGTTAGCTGAGAGGCACTCTACTGTCTCATCTCGCTCACGACATTTGGCCAGTCGGCATGGATCCCACTTTTGGGAAACCGCGAGGGTTTTTCAGGCTCTGAACTACTCACTGTCTTTGCTGTAGATGTAGCCCCGGATACAGATCTCGGTGGGCGACAGCGTCAAGACCGTTGAGGACCGCTCCTCTATGACCCTCCCAATTTCCAGGACCCCGAGATGCTGGTGAGCATTGAAGCCAAACTCCGTCGTGGGGCTGCCGTGGAACCTGTCCCAGACGCTCGTCGCGTCCGTCCCGGCAACCTGGGCGATGATGGACGACCCGCCGGGGTGAAGGTCGATAAAGTCTTTCCGTCACATGTGAGCGTTCATCCGCTCAACATCCGTCGTCAATAGAGAGGTGAACGAAACGGACTAGTACTCACTCGTGAAGTCGTAAACCTTGCCCCGGATGATGATATAGATCCCGGTCTCGCGGGTCGTGTGCCACTTGACTTCGCTCGCCGTGAACACGTGATGCTTCAGGTGGAGTATTTCGGGTTCTGTTTTCTGGGCCCAGCCGATTCTGTATGGGCGGAGGGCCGCTTGGATGACATCCGGGTGATATCCCCGATTGACGGCCTCGGCGACGGGGTCTTCGTGGGAAGCCTCGGTGAAGATGACCTCCAGGTCCTGCAGCTCCGGAGGGAGTTCGACATCTGCCACCACAGCTTTCATCAGCGATTTCTTCACACTAGGGTTTCCTTCCTTATTCTTCGATCGTCTAAGAGGGGCTTGTGTCTTGCCGAAAACCTACTTGTCACGTCATACGCGTCCTCTCCGGCCATAACCCATCGCGGCCTCCCCTCCTTTCCGTCGTTGATCCTGACGTCCTCTATCCTGCGCGCTGTCGCGACGTAGCCGAGTGGCCGTTCCGTAGAGAACCGGTCGGTCCATGCTTGGCTGAGGTTGTCCGTGCGGGCCACCCGACACAAGGACGTTGTAACAGGCATCGTAACGTAGGCTCTCGTGGCCTTGGTCCACGACCCGCCTGCCAGGAGGTCGGACACGTCGTAAATCGCCATTTCCCGCCCGGTCCACGCGCAACACCACTTGTTTATGCCATTGAGTCTCTGGTGATCGCCGACCTCGCCGGGGTTATAGTACGGAATCCACGGCGCCGCCACCGGCCCTGAGGGCGCGGCGAGCGTGGTGGGGATCGCCGGCCGGGCAATGGCCCCCGCCGGTATGTCGGTGTCAACGCCTTCGCTCTTCTGCTCCATCTGCTCCCCCGGGCGGACGGAGGCCGACACCTGATGGTCCGCTTGGCCGAAATAGCGGCGCAGGAATTTCCACGTTCCGGGGCTCCAGTCGAGCCGCGCGTCGTCGAGGGGTCTCTGGTCCATCTGCCGCCTCAGCAGCTGCCATTCGCGCTCGAAATCCCTGGCGACCGGGGTCGAAACGAACCCCAGCAGTTGCCAGCGGCGGAAGGCCAGTTGCGCGTTGCTCATGCACAGCTCTCTGTCATGGCTAGGCGCGGCGTCGTCATACAGTGTCTTGATCCTCTTCGCGTCCGCCGCCCTCTTCCCCCATTTCGTCACTTGGTCCAAGAGGGCGAGATCGCCGGCGAAAGTGGGCCTCAGGGCCGGGCGCAACCTGTCCGGGTACTCGACGACGCCGTTGTCCCTATATGTGATGGTCCCCGTCCGGACGGGTAGCGCCGCCTGGGCGAGGAACCCCATGGCGTGGTAGAACATCTTGGACGTCCTCGCCTTCTCGGGCCGGGCTCCCTCCAGGTCGGATAGCCGGCTGTGCGGCTTTAATAGCTCTTTGATGCAAAGGTTCGCCTTGGCTTCGTTCTGGAAGGAGTAGCCGCAGAGCATGTGCGACAGCAAACCCAGCGTATACCGCAATGTGGTCTCGGCGTACAACGTCCTGGACCAAAAGGCGTACTCTTGGGCGTACCACGGCCGCAGCCACTTTACGTGGAGGCGCCTGATGCGCAGTTTTTGCGCCACGGCCTTCATGCTCCGGTTGAGCTCGTCGTACCTCGAGTAACTGTACGGCCGACCCATTATCTTGGCGGGCCGCATCTGCCTCTCCCCGTTGCTCGTCTCGTACCGGCCCTCGCAGACCCATGTCCACCGGAGGCTGGGATAGCCGTACTTTCTAACATGCACGTCCCAGAAGTCGGACGTCGTCATCGCGCAGGGGAAGATGGCGGGGATGCCCAGCGCCATATCGAGGAAGGGGTTTTCAGGGGCCCAGCCGTCGTACCTACAGTGTGCGCTGCTCGCGCATGTTTCGGGGGTCATCCCGCACATACCGATGTATTGGATACGGTCGTTCGAAATCGACCAGGAGTCTTTGGGGGTAGTACCAAACACAGCCGACTCGAAAGAGTAGCCCGCCTCTGCCCACCTTTCCTCTTTGAAGAACTAAATCAAAGCCATCAGCCAGAAAAAGGGGCGAGGGTCCAGGAAAGAGGGGAACGCGGCAAGCCAACTTACAAGCTCATTTGTCATACAGGGCATGTTTTTGTGTGACCTAGGCATTTTTTCGTGAAAATAGCCAGAGAGCGAATGCTGTTGTACTTTAGCCAAGAGTTCCTTTCCGCCAAATAGCCACATGTGGGGGGGGTAGAATAACATACCGACAGCTCGTGGAGCATCTGCGAAACCAGCGGATGGCACGGTCAACAATCATCTCGACGAAACGGGTTAGGGGTGGAAGAAGTGATGTTATAGACTCACAACATGGGCCATCCCAACCGCACATTGCCTTCCCTCTGGGTCTCCGCGCGTTTTCTCCCGGAATACCGGCTCCATCAACGTCAGCGTCAGCGTCATGAAGCGAGACCAGCGCCCGTCCTTGCCCCAGTAGGCACCTGTCTTACCGGCCACGCCAGCATACTCATCCGGCATGTGGAATCCCCAGAAGATGGACTCGGCGAAATCGTCGAGAGCCTTGCAGGCCTGCTTCCTGCCGGGACGGGCGTGGGGCGGGACGGGGACGGCGCGGTGGACGACGGTGTTGTCCCAGGATGTGATGCGGTTCCCGGAGGAGACGGGGCCGCGGGTATCGCGGGCTTGTGGATCGAGGAAAGTCGCTAGCCTAGGTAGCCACGTCATTTTTTCCGATTCTTGGACCTTGTTTCAAGTAGGTAGGTATGAGAAAATGAAGGGAAACTCACCACTGCTGGTTTACAGCCTCGCTAAGGATCCGGTTCGCGATCTCTATGACCCTGCTCAACTTCGCCCAGTCCTTGTCGTTGCTGATATCGACCGACAGCTGCAAAGGATCCTGATTCAAATAGCTCGCCCACCTTTCCCTCCGGAAGAGTTTGAACCATTTGGTCTCGTCTACTTCCACGAAGTCCCGTTCCATCCACGGACGTGGCTTGGCGGTTGGCATCTTGTGGATGGGAAACAAGGAGGTCCCGCCTTGTTCGTCGTCGATGCTATAATCATCTTTGTCGTCGCTGCTCGTGTCCTCCTCGTTCTCGCTAGAATCCTCGCTCCCGTACCCCGAAAGCCCTTTAGGCAGGCGCGGCGTGTACGGCTCGACCTCTTGCAGAATCTGGGACTCGTGGGCGCGGAGCCCGCCGAGACGCAGCAGCTGGATGCTCTCTGCCCAAAAAAGCGAATCGAGCTGAACGGTGTCGGGTTTTGGGAGGGAAGGATCAGAAAGGCGGTCGGGGTCCACCTCTGGGGGCTGAGTTTGTAGCCACCACGGCTCTGGTGCCATCGCTTCCTTGCCAGTGTTAAAAAAAAAAAGAAGGGGGGGAAGGGGGCGATGAGCCTTCGCGGGGAACTTTGGTATCGCGTCCCAGCTGTGAGTGATATGTTGTTGTTGTTGTTGTTGTATTTAACTCCTGGTACCGTGAGTGATGTGATACGGTACGGCGGATACGCCTCCAGTGACACGACATTAACAGAAACGAAAATCAAATGTCGTCCGAGACTCAGTTAGCGTGTCCGATCCGGGGCTTGACGGCATAGATGAGGAAGACTACAGGCCATTATTGTGTGTGACAAAATCAGTCCACCGACCGCATCTAGTGCTTTGTATTCCTGACTTGGCAGGAGGATCAACACTTGTCGAGAACAATGGACGGATCAAGGGGGGCCAAACTGCCGTTGAATGCAGGCCATCCTCTGAAGCCATTGTCAAGGGAGACTTCGTGTGTCACCATGGGCGCCTTCCCTCAGTCCTGACGGTAGGTTGGCATTGAGCAGTTGTCGAGACGTCAATGAGAGGAACACAGCGAATAGGAGGACAAGGAAGGTCATATGCAGCTGATGAGGCAGTGGTACGTAGGAGAGAATATAGTTAGTCAGCGAGGCGCAACAGGACTGCTTTTCATACAATTGTGATTCAAACAAACTAACTACATTTCGTACTACGCCAAGGGTACTACAATTCAAGGGCATTCAGCATCGTGACATTATAGACAAACGGCATCAATGATCGTATCGTGATGGAAAACCCAAGTTGAAGTGTCTATGGCTTGTATTGCCGTCTATTTACTCTTTCTACTCTTATTCTTACCCCCTCATTCCCTGTCGCCAGGAACCTATCTCCTCGCCCGCAGGATCCTCCAATCCCACAGCGAGTGGTCATTCCTCATCCGGCGGTTTCATTTCAAAGGGGAATCTCATGGGTGATCGTCAAAGAAATCATAAACAGGCCCGTACCATGCAACCCGCGTTACCGAAAAACAGACTTTTGTAAGGCTTGTGACAAATGGAAGGAAAGCGATCTCGTAGCGACTTGTTTAGATGTCGTCCTCGTCGGAGAAAACCTCCTCGCCACGCTTGCGGCGGGCCATGCGCTCTAAAAATGAAAGTCAGCAAATCTGTGACACCAAAATCGTCAGGTGATGGATGGAAATATCAACTTACCCTTCTTCTTCTTGCGGAGCTCGGAAGACGTCAGCTTGGCCTTCTTCTTGGTGCTGACAATCTTGTTGCCCATGGCGTCGAACTTCTCCTCCTCCTCAGCATCGTCACCCTTAAGGCGAGGACCAGAACCCTGGCCCTGTACCCAGTTGTGACCTGAAGGGGTCATCTTGCCGTCCATGACAGCCCAGACCTCCTCAGTGATGTTCTTGGTGAACTCAGCAGAGTGAGTAATGATGATGACACCACCCTCGAACTTCTTCAGGGCCTTGGACAAGGCACCGAGAGAGTCACGGTCGAGGTAGTTGGTGGGCTCGTCGAGGACAATCAAGTGAGGGCGCTGCCAAGAGCAGGCGGCAAGGACAACCTTGACACGCTGACCACCAGACAGACCGCGCATGCGGGAGTGGGAAACCAGCTCAGCGTCAAGGCCGAAGTTGGCGCAGTGGCTCTCGATCTCCTTGCGAACCAGAGGGCGGAACTGACCAGAGGCAAGAGCCTCCTTCATGTCGACATCAGCAACCATCTTCTGGTGAGAAGCCAGAAGCTCGTTACGGGGCAGCCAGACGTTGTCAGCGGACATCATGGGAGTCCAGCGCTCGTTCTTCTGACCAACGTTGTCGCCAATGGCGAAAGAGCACTCGTACTCGTAAGAGTTCTTGAACTTTCTGCGGGCGTTGATGCCAATGATGCGGCGCTGGGTACCCTCGATCTTGAAGATCTTGTTCATGGCCTCCTCATCGGCATCGGTGATAATCTTGTTGGCACGGTCCATCGTCTCACGATCCTCACCAGTCTGGAAACGCCACTGGATGTACTCAGAGGGGGTCTTGTCCAGGTGGTTATCGATGTGGGCGAAAGCGTGCTGCTTGATGTAGGCGATACGGATGTTCTCGTGCTGGTAGATCTCACCCTGGGTGGGGACGAGCTCACCGGTGAGGACATTGATGAGGGTAGACTTGCCGGCACCGTTGGGACCGATGACAGCAATACGGGAGCCGAGAGAGCACTGGAACGAGATGTCCTGGATCTGAGGCTTGCTCGTACCGGGGTACTGGAAGGACATCTTGCTGGCACGCAGAATGGCCTTGGCCTTGGTCTTGACACCCTCAAGGAAACCGGGCTCGGGGAAGGTAAACTCCATCTCGGAGTCGCTAAGCTCGTAGTAGGACTTGGCAGCAGGGTTCTTCTTGACGAACTCCTTGAGGTTACCACGGTAGCGCTTGAGCTTGAAGCGCTCGTAGTGGACAATGTGCTGGCAGACGTTGTCGAGGAAGGCAGAGTCGTGGGAGACGATGATGGACGTGCAGGGGGAGCTGCAAAGGTAGTCCTCCAGCCACTTAACGTTCTTCACGTCCAAGTGGTTGGTAGGCTCGTCGAGGAGCAGGATATCCGGGGCCTCGAAGACGGCACGGCACAGAGCGAGCTTCATCTTCCAACCACCAGAAAGGGCGGAGATCTCACCCTTAACCATGCTTTCGGTGAAGCCGAACTCGTTCAGCTTGGCCTCGACATCGGCCTGGGAGGTATCGACACCGGCATCCTGGAGCTTCTTCATAGTCCAGTCGATGGTAGTCATCTCAGTGTCAGCAGAGTCAAGGTCGTGCTCGACGAAGACGGTCTTGACTTCGGACTGCTTAGGGAAACCCTCAACCTGCTCGTTGTTGATGGCACGCATGAGGGTGGACTTGCCGGAACCGTTGGGACCGCAAAGACCGTAGCGCTGACCACGCTTGAGACGGAGGTGAGTCTGGTTAAGCAGAATCTTGGCACCGTAGGCGAGAGAGAAAGTGCAGTTGCAAAGGTCCTCACCCTCCTCATCATCGGGGTCGACCTCGGCCTCGTCGGCGGCACCGGGAGAAGCACGCTTGCGGAAGTCGTCAACGACCTTCTGGGCATCCTCGTCACCGACAATGACGGTGATGTAAGGCTTGAGGGCCTCGGTCCAGACAACAGACTCAATCTCCTTCTCGTCAATAAGCTGGCCAGCAATGCTGGCAGCGTACTGGAGAACGATCTCAAGCTTGTCGACCTTGGACTTGTGCTTGGAGGGGATGGACTCCTTGAGCTTAGGGAGAACGACGTCAAGGTCGGAGTCGTGGCGAACCTCGGGAATCTTGCCGTCAACAACATTGCCGACACGGGTGAGGGTGTCGAGGGCCTGCTTGGTCTTCTCACGGGCTTCGGGATCGGCCAAGTTGTCGTAGTTCTTCTGGAGACCAGGCATCATCTTGGGCAAGAAGGGAGCAACAATGTTAGGGTCGTCGACGAGCTTGCACATGTTGTCGACAATGACGGCGGCCTTACGCTTGATGGCAGTCTCACGCTCAGCGAGACCACGGTCAAGCAGGGGAACCATGAGGGCAAGAGTAGGCTCCTGGACCTCAGTGACGAAGGTGGTGGCACCGAGCAAGTGGACAGTCTCGGGGACGTTCTCAGGCTTGGCGATACACTTGATGAGCTCGGGGATGAAGCGCTCGATATCACGGTTGACAATGAGCTGGCAGATGGCCTCCATGGTCTTGTAGGCGCGCTCCTTAACCTCCTTCTTCGTGTCCCACATGGACTCGGAGACGACGGGGATCAAGTCGGGGACGCGGTAGCCGACCTGGGCGGGGGCAGTGCGGATGACGGTCTCAAGGACGTCAAGGGCAGCCATCTTCTCCTGCCACTTCTGGGCCTCGAGGAGAGACTTCTTGACAGGCTCGAAGATACCCTTGACAGCGTTGGGGTTGATGGCCTCAGCGATGGCGAGGGCGGCCTGGGTGGCGGCATTCTTGACACCGGTGATCTTGTCGCCAGCGGCGGCAAGGACATCGGGAAGAAGGGCGACGAGGAAGGGCTCGACGTGGGCAGAGACCTCGGAGTGCTGGGCGATGGAGGTGATGGCAAGGGCTGCCTTCTCACGGGCGGCAGCGTCCTTCTTGTTGTTGAACAACTTCCTCAAGGCCTCGATGCTCCTGCGGGGAAATCCTTGTCAGTGCTGATGTTCGGGGGAAAAAAAATTGTGTGGGCACCAAATTAGCTCGCCGCTTAGTGGCCAGGATCGGCCATCTTGCGTCGCAGCGGGTCGGTGGGAAACCCGACCGAGGGGTGAAGTGCCAGGGCGGAAGGGGGGGAAAAGCGAAAATTTCCAAAACATTTGGAGAAACGCCCCCGTGGGCACAGTGGCTCAGAGGATGGGCCCCTGAAAATTCGCAGGCTTGGGCTGTATGGAAAAGTGGCTGCAACTTACTTGGTGGGAACATCCTGGTCCTCGATGCGGCCGTTCATGAAAGAGGCCAGAGCAGCGGAAGACTCCTTGATCTCAGCAGCCTCCTTGGAGATGGTGAGCTTCTGCATAAGCTCGTCCAAAACCTTGACAGACTGGGCGTTCTCGGAAGACATTATGGCGGTTGGTATTATGTCGATCGGGAGGAGTGATTTGTTGAGTAGTATTGACGAGGAAGAAAACTCGCTTGTCTGAACGTCTAAAGCGTCTAGATGCAAATTCTATGCTCTATCGTAACCGAAAAGGCGACGGAGGAGATCGGTTTGGAGGATGGGAAGGCCCGCGGGAAGAAAAGACGACTGGAGGATCGCTATTCTTCTGCTCTAGATGGCGCTTCGGAGAGAATTTGTCTCTTGAACTTCTTGCGAAGGCGGGGGTTTGATCAGGGCGAGATTCGCTCTTGATAAACCGTCGCAAACAGGAGACGGAAGAAAGTTGAAATGATTGAGTGGAAATACGTCTGGAGGAAGACGAACAACCAAGAAGAAAGGGAGTGGGAGGTTTGGAGAGGAAGGGGTTCAAGAGTAGGAAGAGAGGAGAAGAGGGAAAAAAAGAGAGAGGAGGGGTGAGGGCGG